GGCAGCGGGTGAGCGGCGGCGGGCGCCGCGGCCCCGGCACCGGCACCATGGTGAAGGAGGAGTGCAAGGCGCTGCTGGACGCGCTCAACAAGGTGACCGCCTGCTACCGCCACATGGTGCTCACCATCGGCGGCACCTCGGACTCGCAGAACCTGCGCGAGGAGCTCAAGAAGACGCGGCAGAAGGCGCAGGAGCTGGCCGTGGCCAACAGGAACAAGCTGACCGCGGTGCTGAAGGACAAAAGCGTGAGTAAGGAGGACAAGGCCGAGTTCGAGCGGCTCTGGGTGATTTTCTCCACGTGCCTAGAGATCCTGGAGATCGACATGAGGAGAGCCCTGGAGCTGGGCCACGAGTTCCCGCTGAACGTCCCCAAAAAGCACCTGATTCAGACAGGCATGAGCGGGGGAACCTCTGGCGTGGCCGCCAGGGCCATGAGCGTCCAGAACATGAAGTACGAGGCTGAGCACAATATAGACGTGGTGGATTTGAAAGACCTAGAAAACGAGATCAACCAGGTGGGAGAGATGATGTACGAGATGGAAATGAAGGTCAATGTCCCGCAGTGGACAGTGGAGGCTAAGCAGGACCCTGGGGCTGAACTCAAATCCACCATGAGCGTGGGCGCTTCTTCCATTGGCATGATCTCTGTGGAGGAGAATAAATCCTTCTGCGATATCAGCAAAGTCCTGGCTGGGATCATTTTCTCCGCCGTGCTCATTATCGCTATCGTCCTGGCAGTGTGCGTCGTAAAACTCTCCTAGGGGCTCTGCAGAGCTGCCCCTCTCGAGTCGGTCTCGAGCGTTTCATGCCTCACAGTTCATTTTGAAACGGGTCGCTTGGATGAGCTGAGAATTCAAACCTAGCACTTGAAAAAGCAAAACTTCTGCCTCTCAAAACCCTAAATACATATTTTGTTTTTTTTTTTTTTCTGATATTTCAAGGGAAAAGGTGCAAATTGGACTGCAGAATAGGATGTATTTATTTGCTGGATTTGCAATGGTTAACTCTGAAGTATCAGGGTATTATCAGTACTGGCTGTAACAGGGATTTGTCTGCTATTAATAGAAGACTCTTCTCAGAAGCCTGTATTTTTTTGTTCCTGCTATTTGCTGCTGGTCATTGTTTACAGTATTTGAGAGTAGCATGAATTTGGAGGCCAACAAAGGTGTTTTGCCTGATGAAGTGAGTAGGATGTCTGGAGATCTGTCGTGAAACACACAAGACACTGTAGAGGAGGGTAAGGATGAAAACCCCAGTGATTAGTGGCTGGGGCAGAGGGAGGTGTGGAGGAGGATGGAGGAAGCAGAACAAGCAATATTTAATACCAAATATGTTTAGATTTAGCCTGGATGGTACAGAACCCATGGGTTGGGTACAGTTGCATGGGTTGGTACAACATATGCTAATGACTAATGGCTTTCCAGATCCAGGGAGAAAACACAGGGACTTGTTTATTTAGAAAAATACTAACAAGACCCTTGTTTCTATTCCACGTTTACCATGACTTTTATCTTCCCCTGCAGAAAGGCTCATTCTTATCAGTGGTTCAAATTATTTTTTTTTCTGTAGAAGCCAACAGTTTGAACTTTACAGGCAGCTCTGAATCTACCCATGGCAGAGGCAGACCTTTAAAAAGATCCAAAAAACTCTCTCATGGTGGCAGGCAGGGCCTTAAATATGTGCAGTCACATTTTTGCAAGCTCCTGAATTACTTGCAGAAGAACATAAAAAGCTTAAAAGTTTTGTCCAGTTAATCATTTGGGGAAGAGGAACCCTGGAGGACTGAACCTGTAGCTGGCCCAATTAATATGATATACTGAAGTTTTGGGAGGAAAATGCAAGAATGGCATAAAATCTTGACAGTTTTATGGGGGAAAAAGAATGTGAGAACTGACACTGACTTTGCAGAGAAACTTTATAATGTTTTATTTAAGGACCTATGTATTATGCTTTCTGTTACGTAATTTATGGAAATTTGTTCTGTTACGTGAACACACATTCCCCATTCTAGAATGGGTAAATATATTCTGTGCATATTTTATAGTGCCATAGAAATATGGGGCACTCTACAGACAAATATAAAGACCCTGTAATACAGGTTTTTTATTAAGTAGCTATTCTGATGCATTATTATAGACAAAATACTAAAAATTCATATGTATGTGGTGAAGTTACTAGTTTATGCTTGTTAAACAAAATCATATTGACAGCAGTCTTGAGGAAGAGCTTTTTTTTTGAGTTGAGAACTAACCATAATTTGAAAAACTGCAGCAAACAGCTTTCTTCAAAACTTAAGGGAATTGGATTTGGGGAGAAAAGGTTGTTAGATTTGAATCTAGTCACTTGTAGGTGGGAAGATGTAATGCGGCATGGGGGCAGAACCTAAGTTTATAAAATACCATTCCTGGGAAGGATAATGTGAGCTCTGCGCATTGGCCCAGTCAAGGCTCCGTTCTTTTGGGAATTCACACTGTAATAAGACTTCACACACCTTTCTTTCCTATCACTCTATAGGATGTGTTTGGTATTTAGCAAATTTAGAGTTTTAGAGATCCCAAACAACAACTAAAAAGTCAAGTCTGCATTTACTGGTTCTACTGTTCTAATATATTCAGACATAGGCATGATTAAATCGTCTGGTGTTGACCTTTATGCGTGAAGATCTCCTTCACAATCATTTTGAGTAAATATATTGACACAAAACACAACAGAAGTTGTAGAAAATATACGCATTTGGATTGCTATTGTCAGTCACTAAGAATTTGTATTTTCACTGTCTGCATCCTCCTGTTAACTTAGTCCACACAAAGGTAGAAGAGAAGTTAGATTCTCTACTGTGCTTCTTAAACAATCCTTTTGAGTCTGGATGATTTAACTAAATGTTCTGATAACGTAAATAATGCAAGTCTGGGTGGGGTGGATCTGAAGTGGCAACACCTACAGCACTCATTTTTTATATACTTGAAGTAGTATACTGTTTAACCACGGTTAGCTATATAGAAGATTTTTTAAAAATAGATAATCTCATCTTCAACAGCAAGCCTTGGTGATCTCATGAGCTGTACATTTTCAGTCTGTGAATTATTTGAATTTAGAATAGTACAAGACCCCAGGACTTCAAGCAAGTAGCCTATAATTATGTAAATCTTATTTCATTATGATTATCCATACACATTAGTATTTAAAGGAACAGACCTTGAAAAATTACATTCTCAAATCTTCAAAGACGTCTGCAAATATATTCATCTTTGATTTGTTCCTATAAATCTGTACCATCTTACATCCAGGCTATGCGAAATTAAAAGATTAATTAAAATGCTAACAGAGGATTGGCACCATCTAAATGGATAATGTTCCCAACACTAATCTTCTAAAAAAACCCACTTGATATCAAGTATACACTCAGTGTGACAGAGCTGAGACATAGCAGTCAACAAATTCAAAATAACATGAAACCACCATTGCCTAGAAGTACAATTCCCCTGAATTGATTTTATCTTACTGTACTATAGTGACATCTCCCTTCTAAGGAGCAGGGGTTTTGCTTTGTTTTTGAAATAAATAATTGCTAAGTACAATTTATGGCTACATTTTGGGCTACACCGGCCATGACATTCTTTCCACCAAATGAATTTTGTCTGTGCTGGAAATGAGAGCAAAAACTATACTTACTATTTTTCACTATTATTGTAAGATAGCTCTGAATCATCTCAGAATATTCTACTAAAAAGAATACCAAGAGGGTGGTGAGGCCTCCAAAATCAAAAGGATTAAACATTTTTATCAATTTAGCCGTGAAAACACTGGAATTGGCAATGAAACTTTCTTTTATGTGTTAGAAACTGCTGCTTCAAGAAAGATTGTAAGCACTATTTTTGCAAGTGAAAAACTGTGAAGTCGTACATCAAAATATTCTGTATTTAAATTGTATAATAAAGGTACCAATACTCTGATGCTGATCAGTGACTGAGAATATCACTGTCTTTTTCACTACAAGAGAAAATCGTCATTGCTTAATTTCAATCTTGTTCTGCTTCAATTCTTTTGTCTTCTAAGTTTGTTACAAATTAAATCTTATCGCTGACTTAAATTACAGGCCCCTTTCAAACTACCAAACTTGAATGGAGTGATACATGTTGATTTATACTGCAAGTAAATCGGTGGTCTTGACAAATCAAGAAATATTTGCCTTAGGAAACCACTACCATGGGAATTCAGGATGACAGGTACGATGCCTTCAGCACTGCTTATTCAGTGTTGTTGCCTGGGTTAAAGGGGGCCGCTGCTTTGGAGATTGAAAGCTGGAGTAACGTACCAGATTCTTACTGCGTCCAAACTCTGTACTCCTTCATTCCGCCAATATTCCATTCACTGCAACTAAAGATGTACGCAATGTGAGGACTGTGAAACTTGGTTCTGTGATATTGATAGCAACAACTATCAATGGTTATATCAAGCGATCAGAACTGTTTCTGTTAAATGCAACAACCTATAATTCTATTCTGGGACTTCCAGAGTATAAGTATACATTTTGAGACTCATTTTTAATTTACTAAAAAAACACAGAACTATAATTAAAATGACTTTCCTCATCTTGTAAATTGAATGTAACATGAAACTCGTGGCATTATGAATCTGAAATAAAAGTTTCAAAATTCTTCACGTAAATATGAGAAGTGCTTTTTATGTGAAAAGAATTACTGAAAAATGAATAAATTGGCTGATGTCCTTAACTTTTGGGGTTCAACAAGTGCTTATTGCTTAGAGTCTGAAAGGTTTGGTTACAGGCTTTTTTCCCCTCCCATATAAGGTATGTTTTGTTTGTACACCTTTTCCAGAGAAAGAGAAAAAAAAAAGTGTTAATGGAACTCTTAGCCAACATATTTACCCTTCACAGATTTTCATTATGTAAAAAGTCATTCAGGAAGACCAATGGATTATGCATCTCTAAATGCTTTCTCTCAATACGATTATGTAAGTCTTTTAATGCGGGAAGAGATCGGGACAAAATAGTGTACATGTGAGCAGCATTTGCTATGGTAGGCACGCAGTAAAAGTGGGATTAGGCAAGAATGCCTTTTTCTCCTACAAAATTATCAGCCTTCAGGGGAGGACAAGAAAAGCAAAGTAGATGTATGCACACATGTACATGCAAAGATGTATGCAAACACCAGAGTTTGCTTTCTATCAAATATAGTATACCATTATCAGAATGTTAAGCTATGGCTTCCCAGTAAAACATAGTGTCTTATATGCAGGGTGACAAAGAAAGTAGCATCTCTGAAACTGTCTACCTAAGAATAAAATACTTTGACTTGTCACAAGTTAATGTCAATGTTATTAGACAGGCAACCTTTTTCTCTCTGTTTCCACAGGACAAGAGACTTTCTATTAGAAGAAGGTGGTCCCATAAGGCTGGATTCTATCATCCATTCTGACACTTTGTGGAATATTGTCAGGCAGCTGGAAATGTAATTCAATCAGTTACCATTGATTAAGCCTTTGGAAAGGTGAAAAGTCACATGGCCTCTAATTGATAAAACTGTTCTTCTCCACCTCCTTCTAAAGCCAAGCACAAACAGCGCAAGATTTTTTTTTTTAATAGAGTAGCATTGATAAAGCCATACTGCTACATTAGGAAAAAAAAATTAATTTTAAATGCAATTTCTTTATATGATCTTGAAGCAGCTATATATGGATATATGAGAGATATTATATATCTATATATGGATATATATATATAGGGATTATATATATATATATAGGGATATATATAAACGGATAGCATAATCCTTTGATGAAAAAGATCTAGTATGTTAACTGCATGTGTAACTACATACATACATATTTGAGAGACAAAGATACACAAGATATTTCTGAGTTCTGGGCCCTAAAGGAAACAGTCTGAATATTTATTCATACAAACCATTGCTCAGTTTAGCAGGAAATTAAATGTGTAAAGACTAGTCATGTAATTAAAGTCTGCAGAATTAGTACCATAATTTCAGTTTGCATGAAAGCTGTAATCCACTATGCGTCTGTTGGAAGCAGAACATTTCCACTGTTGTTAATGCTATCTGTAACCTAGTTTTCTGATCTGCTTTGATCTGTTGTAATTTTATATGAAGGTAGCTATAAATTCATTTCATGTTAGTCAGTCTTGATGCTATAATTAAAATCTGCATTTTCTAGAGTTTACATTTATTCACATTTTGGAAACAATACTTGATCGAACGTACAAGAATAATCTATTTGCTTTTTATTATTCATTACCTCTGGCTATTCATTGCATGGCATGAGCTACTCAATCTAAGAGCTTTAAAATCTGCTATTTTGAAATAAAACAGTTTAAGTAGTAGTAGATATGTTCATTAAACACTTCCTTTTTGATACTTGATATTTATGGCTAAAACATTTTGTTAATAGACACTATATCTGCATGGAGATAGAAGAAGATGCAAACAAATAAACCAGGAACTAACCTGCCGTAATTGTATGCAATTCACAGAAAAACACCTAAAACATATTAATTTGTGAAATTATGATGGACCTTGTTTCTCATCTAAAGTTAACTATTACAATGGTATGATTTGGACTGATCTCTCACTCAGCAGACATGCACAATAATTTATGCAGTGATGCACCATAAATGAAGTGGTTTAACTGCTATGTATTCTAGACATGAAGGAAACCAAACACACTGATAATGATTCTTTGTGGGATTATATTTCAGCAATGTGGAGATTACTTCAATACTTGTCTCTCCATGTCAGTTACTGCTTGTGAGACTTTAGAAAAATGGAAAACATTGATTCCTTAAAGGGTCACTAGAGGTAATGAGATGCAACTAAAGGTTGCATCTTCTAAATGAGAATTAAAAATCTGCCATTTGCTTAACTGAATTAGGAAGAATCATGCTATTTATTATCAACATTGTGTTTATTTAGAATTGAAGTAAAATTTCTGCGCCCAGCCCTGGGTCAATGGAGGTGTTAAGGATTGGCACTGCAAATCGGGGCTCCTGGCCCTGCCTGGATTTTTGGGGCACAGCCCTGCACTGGCTGGAAGTGAAGCCTTTGGAGCCATTTGATATTTACATCTCTCCTATTGCACTGTAGCAAACTTGGTGCTCGCAAACCCGGGAAGTGTGAAGCGGCTTCTGGAGTGACAGCGCCCGCCACGCACAAGCCCAGCGCCCTTAAATCCCGTGCCTCTACTTAAGCCTTTGCCCTCTGAGGACACCGTTTAGGGGATTACGGGTAATGCGGGGATTGGGGCATCGCGGCCTGCTCCTGCTCCGCCCCCGCGCCGCTGGGGCCCAGCCCGGGCCGCCCGCCGCCTGCAGTGGCTCCTCCGCGAGCGCAGGCGGCAGTGGCGCCCGCGCGGCCGCCGCCGCCTCTCGCCCGCGATGAACCCGCGGCTGCGGCACTGGAGGGAAGCGGCGACGCTGCTGCTGGCGGCGGGGGCGCCGGCGCGGCCGCCGCGCTCCTCGCTCGGCGCCTTCGACTACGAGCTGCTGCTGCTGCAGCGCAGCCCGCGCAGCGGCTTCCTGCCCGGCGCCCACGTCTTCCCGGGGGGGCTGCTGGAGGCGGCGGATTTCTCGGCCGAGTGGCTGGAGCTGCTGCCGCCCCCGCCGCACTGCGGCCTGGGCCTCGTGAGGCCGCCGCCGCCGGGCAGCAGCCGGGCGCCGCTCTTCGCCACCGACCGGCAGAGCCTGGGCTCGCCGCTGCCCGCCGAGGTCGCCTTCCGCATCTGCGCCATCCGCGAGACCTTCGAGGAGGCGGGGATCCTGCTGGCGGTGCCGGGGCGCGGGCCGGCGCCGGGGGGCGGCCCCGCGCGCGCGCTGCCCGCCGAGCGGCTGCCGGAGCTGGGCGCGTGGCGGCGGCGCGTGCAGCACGACGCGAGCTGCTTCCCGCGCCTCTGCCGCCACCTCGGCTGCGCGCCCGACATCTGGGCGCTGCGCGAGTGGAGCAACTGGCTGACGCCGGCGGGCGGCGCGGGGCGCGGCGGCCGCCGCTACGACACGGCCTTCTACGTGTGCTGCGTGGAGCGGCGCCCCGCGCGCGCCGCGCACGACGGCCGCGAGGTGACGGGCGCGCAGGTAGCGGCGCGGCGCGGCTCGCTGGCGGGGTTGGCCGCTCGTGCGGGTAGGGGGATGTCTGCAAGGCCCGAGCTCCCAATGTGCGCGAGCCCGTTAGTTGTTACCAACGGCAGAAACCCGCCGCAATTGCTGGTGGTAAATCATGGAAATCCCCTGCTTGGTCACGCATTTCACATTATCGAAGGCAGCATATGACATGAGATCAAGATTAGGAATCGCTTAAACACCTAAAAGAGCTCCATATTTATATGTGATAAATTGGATATTCTTGCTCTGAAAACTGTGTATAGGCAGCAGCCATTTAGAGATAATTAATTGCTGGAGAATTGGCAGCAAACTCTGTTAACTGAGTTCACACTGAGGTTCTGCTTTTTGTATTACAGTGGCTGGCATGCCTACATGTAAAATGAAGGGAAAAATTACATTATCAGGTTTTATTACATTTTTCAAACTTCTTAAAAACTTTGATTTTATTTTGCTTAGTTTGTTTTGGTATAGTTGATGGGTGGCTTTTGTTAGTAAAAGAGTGGTTCATGCTGTTCTCTGTGAAGGCCTTCTTATTAAGGGCAAGGACTTCAAAGTTACTTTCAGTAACTGCTGATGAAGCTATTATTTCAAGGTGTGTTTTCCTTCCACAGTGGTTATCACCTGCAGAAGCCGTTGAACGCTTCAAATCTCAGGAAATATGGTTGGCTCCCCCTCAGTTCTACGAATTGTGTAGGTTAGGCAACTTTTCTTCACTTCAAGAGCTAAATAAGTTCAGCTCTGAGCGCGCTTTAGAAGGATGTGAACGTTGGATGCCAGTGATTTTAACTGCCTCAGATGGCTACATGCAGCTATTACCAGGTAGGAAACCAACTGAAAGTTCTCTTAAATATAATAAAAGCTTGGGTTTGTGCTACATGGCTTAAATAACTGTGAAAACCTAGAAGTCAAGTTAACCCTGCTCTTTATGTTTCTTTTCTGATACAGTTCATGTTGGCCAGTCAGATGGGCTGTTGGACCATATAGAAAGCTTCTGTACTTAATCTTATGTACATACTTCTGTACTTAATCTCATTTAAACCTCGCCCATGACATGGTTGACACTACTATCTTAATTCATAAAGAAGTTTTGTCATTGCAACTTACTTCCATTTTTATCTGCAGAGTATCAGAGGTCTTCCTTTTGGAAGTGGGAAAGTGGGAAATCTATTCCCACTGAGTTTTGTACTGACCAAGATTTAAAATTCGCTAGTACCATTCAGTCCAAAGGTTGAAAACTGGGCAATGCATATCTTGTTGTTTTTTCTTCCCCAGGAGATGAGCTGTATCCAGAAGATCCAGATCATACAGGGGAAAAGAAAATAACCTTGTCAACAGATAAGAAAATTGAAGATCTAATGAAAGAGGGCAGTATATTTCATAGGATTGTAATAAAAAACACTCATGATCTTGCTGTTTATGTTAATATTCAAGCAAAATATAAACATAAAAATCCAGTGGTGCTAAACTCTAATAATTCAGATTTCAATAGCAGATTATAGCATACATGTGGTTTAAAGTTAGAATATGTTTAATTATATATGTATTAACTGTTAGTGTTTCCAGTCTGCTCTACCGGTTACCAAGTTGTCATTTTTAATCACAGAGTAATATATTTCATTGCACCACCAAAACATTTCATTTGGATATAGCTTTGAGATTTATGTGTGTTTAATTGTTTGATTCTCTGAAACTGCACAGTTGTGTCAGTTACGATATACATGACTACTAAAAACTTGACAATACCATCAACTTTGTTACTTGATTAAACTTAAGAGTGATTGGATGGTAACTGTATGAAACCACGATCACATTACTCACATACTAGTAGTGGAATATGCAGTAACATTGGTCCTTTGGGTCACCTTTTTTTTCTCACTGAAAATTAAATGGAACAAATATATTTTTAATTAAATAATTTTACTATGCTTTTCAGAGTTGTCTTTTGAACAACTATAACGTGTTCATAAATGAATAAAATCCTTATTATATTTTTCTTCAATGTAGTTGCTCTCATTTTGGGGAAAACCCATATATATGTATATATAATTCTGTTAGCTAAAATTCAGTCTGTTTTCTGATTTTGATTTTTAAGCAATGCTTATATCTGATATACCTCTCTTGTTTCTATTAATGGTCATCTATGCAAAACTTAAATTTTCAAAGGTAGAAATTTGCATATAAGCTAAGTCAGCTATCAGATTGAGTGCAATCATTCTCTCTGTTCACATACTTATTTTGAAGCATGTATGGCAATTTAAAAACAGGAAAAATAAATTATTTAGCTGTGGGAAAGATACTAAGAGCTTCAGAGTTACTGTCATGGAAACACCTGCTTACGTATTTCAACATCCCACATTTTGCCTTGTAACTCTTTCCCTAAATATATCTTTGTTATGAGGCTTAGAGACTTCAGAGGAAATATTGGTGTTTATTGCAGCCACAATTTTTGATCTGTTTTGTTTCTTTGTTGTTACAAGTGGAACAAATGGGGGTAGTGACTTGGAATCTCTTATATGTGGAAGAAGAATGAACAATTATTTATATGAGCCAGAAGAGTTGGCCAGAAAACTTTGTGTTCTGTATTTCAGTTAAAATAAAATGTTCTACAATATTTTAATTAAATTGAGTTGCTTTGCAGTAATCATTTCAACTGGAAAACTATTTCCATCTTCTTATGCCTGGAAGTCCCCAGACCTTTCCTGATATTGAAGACCCCATTGCCACTTCCATATCTCTGATAAATATTCCTGATCCATTGAAACAGTTTATTATGTGGTGTTCTACTAGCTTACTGCTGCAGTAGAAAGTGGCTATTAGGACAGTATCCTTTTAGGAAAGGAGTCAGACACATAAATAGAGGTTATTTTCTTATGCAAGTTTTTGCCCACCAACATTTATTTCTTAGCTTTTAATTATAATTCAGCTTGTTCTATGTGTCAAAAACAGTACAATACTTGTTCTATGTGTCAAAAACAGTACAATACTAAATCTATAATTTCTAGGTGAATATTCTGCCTCTTTATCTTCAGATTTAGATTTTAAATGTATTCCTTTTGCAGTAATAAAAGCAACACGATCCACTAGAGGGAGTGTGACAGTAAAAAGACCCCCCCAAAAAAAAAAAAAAAAAAGAAAAAGATGTTACATCTATGGAGAAAAGGAGAGGGGGCACTAAAGGAAACAAATGTGTGGTTATACACCTATAGTAAGTATCTTGTAGTGCCAAGTTAAACATATAGACTCTAATTCCAAAAGATAATGAGCCAGTCTCCATGTAAAGACTACCAACAGGAATAGTATCGTGTAGGAGTAGAAAACAAGATGGGCTGAAAAAAGATGTCCAATAAAAAGGGCAACAGTAAACTGGGGAATGAGTAAACAACCGCATAGCGGCCTTATCACAGGGAGCTCAAGAGGGAGGAATTGAAATAACCTTTTCACTAAAGCCTAAGTGTTGGAAGGCACTCACAGCAGGTATTTTCTCCTAATTTTTTTTTTTTTTTTAATATCACCGTTGAACCTTAGCAAAGAAGTGCCGGCTGCTTCCTTGCTGCCCAAGGACTACACCTCACCTCCGCTGTAACGGCGGCCGTGACGGGCCTGCGCTGCCTGCTGGATACACCAATGGCACCGCACGGAACAGGAGAGGATGAGCAGAGGCGCCCGGCGCCTTACACGGAGCTCGCCCCCCATGACGCCACCTCCGAGGCGCTGAGGCGGTGCCGGGAAGAAGCTCCGCCCCTTCCCGCCCTCCCGCCCTCTGACGGCGCATGCGCCGCAGCGCGAGAAGCACCTGCTCCCTGCGCGATGGGTGGGGCGGGGCTGCGCGCGGGAAAATTGGCTGCTTCTGGAAACTTCTGAGGGGAGCGGGGGTGGGTTGGGTGGTGCCTGTCGTGACTGTTAAGGTTAGGACTTTTTCTTTCTCTTTTCCTTTCTCTGTGAAGGAGCATAGAGCACAGGCAAGGAGTGACTAGCACTTGGGAGGTGAGAGCAATAAAGTAAGGGGAAAAATCTCTTTTTCTTTTGCCATTTGCTTTTCTGTTTGTTTCTTTTTGCCTTTTTTGAGATTTCCATTAGGTGGGGTGAGGTAGGAGGGAGATTTAAAAAAAAAAAGAGACTGGGGAAAGGAAGCTGGTTCCCTTCCAGGTGTGTCTTTATCAGTGTTATTATGGAGGGGGGCCCCCACCCAGCCTCTTGTGTGGAGGCAGTGATTTGGAATGAGATGCTTTAGTGAGTTCTTTCTGAGTAAATATCTTTTATAGCATTGGGATGGCCCTGAGCTTTGTGCAGATGTTCATGTTTTTATTTCTGTCTTAGTACTGAAGTGGTTTCTACAGATAGGACAGCTGGCTGTTTTTTTTTTGTGGCCATACTTCATCTGTGGTGCACCAATATTTCATTTGCTTCCGTGTTGCTCAGACTAACAGGTGAAGGAGAATTTTTGTGTCTCATGTAATTCTTGAAATGAAGAACCTCGTGGATGCCCTGGGGAGGGATATGTGTCTTCACATTCTGGCATTATACTGCAGCACTGTGGATGCTGCTATACTTATTTGATATATTATTAGGTAAAGGTTGCAAAATAAGCTTAGCTACTCTGTTGTAGTGTTAAATTCTGAGTCGTTAGCACCATTTCTGCAAGGCATGTGTCTGATACAACCACACTGCATGCAGCTATGGTGCTTTTGGTTCAGTTGGTCAGTGCTTGCTTTGGAAGTGGATGCCTAATGACTCAGCTTGTTTCTCTCTAAATGTCTTAATAAGCACCTGCTTCTAGTGTAAGTTCTTCTAAGTGGTAGGGTAAACGTAGTGATGAAGGTGTGATGGGGAGGTCTACTGTCTGTAGGTGTATTATGCCTAGGACTTACAAAGGAAGGATGTATTATCTACAAGCTAAGTTGTATTTCATTTTGGCAATGTCAAATACCAGTAAAATTTCCTTTTTTTTTTTTTTTTTTTTAAATTAAGTTTGCAACTCTTTTTTTAGCAATGCAAGCATCTCCCTTTAGGTCATTTGGTCAGTTACCTAGATTATAGTTACTCTGTTTTCAACTGTAATATTTCTGTGGGTCCTCAAATGTAAAACAGCAGCTTATGCACTGAAAATAGACTGAAGATAATAAATATACGATGTTTCAATGAAAATTGAGGTGATTGTATGTGAGTAAATGTGGTGACTTTTAATTAGACTTTAAAATAGGGTCTTCTCAAGAAGACACACTTAGACTCTAATGTATGTAGGTGTATGTATGTAACTGTAATGTTAGCTGTATTAGTACCTCATTCAAAAGTAGCAAAAACATTTGGGTCTAGTGTATGTGTACACTAATCAGATATACTTCAAAATTAATGGCTGCTTTAAAAATGATTACTCAAATGCTTATCAATTTCTTACAGCAATGTTGAAGAAGACTCAGCTACAAATGGTGGAAGTCTTGATATTGGAGGTATTCTTAAATATAAAAAGAACTACTCTTTGCTTCACTGGGATTCTGTGGAAGACATTTGCAAACAAAATGATGCTCCTACATTTCCATTTAGCAGCCATTTCTTATGACACACAAGGTCAAACATAGCATGTATGGTTTTTCTCATTTTACGTAGAGGTTTATCTTGGTTTCCTTTCAAAAGAGATCAGTAGGAATGTTATAGAGCCAATATTCAATTTTAGTATTTAATCTCAGATATATAGTAGCTTTTTTTTTTTTACGTCTTTTGAAATAATCTATTGAACTGCTGTTCTAAAACTGAAAAATGTTTTGCTTGTTCACGTGCTGTATATGCCAAGTGTCAGTTGTCTAAGTTTTTAAAGTGCCTGTAAGTCTTATTTTACCTTTTACTGCTCAGATGTTCTTATTGAAGTCTTAATCATTATAGTGGGAGGTAATACTATTTCTATAGAATATAATAATATATTTTAACACCCCCCTCCCCCCTTTCCCTCTCCTGTGTTTGATTTTTTGAATAGATTGAAGATCCGGGTTGCTTTTGGGTTACTGTAAAAGGATGTGGGCCTTATGCAGCCAATGAAATAGAATATAAAAACATGATTGCTGAAATGAATCAGTTTTATAACAAATCTTGTCGGGATATGGATGAAATAAAGCCCCTAACATTAGAAGAAGGCCAGGTAAAATCCTTGTTCTATCTTGTACACAGAGCAATTACATTATGTACAAGAAATAATTGATATTTCCACTGGTTTGGTAGTGAAGTATCCTAGATATGTATTAATCTTTTTTTAAAATATTAAAATATGTAGTAATGTAGAGAATGGCTTTCATGTACATTATAATGCTTAAATGTAAATTTCATAGCTACCTAAGCTGCAATATTGGCAGATTTTTTTAAAATTGGAATCTGACTGTATAATAAATAGTATAATCTTACCTCTGCAGGGAAAAAAAAAAAAAAAAAGATAAAAAGGATTCTGTTTGTAAGAAGTTACTGTCTCGTTTATTTATTTTTGTTTTTCTCGCTCTTTCAGACATGTGTGGTTTTTAGCAAGGAACTGAAGTGCTGGTGTAGAGCAGTTATTAAGTCAATCATGTCCTGCACAGATTATTATCTAGCAGAATGTTTTCTTGTGGATTATGCCAAATATATCTCTGTTAAATCAAAAGAGTAAGTATTAGTCGTTTGTTTGATTCTATCACTGTAATATATTTGTTAATTAATGTGCCCAAGGACACAATCACTAGCTGGTTTGGTTTAACTAAGATGTGGGTTGAGTCTTTAAAAGACTGCTAGATGTGTGGTGAACTCTGAGTAGATGAAAATGACCTTTGGTGCTTTTTTTAAGAAAAACTTTTTCATGTTTTTTCCTTAATGAAAAAAGGGAAGCTGAAAAAGTGGCAATTTATGTCCAAAATGTACACTTGCCTGCTAACATTATTTAAATGTTTCTCTTTATTACTAAAAGTTTATAAACTACTGAAATTTAAGTGACAACCAGTGAAGATTACTGGCAAAAAATATAGAGGTTTCAGGAGGGTTTCAGTTGCTGAATATCTTTATGGCATCCACATATCCAAATGTGGTGGTGGTGGTGTTTTCACATTCGGTCTATTAGCTTTTTTTACTTTGTAAGAGCTGGCAATCTGACTTGGCATGATGTAAAAAGATGAATGTGTGTGTGTTTGTTTTCCTCCCCTGAATAAAGCAGTATGGAACCTACTGTTTCTAGTGTCTCGAAATACAGCAAACAAGCCTGTTTCAGTTTTCAGCTTCAGACAGGATTTCTGTGTTTAAAATACACCGTTTTGAGTACAGTTAGTTTGAATAAGCGTCTTTTGCAATACTTATAAAATGAAGAAAGCTTATCCTAAGGAAAAGAAAACTTAGGAGTTAAGTGATGGTTAGTACTGAATGTTCCTGTGTTCAAGCGCAACTTGACACTGATGCGAGCTGAAAAGTGTGTTTCGATAGAAGAAAATTAATTGCTTAATTTACTGCTTTAAAAAAAAATGAAATGCAGATCTTAAACACATTATATACAGTATCTTCCGGTTTATTTAAAAATCTCCCTGCAAACTGAGTACAAGGGATAACTACTTATGAACATTTTACAGATAGCTTTACCGAGAGTGGTATTTTTAGGAAAACAAATGCAAATGAAGGAAGATGATGTATTTTAATACATTTACATCTTTTTGATCTTAATCAAATCTGTTTTCTCAGAAGCAAGAAATTCCAAATGGCATGTGCAATACCAGCATGATAGTGTGAGGGCTAAATATCGTGAGAAATCTAAGATGTTGAGAATAAGTATCAAAAAGCTTCTCAGCAAATGGGAAATTATTAATTTCCAGAGCAAAAGTACTCATTAATTGTTGCTGACAGCACCTCTCTTGGAGAGAATAAAGCAATGACTTCAGGAAGTTCTCCAGTAGGAGTCAAAATTCTGTAAGAACTGGATAACAGATAATAGAGAGATGTATGAGGAATGTCTCGAGAGTAAAAATTGCTCTGTAAAATGATGTTGCTTCTGCTTTGTTTTTTAAGCATTCGAATTGCAGTAGATGCATTTATGCAAATTCCATACAGAGCAAAGCAATGTGGACTGTATCGCACAAAGCCAGTGACTTTGCATATTGACTTTTGTGAAGATACTGCAAAAATAATGTAAGTATAGTTTAAGATGAAGTATACTATAGTCATTCTACATGAGTTCTATGCTGAACTGATAGTCTTTTACTTCTCCAATTGCATTTTTTTTTAGTTACTGGCTGTAATACAGTAAAAATATATGAGGATTAAAACAGGAATCAGTTGATCTTAGTGATAAATTGCAAGCATGGCTGTTAAGACTGACCTTGCATAATAAATATTAAGATTCTGCTAATTCTGTTCTAGTGAATACAGTTTTCAAGACTTTCCACTGTTTTGAGACAAATCATTTCTGATGTGTCAGTTTTCATAATACCATTTTAATTGTTGATATTTTTGGATAATTGATTATATTATGTTTATTTTCTTAGACCAGCTAGAAGATGGGATTGTGCTGCTACTCAGTATTTTCAAAGTCTTCTCAAAGGTAGATAAAAGATCCTCTCAATCTTAACTGGAACTTTTCCTGCTAGAGCAACAAATACTTTTTGTATTTGGTTAATTTTTGCAACATTCTTAAGTATACACGTTAAAAATCAAGAGTAATGCTTCCATAAGGTTTTTCTTTGATTAAGCCAAAATGATGAAAGTCATCAGCTATGAATAAGTGCAAACCTTCAGTATGATAGGCTTCTATGCCATGGAAAGGTCAATAGTTGACTAGATAGTAACTGATACAGGTTTTTCAAGGAGGCTGAATAACATAGCACTCATAACAACTGTTGAGGACAGTGGGACTTCTTTGTGCCTTAACCTCAGCCTTTAATTCAGCATTACAACCCTCTTCGCTGTCTATGTTGTTCAGTCTTCTGTAGAGATGGCAGGGTTTGCATTACCAGTTTACCCCTTCAGGTGGGTGACTGGATCATAGTTGTTTAATTGTACTTCAAGTACGTATTTACCAAACTAGAACTACCTGTTTCCTAGTCTGTTCTTGTCCTTTTCCACATCTATTGTTTCAGTAGCTCATCCAATCATTTATATATCTAGCCTTTGATTCGGTATGAAACAGAAAAGTCTTCCAACTAACAGCTATCAAAATGGTCTTTAATCTTCTTGCTAATGTGCTTCTAGGGTTTTTTTATGTATGGAGTTTGTTCTAATTGTGAGTAAGCAGGTAGCTGAGGCGCAGAGGATGAGTATGAGAATCATAAGGAGTCTTTATTCTGATAATGTTGTATACTGACCAGAACATAGTGCTTTTCATGATTTATACTGTTTCTTCACACATCTAATATATTTGTATTAGTTTATCTTCAAATGATTCTGTTACATTTTTTTATGTAATTTTTGTCTGGTTTGTGAAATAAAAGCAAAAATACTACTATTTTAGTAAGAGGTTAATATTTTTCCTATTTTCGTGATTTTGTTACCACCTTTAGCAACTACTGAAATCAAAGCCCAGTTATGTGCTATTGAAGATAACAAATTTGATGTTCTGCTTTATGTGACAATAAAAAATGAAAAGGTAAGTTTAATCTACAGATCTGTTAGCGTATCTCACTACATAAATTAAAAAAATTGTGATCAGGTTAAGACCGAAACAGCATGACTTCTAAATGAGTTTTTATAATTTTGTCAGGTATAATAAAAGCTAAGTCATTTAAATCATTAACTTTAGGCTTGGCTTTATATTTGCATTGCTCTTAGCCTTCTACAGGGATTTTGAGGGACACAAATTCTACACCTTGTACCTATTTTTAAGCATTGGAGTCTTTTTTTTAATGGAAATACAATCTTGAGTTTTTGAAGAAAATTAAGTTTTGCAGTTTTAACATCTTATTTAATATTTTTAAAATACACACTTGTGTGCTTTTTGTGGTATCTTTCTTATTTTTATATTATTATGCGATAGTCTTAATAAAACATCTTTAAATATTCTCTTTACAGTAGGTTGTGTCCTAGAATTTTAGTGAGAAGTAACTAAACCTACTTTGGAGAAGATGCCTGAAGACATTACTTTTTTTATTCTTCAGAAAGCATTCACAGGCACCTTTTCAATCTTGTTATTTAAAGCTTCAAATACATCCTAAAAGTATATATATTGTTTATTGCTTGTACATACAAAATTAAAAATATGGTCATTTGTAGGTATGTGTTAATGATGACCTTGTCTCAAAGAGTTTTGCTCATTTTGAAGAAATTAAAGAGATTACAGAGTGTCCTGCAAATGAAGAGAGCCAGAGGTCGTTAAATGTTGAGTATCCTCTTGGACTGAAAATTGCTCATCCTCCACTTCCTTTTAGACCAGTACTGTTTCAGGAGAAGGTATCCAAGAATCTTGAAACAGGTGAGCATCCTGTACATTAGAAACAGATGTGTATATACAATGTGTCATTTATCTTTAATTGGATTTATTGGATCCTGGGGCTAGTGTCTTGAGTCCAGCAATTGAATAAAATGGTTTCCCCTTAATGAAAAATACTATTGTATCAGAAGAGCAGTCAATCAGATGAAAGACTCGTGTAGTGTAGAAAAGCTAAGGATAAATTGATGTATTTGCTGATATGCTTAATAGTATTAGATGTTATTATGAAACTTACTTGGCTGTGATCAATAGTAGATTTTTTTTTTTTTTAATTTGGAGGGTTTTACTTCAACTGAGGGGCTTTTAAAGCTATAAGTTGCTTAGTGATTCAAAATTTTAAAAAATGCAACTTGTTTGATAAATCTTGTACTTTATCTGCTCATTTATCTTTTAGAACTGCAAAGCGAACTATATATGTTTTTTTCATTAGAGAAATTATAGAAACTCTGACAAATCAGGGGCAGTCCACTGTAACTAATACTGGAATACTGGTTCTGTATGTGCTGAGGCAACTTCAACTCCATAACACACTCATAATTTTCTTCTTAGGTCATACTGTTTCCAGTTCCTTCCTTATCAGGAAAGGACTGCATAATCACCACATGTCAAGCACAAATCTAAATGGAAGCACTGAATCTGTAAGTATTATGTCTCAGATTGTTACCAAAGCTAGATAATAACTTCTATGGTCATTTATCTTGTTCTTTTTTGTAACCTAGGTCTGGGGCTGCATGAATTCCTAATGTATTTCAGAATCTTCTAGTGTACTACTTTCATTACAGAGGATAAAAGTGTGCCGTGGCCTTTCAGGAGTTACCTCTCTTTATGCAGCCCTTGGTTTACAATTTTACAAAGATGGTAGCTGTCCCTACTAGAATTTTCAATTATTTTTATGTATAGCAGGGTAATGTTTAATGTTTCCCTGTAAACAAATTAGTCCTTACATTATATTTTGGTAAACGTTCCTGGAGTCTCTTACTTGCCATGTCTTCTACGAGAAGACAGTGAGGTTAGATGTTTAATCTTTTAATACTAGTGTATCCATTTTTTATTTCTTCAAAGATCTCATGTTCTGTCATGTGTCCCCTTCTGTGAAAGATTTATAGGAAAGATTTGCTTTTTTGATGGCAGTGGTACTAGCTCTTCCCTCGGCTCAGAGGAAAAGTTGTTTTCCAGAAATTATTTTCTAGCTCTGCTGACAGTTGGAGGATGACAACCACATTTGAATTTACCCTGGAATATCAAAAGATTTTGAAGATAGTTATGGTGAAAGTGAATTATTATTGGAGCAGAGCAAGATTCCTGTTATACTCTTCAATATTCAGCCAGCTGAATTACTTTTCAGACACTTGAGGGATGCAGGTCTTTCTGGTCAAGTTTGTGCTGTATGATGAATGCTAGTAAATCCTCTTAAACATCTAAAAGTTCTAGAAGTGATTGGGGATTTAATACCTGCTACAGCTTGCTTCCCTAGGAAGTTGCTCTGTCATGCATCTTAATTTCATGAGCATTTGCTTTGTAAATATGCATATGGATGACCTGTTCTGAAATGCAGCAATGGATAATCTGTTCTTATTTTTCTTCAATTTGTAGTGTGCAAGTTTTTTAGCTTTACTTTAAAAACATGGTATATGTGTAGTAACTAATCAGTATATGTTCATGCTATAAGTCTTGTTGATTTGAGTCCTCATTTACAGCAGTAACCAGAGATACAGTCAAAAACTGTGTGTGGATTATGTTCTTAATGTTGTTCTTGATTCCTAATATAAGATTTTACAAATTCAGTACAAGAAGTTAGACTTTTTCCTGAAAATTTTAATCCAAATTCGTTACAATCATTCAAGCTTGCAACTTTGTACAAACAGGTATCTAAATAGTTGGAGAATCTTGCAGTATGGCACGAAGTCCAATTTTAGCTCTGTGTACTTAATCTCTTTTCAAAAATATGTATCTTGAGAATTTCAATGTTTAAGTACTTGTTTGTATTTTCTTGTTAGATTGTCGAAGAAATGCCAAGTTTGCCTTTTGAGGAAAACGCAGCTGTTCATGTTCACACGGATGTGAACATGGGTCACACGAACAGGTATGATTCAATGTGTAGACTATATAAAATAACTCTGTAGCCAAATCTGTAGGAGCTGTAGTATGGTTTTGATCATTGTTCTGAGTGTTCTTAAAACACAAAACAAAAAAAACACAACAAAAAAAACTTAGAGGATGCTTTGAAGTTGTGGACATTCATCTACACCAAAAATAACATTTTTTTAAATATAAAGAAAAGTCTTAAAAAGCATGTTATGAAGAAGTACTGCCCTGCCCATTAAACATGTTAAGTTGCTTCAGCTGATTCTAGGCATAAGCTATAATGTTTCCTAACTTAAGGAAGTGAGAACGTAAATATATTTGTGCCAGGCTTGTCTTGTGACATCTGACAGTTCAGTGAATTCTTGGTTTGTGAGAAGACTTTTGAAATACTATTCATGGTATTTATGGTATTTGTGGTATTTATTGTTTATATTTTACTCTTTACATTATTTCTCATGTCTGGACACTTCAGACTTTTGCAGTTCTTAAATTCTGATCCTCTGAAGACTCACCTCATTAGAGAAGACCAACAGGTATTTTAGGCATTAACTTGCATATAATTTGAGCAATTACGCTAGTCTTTTATTTGTATTTTGATGCTGTAGTTGAAAACTAAGTGCGCACAAAACATATAATGTATTCTTCTGAGAAATTTCAGGCATTGTTGTGTTACGACAGTTTTGAAATCTTTTAGAAAGAAAGAGATGCTAATAGTTCGACTCACCAATGGGATGTGTAACTGCATCCAAATGTAATGATACAGGTTTTTTTGATCTGTTTTCATTAAAATACAAGAAATGCTAATGTGTCAATGTATGCAAACTAAAATCTTTTTATAGCATATTGTCCTTAAAACTATCTTCTGCTTGTCGTACAGTTTCAGAATGTTCAGAACATTAGTGCAGAAGAAAACTTTGTTTTTCTTAGCAACAAAATTGAGCCATCTACAATTTTGGAAACAGCGCCACTTTTCGATGAACTGAAAAAGGTAATGCTCATATTTAGTATTACGTTGAATGCCTTGTAAGGATAGTATTGTGTCCCAACATAGATTTCAGATACCACATCATTGTGGTAATACATTTTCTTACTCAAGGAATGTTTAAGCTGCTGTTTATATAACTGAATAAATGAAGAAACTTTAGAAGAATTGGTCAGACTTTCATACAGTTTTCTTAAAGATCAGCTACTGTCACACATCATAGGATTTGAATCTAAGTTTATTTTCATGGATGCTAAGGATGTTTATTGGAAAGTAAATCAACAGACTATAACATGCTCCTTGTTTATTTCTGTTTGTTAGTATTAACATTTAAATACCTCATTTTCGTCTGCAATTCTCCTCTCTGTAGGAACTTATCCGGAAAAATTTTTTGGGCCCTAACTTCACAGAATCTTATTGTTGGCCACCAATAGCTCGAGGATGTGATGTACTTGCCATCTCACATCAGGGAAATGATCCTCTGTTATATATTCCGCCAGTTCTTACGTTTTTGCAGTCAGAAAGTTGCTACAAATACTTGCCGAATAGGAGTGGAGTATGTATATATTATCCTCTGTTATATATTCCATCAGTTCTTAAGTTTTGCAGTCAGAAAGTTGCTACAAATACTTGCCGAATGGAGTGGAGTATGTATATATTAAAGAAGTGTATTCTGCTTTATAGTGCACATGTAGAAGTGCATCATTTAGAAAAATGATCCAAAAAATGTTGAATGTTTCCTCCCGAATGTCTTTGTATAGCTCTATAATATTTAGGAGTTTATATACAAAATCCCCCGCCTAAAGGGGATTTGAATCCCCTACCTGAATCTGGAGGCCTGAAACTCATTTATCAAGTAATGTCTAAGAAGTGATTAATGTCATATCACAAATATTCCATGAAGTTTTGTTATTAAGATGATAGTTTGTCCTTACTAAATTCAGATTTATGATAGCTGTTTAAAAACATCTATTAGCTGTTCTAAATATATGAATTCCTTCTGTAACTTTCATCGGATCACAGAAGCGTAGAATTACTGAGACCAGAAGTGACGTCTGGAAATTGTCTTATACAACCTTAATAAAATAAGATGCTGCAGTTTCTATGTTTGAACATTTTTGGACATTTTACTTTGTTTTATGCATCCCTCTTTATATTTCTAGGTATCTTGACTTAAGATTCCTTGCATCTGAAATATCTGCATTTAGGATGTATTATAGTACTAAAAGCTTCATTTTTAAAGTGCTTTAAATCCTGTTTTGCAGATCTTATTTGCTTTAAAACATGCTATGCCAATATTTAAGGTTCTGAACTGTTGTCTAATGCTGTGTAAAATTGTCTGTGCATAAATGTAGCCATTAGCATTAATTCTGTGTCCTGGATGGAAGAAGGCACAACTTGTTTTTGAATTATTGAAAACATACAGCAGATGTTCCAGACCTCTTCATCCCATGTTGATAATAGTTGGGGAAAAAAAAGAAGAAGCTAGGGACATTAAAATCCATCGAGGATGTAAGAACCTTTTTTAAATGTTTTAAATTATTTTTATTTACTGAAATATACTTGAAAACTATATGGGTTGTCTTAACTTCAGGAAATTGTGACAAGCTTTTAATAGTTTGTAGGTCTTTTGTTCTGTAACTTTATAGTTCTGTATTTTTAACACTAATTTTGTATGGAGTTCCAGTAGTGCTGTTTAAATGTTATTAAAGCTGTTCTGTGAATCTAACACCTGTACACTCAACATCTTTGTTTTAAGCTCTGTGATTATTAGTCTTGAGTCAGTTTAGTTGTAGACATATACCAAAGATAATGCTGAAGCAGAATTAATTATGATATTCCTTGATTTTTGGAACCAGGTTTTGTAATAGCTTTGGTTGATGTGTAAGTATTCATTCCTAACAAGGAAATATGTATACACAAATATCCCTCCATGTCTGTGAGTTATGTGTATATATATTTATTGATAAATATTTGGAAGATGAGTCTAATGCTGCTTTACAGCATACAGACTGGATGCAGTTCTGCTGTATCCTTCATACAAAAGGAAAAGAGAAGGTATTGGTAAAGGGATGTGAATGATTCTAAAGGATATAGTAGTTCACTGCAGATAATATTGCATAATTTGCTAATATTATATTCTTTGACGCTGTTTTAATGGCAGTTTATTCTTTATTACAATATGCTTACTGTAATACATTTATTACAGTAACTTTCATATAATTTCTGTAGTTATCTATAGTGAGTAGAGAATATAGTGAAAAGGTAGCATAAAAGACAGCAAAAAAGCTGCTGAGAGCTTTGCACTACTAAGTATTTAAAAAAAAAAAAGCTTTATTTGCTTTTGCTAATCTTGTATGAGCTTTTTGTTAAAAAGCCCACAATAATTGGTGATTATCCATCTCAGCCATGAGATCAGACCATGTTGCACAGGGCTTTAATTCAGTCAGGTCTGGAAAATCTCCAAGGGTGAAGACTGCACCAGCAAACCAAAATATTTGCTAACCTCTTGTCAGACAGTTGGGTCCAAGTGCCTCTGTGTGCATGCGTGTGTGTGTAAGTGCACATGTGTGTATTTTTTAAACACCCCATGTATTTACCCATATGTACACATACACACATGTGTCTAAATATTCAAGATGAGGCATCTGAAAGGCGGATAGGTCCTTTTTAATAAATGAGTATGGTTTTGTAGCTTTTTTGTATTTTTTAAGTTATGAATTAAGAACGTAACAATTGTTCTTCTACCATGTAGGTGAAGTTATCGTGACTACACCATACAGCCTCTTGAGACTGTTTGAACATCACAGTTTATTATTTCTTAGACTTTGCCATCTTATTTTTGATGAGATTGAGGTGCTGTTCTCTGAAGCTAGTGAACAGGTAAATGGGCTCTACATTCAAATGGTGATGTGCTCTTTCTGTTCCATGCCCATAACAGTCCTGAAGGTGCAGGAAGATACTCAAAGAAACAACCCTTCTCAACCCCATTGCAGAGTATAAGTTGTGAAGAGAGAAAACTATTCAGTTTTAGCAAAATGAAATACAAGAAAAATAGAATTGTAACCTTTCTCTGTCATTCATAGGTGTGTAGTTTGTTTATTTAATGGAATAAGTGCTCTGTTTTGTCCTCTTTCGTGCTTCAATGACTGCCCTTGACCTCTTAGGTCTGCTTTTACCTTGTTTGATCAAACAGTGTAAACAGTGTCCATTCTGGTAATATACTCACTGGATTGGAGAGAGAGAGAGGAAAAAAAAAAAAACTTCTCTCTTTTTAATAGGTTTTTACCCTACTAGATTGTTACAGGAAAGCTATAACTATAGAAGAACGACTATATTCGCCACATCAGATCGTTGCTGTCGGAACTTGTTGGAATAAGCATTTAGCACATTTACTAAAGGAGTTCATGAAAGATCCTTATGTTGTGATAACTGCTATGGAAGAAGCTTCCATATATGGAAATGTCCAACAGGTAGGAATTTGGGAATGGTGCAGCTGTGTGCATACTATTTCTTACTGGGTGTGTGTTGATGACACTCAGTATGCTAGTCTGCTGGTAGCTTGGTTTGCTTTAAGTTTGATGGTGCAGAGCACTGTTCAGATTCATATCTCATCAGCTTGAGCTGATTCTTAGTGAATCTGTATAATATTAGTTTGATTTTATCAAGTGAACATAGGCTTTTCAAAATATCCTAAATTGATGTCCTTTCCAGAAAGTGTACCTTTTGTGAGCTAGCAAAAAAGCTAGGGTGTACTGTTTTTTTTTTTTTTCTTTTTTTCTTAGGTAATGTTCTATAACAATGTGAAGGAAGAATTATGTAGCAAAATGTCATTACATGAATTATGTAATAATAACCTCTATTTTATATTGACTTTTAGGTTGTGCAGCTTTGCTTGAACAATGAGAGAATTGCTGTGTTGCTCAGAATACTGGATTTAACACCTAACCATGTTGAAAAGATGCTGATATTCACCAGTACAAGAAATGAAGCAGAGATGGTTCATCAGGTAACAGTTTAGCTACATGTTACTTAAAATGTTAATATGACAAGTTAAATATCTTGGCTCCCAAGAGGAAAGGGCTATGCATCTGGAAGCTGGCTGTTTCTGTTAAGAAGAGCTCCCAACGCTACCTTTTTGCCAGCTCTAAAAAACTTGAGCTGACAGGCATGTCCTACATAGAGTCTGTTACTGAATTTATAACTGATATGTGACTGTTAGATAGAAGCTTGATTTGGATCAAGGTGGCTTTTTCTCTGTAAAAATTCTGACAATGTGAGGATGTGTGCTTTTTTGGGGCCGGGGGAAGAGAGGGGAAGGTTGTCTTTGTTTAAAGAAGTGATTGGGGAGGTGGGGAGGGGGGAGCAGGAAAAGGTCATGACATTACAAAATTTTGTTCTGTTGCCTTTCTGATAACTGGTGTTGTAGAATGAGGGCTATTGCCCCTGTTTGAGGGAAGTGTTTCCTGCCATCCTGTGAAAATCCACCATAATTAAGCCAGGCTTGAAGTCCTCGGGGATTGAGAGAATAGTATACTTGGTAGAGATTTTCTCACAAACTGACAGAAAGCTTTTTCCACATGGAACATGCTATGACTTTATAACTTGTTCTTAATGAGTTGCGTACTGAGTATTTGAGAGAGGAAGACTAAGGACTTCTTGCTGTGCTTAGTCTTTGTGCAATGCACGCAGTAATAGAGAATAGAAAAAAAGAAATCTTTCTTGCGCTTTAATTGGAATTTTCTTGGTCCTCAGAACCTATGAAGTAAGAATGATGTTCGTTGTGATTTGGTTGTTAAGCAGGCGTTGGGGAGCAGTGCTGTTGAGCCTGGATAGGCAGGTGTGGATGAGGGGGATATTATCTGGGGCTCAGGGTGGCAGGCTGTGAGGATTTTAAAATTAAAACCTGAAGAAACCTTGGAGATAGCTTCAAGGATGACAGATTGAAAGGGTGTATGACTAACTGATCAGTGTTGATATAAGTGTTGATGTATCTTTAATAAGTGTTAACTTAATTCATTTAGACACTTGAGGTTTTTAATTTACTCGGTGCTTTCGTATTTCCCTTCTAATTTATGATCCTTGAACTTGACAGAGGTGTAGAGCCTTTTGATGTAGGAAATGAATATTTTTATTCTTAAGTAGATTTCATACAAACAACCTAAGAATTGTATAGCCCTGTTATTGACTCTCCCTTTATAGTAACTAAGGGCAGCTAAAGGCTAACAAGATATACTTAAAACTAAGAGAGTTCATTAGAGCAGTTATTGCAGTATGTCAATGTCACTTTTTTCATCATCAGGCACTGAGAAGCAATTCGGTATATTCTGTGAAAATACATAAAGAAAGTGAGTTTAATTTTGAAAATGCTCTACAGCACTGGACAAAAAAATGCACTTCTGGCAGTCGTGTTGTGTTAGGTGAGTATTTTCTGTTTCATTGTCAGTTTGCAATTATTTTTTCATAGTAAATTACATTTTACTAGCTCATCTTGCTGGTGCAGTCCTGAAGGGCTTAGGGAAAAGGCTATTTTGTCAAATGTTAGCAGATGATGTTCTGCTTCATTAGATTTATGCTTGCGTTTGACTTGGATAAAGAATTGTGAAGTGCTTGTCAAGTAGCTGTTTCTGGTTGTCTTGATACTGATTCAAGATACGGGATTACACAAGAGGTAATTAGAGGCAACTAACGTGTATTCCCATATCTACCATTTGTTTATGAAATTTTACTGAAGAAACCTAATACTTTATGTGAGTGTATCTTAAAAAGATCTTTTTGTTGTTGTTACAGCTGAATTGGTAAAAGATAGGTTAAATATGATGTAATACTTAAGATAATTGTAGCACTATTTAAATACATTGTATGTACAAAACATGTTTTTAGTCTTAACAGATGACTGCATGCAGTCTTTGGGAATTACGGATGCAACTTGTGTGATACATTTCAGTTTTCCTTCTTCTCCAAGAATCTTTGGTTGGCGTCTACAGAACATGTCTGACAACTTCGATAATGTGGTAGAGAAGGTTTGAGCAAATCATGAACAAGTTAATACTAACATTTGATGCTTACACATGGATAAGCTTTTTATTTATTTTTAGGGTGCTTGGGTAGATCAGGAGTCAAAGGCAAGGTCAATCTTACTACTGACAGAAAATGATGCCTGCCATGCTCTTGGGGTCCTGCGCTATTTGGAGCATGCTGAAACTGAAATCCCACGAGAACTTCATGATTTTACTGCCAGGGTGCTAGAAGCTGAAGAAGAGAAGAAGTTTGCAAGGCCACTCTGCACCTATCTTAAAACACTTGGTATTTGCAAGTAAGGAAATAAGTTTTCCCAATACTTTCATAACAAGGCATTATCTGCTTTGAATCATTACTAGTATTAGATACTTGATTTTTTTTTTTTCCTGTGGAATACTAACTTGAATCAATTTTTTTTTTTGTGTGGTTCATTCTTAACTGCTTTGTTTGTGCTAGTCTTTATGTACTTTTATAAGAACAAAAAATGAACATGTTTTTTCTGGAGACCAGTACATAGTCTGGTGCCATAATTTATGGTCCTAGCACTGATTCAGATGTACTTGAGTGAGCTTCAAACCACAGATTGATTATTATTCTAGGCACAGTTTCACTTGGCTGGTATGTGCTTTATCCTCACCTTCCTTAGAGGTGAGCACGTGGATGGTAACTTATCTCTGAGCTGTGTAAAAATGGACCATAAGTAGTGTCTGAGGGAGGAAGCTAAAACATTGTCAGTTATGACAGCTCTGTGGAGCTGCTGGAGAGAGTCCAGCGCAGGGCTACCAGGATGATCAGAGGCCTGGAACATCTGCGCTATGAGCAAAGGCTGAGAGAGCTGGGTCTGTTCAGCCTGGAGAAGAGGAGGCTGAGGGGGGACCTGATCAGCGTGTATAAATACCTCAAGGGAGGCAGTGAGGAGGAGGGGGGCGGCCTCTTTTCAGTGGTGGGCAGGGATAGGACTAGAGGAAATGGCTTCAAACTGAAGCATCGGAAGTTCCACAGGAACTTAAGGAAGCATTTCTTCACTGTGCGGGTGACAAAGCACTGGAACAGGCTGCCCAGAGAGGTTGTGGAGTCTCCTTCTTTGGAGATCTTTAAAACCCGCTTGGATGCAGCCCTGTGCAACGTGCTCTAGGTGACCCTGCGTGAGCAGGGGGGTTGGACTCGATGACCTCTGAGGTCCCTTCCAACCTTCGGCATTCTATGATTCTATGATTCTATGACTTCAGGGAAGAGATCGTTAGGAGTAATGGGGGGGGGAGGGGGGCTATTTTTAATGCTTGTTTTTGTCTAAAATAAGGTGTTCTTTTTATTATAAGCTTAACTCATTAAGACAGGCAGATAAAAGTGTCAAAACTATCTCCTTCAGTCATTGGTACTGTTTGGTAACCAATTTCTGTCTCATTTGGGACTTGTACAGACTTCGGTATTTGAAGTGTTTTAAATTGCATCAAAATATCTTATCGCTGAAAATAAAGGATTGCTTTCTAAACTGTTTTTTCTCCTAATATATAGGAATAGGAGAGTGTGTGCAGATCGTCATCACATTAATGTACAAACAGATATGACAGATAAAATTATAGCAACACCTGGGTGTGTGACAGTAAGTTACTAGTATTCTTCTTGTTTTCAGGTACAGAGAGCAGATCTTAAGTAGCCATATTTAGCACATCACTATTTTTCTTCTCAGGTTCCACTAATATTATTATGTACTGTGTCACTGGGATTTTTTTTTATTTTGTTTTTCACCTTGGACTTGCAAGATTACAGCATAAACAAGCAGTGTAAAATATTTTCCTTATTCCTTAATCTGAAAGGAAAACATTTTGCTGGTGACTAAGCTGCTCTCTGACTGTCTTCTGCCTTAATAATGAAGATTTTTATAGCCTAGCTTTCTGTTGGCAGGGCTAATATGTTCTGGTTATTTCCTCATGTAAACTGAGATCATTGACCAAAATTAATAAAGATTCTCAATTTCCTGTAGATTTTTAATAATCAAAGTTCACTGCACAGAAGATGAGAATTAACATTCTAAAGGGAAGGGGAAGAAGTTGGTGGAAAGAGAAATGCATGTTGTTAGAAGTGAGGATTGAAAGACATATGTATCTTGAACATGAGTTAACTTCAAAAATCATTTAGATTTTTTTTTTTTTTAGTTTCTTTTTTTCTCCCTTTGTATATTCTGTGTTGCAGATATTGCCTCTCCATATTATAAATGCAACAAACTACTTTGGTCGCATAATAGATAAACAAAAGGACCAATATGCAATTCTTGCTGAAGAAATCAATGATTATTTTAAGAACCCCGGCAATAAGGTCTGTGTTGAAAGGGTGGAAAGGCTAGCGTTGTATGCATTGTATGAAGAAGCACTTTTTCACAGGTAAAAATGTTCCTTTTTTTTCTTTTTTTTTTTTTTCAGTATAAAATATTTGAACTTCTGCTATTTATGAAAGAAATTTCTAAGTTTCTATACGGAAACTAAAGTGAATAAGTGCCCATGTGCATATGCATTTCTGTAATTTTATAAAAATATGTAACATCTTAACATGAAATATATTTTCTGTTTTGCTTACTGTAAAAATTTAATTTTTAAACTATTAGAAAAGTAAATTCTAAGTTTTTTACAACTGATATTATAAATAAGAATTTAATTTTTCCTTTCTAACCCTTGTGAAGGGTTCAGGTGGTAGAGGTTTCCCCAAACAAAGAAGAAAAATTATTTTCTAATGTTACCATTAAATACGTAGATGAAGGCAGAATAAGTCAAGTTGAGAGCCATCAGCTGCTTCAGTTACCTGCAAGATTTCAGTGTCTGCCACCTCAGGCTGTGGAATTTATAGTTTGTAGTGTGAAGCCCATTGATAATGAAATTGAATGGAACCCAAGGGTAATGTTCATCTTTTTTTCCTTGTCTCTATATAAAAACAGTTATAAAAGTATGAGTTCTCAAACTTCATTGCGTATTAATACTGCCAACAGATAGGTTCAGGTAATTTAAGTTAATTTTCTTAATTTTTATGTCTGCAAGATAATAAAGTGAACCTATCTGAAGATAGCTGTGAAGATAGGGAGTAACAGGGGAAGGATGTCCTCTGTAAGATGATCTGTTTAAGTATCATTCGTTTAAGAAAACGCCATCTTCTAGGAGTAATACTATTTTAATTTGTTAATATTTGGAGCGTTTTGTCAGTTAATTAAAATAATTTACTGAATACTCTATCATGGTTAATTTTAATGAAACAACTTGAAGAGCTTAAAATAACTGCAAAATTATGTTTTTGCACATCTAAAACAGACTGCTCCTTTGTTTTTAAGGTTACTAGCCACATTTATCACAAAATCAAAGGAAATCCCCATGAAGCAAAAGTAGTGCTAACTTTGGGAAATACTATTTGGGTTGACCCAATGGTAAGTCATTATGGCATTAGGAGTTTAGATAAAAATAATTTATTGATATATATATATATAGGTTTCTTACCTCTTATTGTTTTATTCAGTGTCTGCATAACGCTATTCATCTATATTAGTTTCTGAGTAGGCACACTCACATATTCTATCTTGAATTCAGAGTTAAATTGAAGTAACAGCAGCAGATTAATTCATAATGTCATTCAGAGTATTCCAAAAGCAGCTAGTAAAAATGCATTTTGGAAATAAGCTTTTTTGTTTTTTTTTTCACATAAATGAGTATGTTTCACGTAAATGAATGGGGATGTGTTTACTGCTGTGAGATGTTTACTGTGTTTTCTATTTGAAGAACAGCTTAGAGGTGATGACAGTCTATAAGCTGTTGTTTTCATCTTTTATGTTCTGGAATTCAAGGTTCGAGTTACTAGGCTTTCAAATTTGAAGACCTCTGTCAATGAATACAATGTTCGATCTGAGATTTTGTCCATGGGGCTAGGAACAGACAATCCAGAACACATAGAACAACTTCAGAAGCTGTGCAGACATGTGAAGGTACCAGCTCATGAGAAGAACCTGGGGGCTTTGTAAGTGTCTAGAAGGATTTTTTTTTTGTATTTATTTAAGTATAGGGAAAAATCACTGAATTGGATATTTAGAAACAGAAATATTACTGAATCTTAATATGAACTTTTCATTTAGACGTGGAAATAATGGTGCTTGTGATGTGTGCTTTTCTCTGACTATTCTTTTGTGACAAAACTAGCCATTAAGGTAGGTAATTTTGAGTCTCAACTCGGTTTCTCTTGTCTTTATTAAGACCACTTGGGTCTTTTTGAGTGCTTACTAGTCAATACACAGCTCTAAGAAAATATATAGTTGTTGTATGTACAATTTTTTTTTCTTTTTAAAAGAAAAAGGAAGGAAAGAATTTCCAAGTATGATTAGGAATACTTTAGCTATTAAGTTTGTGTAAAACTTTTCTTTTAAAAGTATGCCTTTTTTATGTCCACAAGATTAAAGAAGGAAATGACCAGTCCACAAAATATGTGCAACTTGCAAAATATACAAGAAAACTCTAATGAAAGCCGTAGTTCTTCCAAAATGACTATGGAGAATCATCCATATGGTAAATGTGTTTTATTTTACTGAGGAGAAGGATTTGGGTGTTTTTCAGTAAAGAAAGTGCAAAAAAATGAAGTCTTTAATATTTGAAAAGGATGAAATTGTTCTGCCTGGAATTTGCCTTTAGCTTAAAGAGGAGATAGGTTATGTTCTACGACTAGTGTTTGGCAAAATTCAGAGTTAAATACTCTCTACAGTCTCTTTTATTACTTAAAAAGAGCTTCAAAGCACATAATTATGTAGACTCAACTCCTTTCCAATCTTGTATATCACTTTCAAACTGTGAAATGTAGCCATTATAAGAATTTAAATGCTACCTATCAATTAAGTCCTCAAAGATCGGAAAAATCTTTTTCTTGACTTAGAAAAATGTGGTGGAAGGAATTGGTTGTTTTGTTTTAAATACCAACTATAATAGTTACTTTTCAGTTAAAGTTTTCAGATGAGTTAGTAACTTTGTGAAATATTTCTGAATGGGGAGTACCCAGTATAATTACAAATATATACTTGCACTCAACACTGACAAGTTATTTTTGTGACACTACTATGATAGTCTGGAACTGTCTGGTTTCTACTGTACAGATAAGAAACCCAAAAGGTATTTATTTATTTTCAGATGATGTAGCTGAAATTAAAGAAGCAGAAGACTCTACCCTTCATCAGCATAAATGGTACAAAAATTCAGAATGAGTAATTGCTAGGTTTTTATTTTATCTTTTTGAACTACTTGTGTTTATTTCCATCTATTAATATAGTTTAATTATAACTTATCTATCCATTGCTGAGTATTGATACTTAATGACATGAAGTGGTTTTGAGTGTCTGTCCTTGATGTGACTTTGTTCTTCAAAAGAACAGAAATCTGATTTTGTTTGGAAAGTGAGTGCCCGCAACATGGAATTATGGCCTGTTTTTCATTTTGGAATATGGATCCAAGTAATGTAGATTTGCAACTGTTTAGGATGCCTGTTAGGAAGAAATTGTAAGGTGCTTTGTGGATAAGACAATTTGTGGAGCATGCAGTAGAAATAAGTGTTAAATCCTTTTCTTATCTAGGCTAGGCTGTCTTTATGAATATACTAAGGGATATCCTACTTGCAGTTGGTAGGAAAGGTGGAACACAGTGGATCTTTAAGCATTCTTCAGTTTTTCCTGAAGAATGGACTTCGGGAACAGACAGCTTTTCTTGGATTTTTTTGTTTTGTTTTTTGTTTTTCTTTCCTGTTCTACCTATCATGCTAGCCATGGTTTGATATTTTGTGTTTATGTACATGTATTTTAATCTGTTGGAAAAGTTGTTGGAGTAGGAGGAGGAAGAAAACAACAAAAAGGATTATTGAAGATTGAATGTGCATGTTTCTTCTCTTGCAGCTTTGCTGCCACATGGAGGATTTTTTCAGTAGTAATTTAAATTGAGGTGTGACTCATCAGTTAGGTTCATGAGAGCTTGTATGGGACTCAAAGAATAAGAGAAGCAACATGAATGAACTGCTATCACACTCTTCTAATGGGGTTTATCTTCTATCGGTTGCAATATAATTTGAGTGAAGTCTCAGTTGGAAAGAATTGAGGCAGAGAAGAGGGGAAATTGCCAAATTAAAAGTGCTCGTGTTCCTTGTCTTCTGCTGAGAGTGAATTTTTTATCCCAGTTGCCAGATGCTCTGGGTGTCCCTGCTTGAGCCGGGGGGTTGGACTAGATGATCTTGAGAGGTCTCTTCCAACCTCAACCATCCTATGATTTAACAGCAGTTGAGTATGTGGTTGAAAACCTTGCTGAAATGTGTGCCTGGCTGGTTAAAAAGTTTGCTTTCTTTTTAGAGGTTGATCTTGTTACCATTACCTTTTCCATTGCTGTTTCAAGATTAATTATGATGCAGTAAAATGAGGCAGTACGCTTAATGATAGTTGATGCATGCACTGTGTTTCTTTCCACTTCAGTTAGTAGATGTGCTGCTCCAATGACTGAGACTGTAGTGCCTTTGTAGCAAGTTCATGGCTGACAGGATATCATGTGCTTTTCTGACATTCTACAATGTAAAATTATTATGTTTAAGTACTCAATCCAAATGCTAGAGCTCAGCTGCTTGTTTGCTTACAGGGAGAATCATGGTTGTACACTCATTTGCTTCCTTAAGCTGTGTTTTAACTCTCTTTATTTTAGGTTTTATCCAGAAATAAAATGGTTTCAGAACAAAGAAACTGTTACAGTGAAAGTTAAAATAACAAGTATAGCTGATTATAAATGTGAATTCTCTAAGGAGAAGGTGGTTTTCAGGTAGGTTTAAGAAATACAAGTTTAGTAAGCATAAAACTTGACTGTTGTCAGCCTTTATTTAGCTTTTCTACATTTTTTTTTCTTGACATAGTGCTTTTTCGGGAGACAAATCTTACTTGGCCGACATGGAACTGCACCAGCCCATACTTGCAGAGAAGTCTGTGTGTGTGATTAAGGATAAAGAGGCTGTTATTGTCCTTGCAAAAGAGGAAAGAGAGCTCTGGTGCAAGCTGCTGAAAAATAAGGTGAAATGGAAATGAATTTGAAAATTATTAAATGTTCCAAACATATTAACTGTGCCTCATAAGGAGTATTTCAAACAATGTTTTTGTTAACAGAATCTTCATGTGTCTTTGGATTTTGAACACTGGGAAGATTTTGAGGATAAAGGCCCATTTCCAGTTGGTAAGAAGTGAACCAAATGTTGATGCTCATCATGCATAAAATAAGCATGTTAATATTTGTGTAGGCTTATATCTGAAACAATTGAATATTTCAGACAGTGGCACTCTTGACTGAACCTTCTTTTGTTTTCGGAAGACATCTCAATTACATGGCTAGATATAGCAAGGAATTTTTCTTTTAGAAAAGCATGTTTCAAAAATAAAGTAGATCATAGTGTTTTGGTCTGAATTGTAGTCTACAGCACTTTCTTACACTTTGGAATATTATTTGTTGTGAAACTATTGATCTTCTCACTTCATAATGTTTCTGTTCATTACTTGTAGGTATTAAAAAGTTGCATTATGCTCATGTGGTAACAGAATGGATGGACTCTTCAGAAGACAGTGAAACAGAAAGTGATGATTAATTTGGAGATAAATTTCTCTCCTGTACTAATATTTATGCTTCAAAATACTGTTTCTATTCTATGAGTATTTCCAGTCAAGTTGGTGAAACTAACTACACAGGTTGCAGAACTGTCCTTAATTATGTAGGAAGCAAATAGTAAATGACATTCTTGCCTTTTGACTTTCACAAAACACTGTATATTTTTCAATGCCTTCACCTTAAAATTCCATTTATTGATGGTGTGCACATATGTAAATGTGATGTCCAAACAGTAAAAATAAATGCAAAGATTAAACTTAGTTTCTGAGGCATTTGATTTTCCTTGCAGTTAACAGAGCTTCTAGTTTACTTGCTTGAATGAATTTGCAGTATTAGTGATAGTTATTCTTTCTTTCTTTTAGATAAATTCTAGTGACCAGTTGTTTCTACTATGTCCCTTTCATGCATACACTGTCACTTCTGTTAGTGATCATCACATGTGTCGGGTCTGTGTCATTAAGGTGTCTGCTGCAGTGTTGATGCAGCTTAGTTTTGTTACTTGGCTGGAGATGTATTGAGATGGTACAAAACTCTGAGTTGTACAGCTTTCCTGGAACGAGCACTGCGGAGATTCGGTATTTATCTCAGCATCTTCACTTTCCATCAATGCTTTTGCTGAACTCATTCCGTCTCAATGTATCCAAACATCCTTTGTCATCTAGATAATCTAGGTAATTCTCATCTGACTGGTTCAGCATTAGGAAATTGTTTCACTGTTGTATTTGTACTTGTCAAGAATATTTTATGTCAAATTTAAAAGCCATTTATAATACACAAACCTGGTATTGATCTCTTTGCATTCGTAGATCTCAGTGCATTTTGCGGTCCTCCCGACACAGTGATTTAGAATAGAGTTTTAAACTTGTGTTTTTAACAAGAGGGTTAAGAGTATTTTGGGAGGGATTTTTCTTTCAAGAAACACTGTATGTATTCCTTTATTTCAAGAATGGGTAAAATCTGTAATAGTATATATTGCTGTGACATACTTTATATTTTTTTGTAGTGTTCATAAACACTCAAGAAAGCTTTTCTGTTCTTTGTGACTATTGAAGAATATTGCTGATGCCAATGGAAAAATGCAGTGCAACAGAAAAGTTTGCAGTAGGTAGTAAATGTGTGGTTAAAGAAAAATATTTACCGTGGTGATCCTGATTATAGCTGTGCTTAATTATAATCTTCACTTGGGTATAGATATTTGTGAAGTTTAATTGCCTTAGAAGAACTTTAATGGAAATAATTAACTTTATTTTGATCATGTTGTATCCTGTCATGCTAACTGAGCTGACCAGCATTGAACAACCAGCTTAAAAAGCCTAGTGGAGGAGGATGTTTTCCTACCATGCACATTTTGCTCTACTTGGATTTGTCTCGTACCTAAATACAGTGTGAAGAGCTTTTTTTCTGTTGGAAGTTAAATCCATTGGGATGTGCCTGCTAAATATCAAGATTGTTTGGAACTAAGACTTCATATATGAGATGAAGGCAAAACCTCCCTCACCCTGATAGCAACTGCCAAGAGCCAGTGTATAAAGAACAGTGAAGGAGAAGCTATAGCCACAAAATTTCCTTTAAGTGAATTAGTTACATCGTTTTATATGTACCTTTGGGAATGTTTTTCTGTATATATAAACCAAGAGTGAAATATATAGAAACATATGGTTTGTTTAGTTGTATATAGCTGTAGAAAAAATAGAAAAAAGATTCTTTCATCGAGCTGTTAGGTTAGAGTTGGTGTGAACTTTGTGTCCTGAAGAGTTTCTCAATATTTTGTTTTGAAATGAATACACTTGCAACTTGGTGTTGGAAGGATCGGTGTTTTCAGTACTTTGGTCAGTTTTCTGAAACTAATTGGCTTAAAATGTTGCTATATGTCTTGGAGGTGTGTGGAGGTTTGGGGTTTTTATCGCTTTGCAGTGAGGGAGTATAAAAGATGTTAACCAGAATCTGTCTGCCCTAAGCAGGGAGAACAGAGGCTGCTTGCATTTGTATGCAAGTCTACAAGCTAACTTTTTATTTCTGCTTAAATGCCATTTGAACAAATACCTGAGAAGCTTTTACTTATTGCCTTGCAAGACTTTTTTTCTGTCTCTTCCAGTCAGTTGGGCTTTTCATTTTTGCTTTAATCCCTATTTCCTCAGTCTTTACTTGATTTCCAACATTTGACATGAGAGAGCAGAGTTGCTTTGTGTTTACGTTACAGTTTTGTGGGGCCTGTTGTAGATTATGTTGTGAATAGGAGCTACTTGGTTCTTTCAGCAGCAGAACACAGTGGGCATCCTGACAAAGTATTGGTGGTAAGTATCTTCATAACTGAAAACTCTCTGGTGTTTTTTCTAAGTCATTTTAATGCAGAAAATGAAGTACTTTGTTACCGTATTCATAGTAATAAAAAAGCTCTGGCATCTACTTGTAATATGGTATGAATCTTCTTTTTTTTCATATCTCAAATATCTTATATGCCAAATACAGTTGCAAAAATAGCATCCACCAGGATAAACATACTAATTCAGAACGCATAAATGTTTAAATTGAAACAGCTTCAACAAACAGCTTCATATCAAAATATTTTATTCAGTAACTTCCTCTGCTGGAACAACTTCCAAAAGCATCTGAAGGTGCATAGTGACAGGTTCTGAGAAGAAGAAGTTATCATTAGAGGCTTTATTTTGTAATGTCTTGTATTATTTTTCTAAGTGAGAAAGTTAACCGATAGTTATTCTCCTTTTCTGCACTAACACTGAAAACTTCTTAAAAAAAAAAAAAATGGAGGAGGCAGGTAAAAATGATGCTAAGATCTTAGCTATCAAATTCCTTTTTTTCCTTTTCTTTCTCTCCATTTCATATGTTACACTACTTCAGATGCTTAACAACATAGTGTGTAAAAACGGCAGAGGCTGCAGGGAAAAGACAGATGACAGTATTTAATGTCATTAAAACTGCTAATTCTGTCAGTTCTGTCTGGTCCAGTCCTTTGATGGTATCTGTATCCTCTTAGTTCTCCAAGCAAATAGTTAAGAATGTCTTTTAAGGTTATGCAAAACTGTTTTCATGAATAGTCGCATTTTTATATTTTTCTTCTTTGACTTTCCTCTGCAGCAATGCAATCAATTTTTGCCCTTAATGCTGTTAACATTCTCTTTATTAAAAATTGATAAATTGAGCTGACAGCAGAGTGCTTAGTGGCATAATATATCCATGCATGTCTCCTGATCTTTTGGCTAGAGCAATGTTCTGAAATAAGACTTGGAAAGCTAAACTCGACAGTTTAAATAGTACTGTTAAATTCATTTTTTTCATGCTACTACTGTGCTGTGTTATTTCTCAAAACTTACTGTAAAGCCATTTTTTGCTGCTTTCATCAGAGGTCAGTAGATTTTTGAAGGGCAAAAATAAAGTCTTTACTGAAGCTTACTATGTATTCCTTGTGTCGTCGGGAAAATTGCCTCCCTCCCTCCCTGCCCTTGATACAGTTTAGGTGGGATGGACCCATATAGTGAGCTTTTATTAGGCTAAGGACTGTTTTTTGTTGCCTAGTAATGTTCTGTTGAATGTGCAGGCTATCTGCAGTATACTTACTTGTTATTTTTTGAGCCCAGTGGAATTTAAAGTGAACAAAAAGTACATAAAATATAAGTCCACTGAGCATAAATAAAACACAGTATAAGTATGCCCATTCAGGTGCACTAATGATTGGTGCCAATACCAGTAAAAGAGAGATTAATGTCACTATGACCGGAATGACAATGGGTATCTGCAAGACAGAAAGCGTAAAAATTCTTAGCAAATTCTTCAACTGTTTTTATTAATGTTGTGTTTGAAAGACATTTCATAGTAAAAGCTAGTAGAAAGCTATTGTCATTGCATTTCTTATTTTACATTTAAACATTTCTGGAATAAGAGGAGGCAGTTGGAAGAAGTAGCAAGAATAGCAATGTAACGCCATACGGCTCAGGAGCTGACTCGAGTGCAGTGAACCTTGGTTCTTATTTCAGATGCTCTTTCCTTGTTAGTTCTCTGGCTGCAGATTTCCAGACCTTGGAATCTGCACCTACGTTTCTGCCTGTGGTCTGTACAAGTGAAAAGCATCACTAGCTGACTCTTCACCCACTGAGGAGTGCATGTTGATGCTCCAGTGAGAAACTTGAGCAAGGAATGGAACCTCCAATAAATGGTGAGGTTTCCTTTATTCCTTTTCCCATTTATCCATTTGTTTTTAATTCTAAAGATACACAGGAAGGTGTGTGCCTCAAATGCAAACTTTTAGATTGAATGCAGCTTTACTGTTTATGGAAGTAGAGGGGGAAAAAAAACAAATGCTCAACTTACCCTGATTGGTCTTTTGAGTTCTTTTCTTGTAAACCTCATAACAATGAGTGCAAATATGGTTAAGCCATAAAATATCCAGACCGCAAAACTAAAATAGTTTATGAGAGTTTCAATGTCACCAGGGATAATATAAATAATAGCAATGGCCCCCTGAAAGGGAAAAAACAAAAATTAGTATAGCTCTTATACTACATCAGTGAACTTCACTGATGTAGACATGGATGTATGTTTATAGTGTTCCAGAATGATATCTGTGGGTGGAGTTGGCTTATGTGTAGGTATGGGTGTATGTTTACAGTGCTATGTGCATCTTTCTGTTTGTCTTTCATTTCAAATTTTGGGCGTGAGCAAATTGTAGCGTCTTTAAAGGTAGTACCTATGTCCTGCTAAACATGTTTAAGTCAAGCCACTTAAAAGTATGGGTGCACTGAGAGTATTAATGCTATGTTGATCTGTTTTGTTGCTGACTATATGCTGAACTTAAGAAGGAGAGTTTATGCCTTGAGGGAGGGGGAGGTTAAGGTCATTGTAGGCTGGGAGAGAAACGAACTTTTGAATTTTCCAGAATTGAAATTAGCTTGTTTTACTGTGAAGATTACTAGTAAAATAAGTGATAAAATAAATGATAAAGTTATAGAAATATTTTCTAGATTTAGTTTAAATTTGCTAAGATGTTTTTTTTGTTAGAAGAAATATAAATGCATTCTTACAAGGAAGAAATAATAGTAATAACTTTCAGCCACATCCTGTGGAATAAAGGTTTGTCTGTTAACAGTTTTAGTATTTCTTTTAATTTTGTTGTCACATTGTGAATAATTAACTTTTTGTAAGTCCAATTCTGAACTTCAAACTACGAGACCTAGCTATATATTATTCCTAATACATACTTAGCATTTTTTGTGTTTATGTAGTTGTATAAAGATCACGATTCTGCAGAGATAGTTCTGTATCAGCACTATGGTAAGCAATTCTGGAAGAATGTATCACTTGAGTTTTTTTGTTGTTGACAGTTTTCTATGCTTAGAATGCATACTTACATAAAATATGATAGCAGGTGCTGGTGTTAAACGCTTAACACTAATGTAAGACAGCACCTTGAGCATGTGCCCTTCACGACCTGCTACATAAACAAGTCTGACAAAACAAAAACAAGGTAATCTAGTTAGTGTGGTACTTAAAGTTTAGGTGCCATTACTTTAAAAAGAAAAAAAAAAACAGATTTTTAAATTTTGAGTATATTACTTTTCATGTTTGTTTTAGTATGTGGCTACAATTGACCAGAAGTTTTCTTGTGTACATTGGGCTTGCTTTGGAACACACTGGAATTTAAGGAACGGTATAGGAATGAGCTTGAAACTGGTTGTTTTTAAATTAGTTTGTACATCTTATTTTACTAAAAATAATTTAGGAAAAACATATTAGTTTCTCTTTTAACTGGGTATGTCATTTTTAGTTCACTTTATATCAAAAATCTATCTATTAATCTTCTGTATCTTCTTTATTTCAAAATAGTAGTTGGAAATGTTGCAACAGTTCATCTGAAACAGGTTCTCTTTCCAATTCTGATCTGGACCATTGGTCATATATTCATGTTCTTACTGCTAAAATCTTTTCTGTTTTGGAGAGAGACTGCTTCTACTACTTTTGAGAAAGACTTTTGCACCATACATGCTCTGAGTTAAGAATCAAACCCTATTTTCTAACTTCTCTTCAAACTAGGATATAGCCACTGCTTCCTTTTGATGGAGAAACCATATAGTTAAATTTGCAAATTTTTTAACGTAAGTGTTATACACTTATCTAAGAACGTATATATCTATGTGTGTAGAAGTGGGCAAATAAATGTACTTATATTTTTACTAGTGTCTTAAAAAAAAAAAAAAAAAATTAGAATGGAAGCTTACCTGCCTGCAGTAAAACAGGTTCCATTGGCTGATCCAATTGTAGACAAGGCAACAAAGAGAGGAACTATCCAGGAAGCTGGGTAAAGGACTCTGTCCCCAAATGTCTGGGATATGGGATTAAAATTAAGATTTTAATACTACTAGACATCTTCTGTAATGCTGGTGTTTCTTAAAAATGAATACATAAATGTGCAAGTAAATACTTCACTTTTTATCATTAAATCTGTATTTATTTGTTGTACATTTTGTTATCCAAAAATACTTGGCCAAATGAACACCTGAGTTGATTCATGCATCACATGCAAAAGTGGGATGTTGTTGTCTTGGTGTTCAAGATGCAGGATGTGTTGAAACCATTGGAAGGGGGGTTTTACTGGAGCTGTTGCTGGAGATAAGTCAATGCTGAGTCTTTTACTAGATGCTTTATTATGAAATAAGGCTTACCACAGCAACTGCCTGGGACTGCAGGAGCTCTGTTGAAGTCATAACGGTGAAATAGGAAATGTTGATCAGAACATAACAAACTGTAACCAAGGGGATCCCAATAATTATAGATAGTGGAAGATTTCTAAAGAATGCAAAAGTAATACAGTATCAGCATTGCTATTTTAGTAGGAGCTTTAGGGTAGTAACCAGGGTTCTTACTTTGTGTCTCCAATATGCTATTTAGATATATTTACAGTTTTTATTGCAGAGCCATGAATTGAGACAAAAAAAGAAAAAATCACAAGTGAAGAGATATAAATAGCTCTTCTGTCTGCTAGTGCTGAAAGCACCTTCCTTTAAAAGGTAAGACAAGGATACTTGTATAAGAAAAATACTAAATGCTTGACTTATTGAGAAAATCCTGCTTTCGTAGATATTTTTACCTGTAAGGGTCTTTAAGTTCTTCTGTGATGTAATTAAGTTGATTCCTAGAAGGAAAGAAATCATACCGTGTTACTAGCTGTCAAATTTTGAATTGCCCATCTATTTGAAGCTCAGATTAGTTGTGGTGGTGGTGTTACCCCTTCAATTTTTCATAGGTGAGGTCTTTATTAAATTGGCAGGGCTGAAACTATTTCTTTTCATCCAGCTATCAACCTCTTGATTTACTTTATGACTCTCTTTTCCTCTCTGTTTGTAATATGAAGTTCAGATATATCTTAACATTTAACTGAAATTCATAAAGTTGCCTTGAAACTTTCAATGTTTGAGTCCCCAGACAATAGCAGTAGCACTGCCAGAACTGAATCGAGTCTGCAAACACTTCACAGGAGTTCTGTAACTTGTTTCGTCTGTGAAACTTACAGGTGTAAGTCAAAGGTTTTTGTGAGAACTACAAATTTCACGTAATGTTTTTTGCTAGACCATGTGGACTAGTTGAAATATTTTTTTACTCTTCAGTTCCTATAATATGCATAGTAGTATTTACAGTTTTACAGGTTAGTTTCCAAATTACAATGCAAGATAAATATTTCAATTAGCATCAGCTGTTTGTTAGTTTTTTGTTCTGTTTTTTTCTCCCCGGGATTCATTTAAGAGATTCTCAATTACGTCAGATGTTTTTTTCACTGCATCTTTATAGTACTACGAGGAGAGACTAAACAGTTAAGATTGCTAAAGTGTAAATGATAACATTCAAAAAGATACCTTACCATCCATCGTATGCCCAGAGTCCGTTATAAAATGCCAGAGAGAGAGAACTTATAGAAATTTTACTGTCCTTGAAAGAGTCTTTAAAATTGTCAGTTTTTCCTGCAAATGAAACAGACTGGTTATTGATCGATGCTAACATTTTTTTTCCTTTCTATGGGATGAAAAACAATCCAACATCAGTTTATTTTTGAAACCTCATATTCTCCAAGACTGTTATTTATACTTTTTAATGCTCTGATTTAGTGTTGAATTCCCATTGGGCATGTGCACACACACACATCTCTGTGTACGCACTCAGAAAATGCTTTGCAACTTGAATTGTTTTTTCAGTCTCTGATCTTAAGAATTGAAAGCCCTTTGTAAGAGAAAATAGTGGTCTACCACTAAAACAGTGATAAATAAAATGCGTTGTTGATATGATGTTCCTGTCAGTGAAAGATTTTTAAAATAATCAGAGCAGAAACGAAATTAACTGTTGCAACTTATTGTGTATTTAATTACCTTGTGCAAGAAGAACAATTCCACTTACAATAATGACTGTGACAATGATCATTTTAGCAGCTGTGAGAAAATTCTGAAGATAGCTTCCCAGCTTCACACTCAATGAATTCACTATTGTAATTACCACTGTAAGAAATAAATTCACGTTTCTCATGTTAGCTTGTCAGTATTTAAGTAAATATTGCGTTTAAATTTTTTTCCTTATGTAACGGCACTGCTTTTTGCTTCCAGTCTGTTTGTCAGTACTACTCATATAATATTTTTACCATACTGAGTTTGGAGAACTGGAAAAAGGAGTGAGGAAAAATCTTTTAGAAGAGGTGCATGCTTTGAGAATAACTTGAGAAAAATTTTTTTGATAAATTCAAGAATTACAGGAATTACAGAAGAAACATCTCTATACCTGTATTCTTCTGCAATGCATAAGTATTTACCATGTGTCTGTATTATTCTTAAATAAATAATCTTAGGCTAAGTATAGTTTTTAAAATCTATGGGTTTTGAATGTTTCTGAGCTAGCTATTATGGGGAGGACTCGCTGTATTGTATTAGGAAGCTTCCTGGCCTTTTCACTGAAAAGTTGTGTGAATTAATCGTTACAATATCAATATGCAACTCCCATATATTGGAAGGCATTAGCTGGTGGAACTAAACAAATTACTATGTAATTAGGGAACTTGTTCCTTCTTTTTAAGAAGTGTAAATCTTACCAATGGCAGCTGCTGCAAGGCATTTGATGACAACTTGGGGTGGATCACAGCCAGGGTAAAAAGGAGCTGATGCATATTCCGCAAAGCTGAGACAAATGATTGCAAAAGAGCTGGGTTTTGTGACAAGTAAGCTTGTCCAAGAGAAGAGGTATGCTGGAATTGGGCCAAATGCCTCCATAAGGTAAGGATATTCTGCTCCGGATTTTGTGATCATTGTACCAAGCTCAGCAAAACAAAGCGCACCTGAACAACAAGAAACACAGTAATTACTATTTGTTTAGTTTACACACTTTTGAACCACAACTGCTTTGAACAGCTTTTTTTAATAGGTGATACAAGTTAAGGACTAGATATACATGATGCTCTGTTTCATGAGGTTTATCAACATTGCTGTTAGCACAAATTAATTTTCAGAGTTGTGATAAACAGTTTTTGAATTTGGGGGGGGATAAACAAACTATTAAAATATGGTCCAAAATTCGTTATTCTTTATGTCTAATTAAAGATCTTAAAGCACCACTCCTGCAGGTTTTTCTGTTTGCAAGTAGATAAAAACAAATGCAATAATTAAGTAGTTACTCCTGGGATCTCTTTTCTAATTATCTGCTGTATGTATGATATTATACTGTAAATACTGTAAAAGTAAAAGAAACATCCAGATAACTGTGCTGGCTGACCTAGCAGTTGGAAGCATAAGAGGGAAGAAAAAAAGAGAACTTGCTGCGCAATAATCAAAGTAAAATATCTATTAGAGTCTACTTGAAAGAGAAATGGCATTTTTGAATTTATTGCTGTAGCTGGCATCTTGTCAGTGCTGTGTACCTGATATGATGCATGAAGAACTACTTGTTTTATTTGTTCAAGTACTTTAAGGGGCTACTTTGCTGTAAATTATCAGATGCTAGAGTGGCTTGTACTTAAATTATATAGGTAGAAAAGCTGCAGAAGTGTAGCCCACTGCCAGTAAATTTCATATTATTTTGCCATTGATTTAGGTGGAAATATATTCTGTTTATTATGGTCAGCAGATGGAATAAGTAAAACTAAAACCTCATTTCCATATTAGATGAAAATGTGCTCTACTATTTGAGAATTCAATTTATCTTTTAGAAACAGCGTTATGTATTTTAAATTTTTACCTAAACATTGTTTTGTCAGTGTATGATGGATTTGGGTCTAGGTACCATTATCTACTTTGTGAAATCAGAGTGGTGTATATAAAAATGGTAAAAACAAAAATTTAAAGATTGAAACTCATAGTTAACTATTTATTTACCTAATGTTGCAATAACTCCACAGGCTGCCCAAATGGTTAAACAAGGACCCACGCTTCCGACATTGGCAAGTACTGATTTTGGAGAAATAAAGATACCTGAGCCAATAATTGTACCAACAATCATACAGATTCCACTGATCAGGCCCACCTTTAAATAGAAGGAGACATTTTTGTAATATGCAATAATTTAATTACTTTTGATTTAATACAATAAGAGTAGTTGTCATTACTGATTCTCTTTCGGTTTTTCACAACTCCTGCTACTAAATTGTCTTTTTCTTCCAGCATACATATTTGATGGCACAGTTACTTGGACTTTACTTGAATGTATAGTTTGATTAAACCATCTTTTGGATTACTTGGATCTCAACGGTAAGTTTGTGCAGTTGAAATCCCCTTTCCTTAGTGCCAATTGGGACATAAGTGCAATTTCTGTGGATGTACACAGGCACCACCACCCTTCCTGTCTCCTCCTGAGCCCCATGCACCCGCACACCTGGGAGAAGGGCAGAAATGAAAAACTTTGCCTGTTTCTGTAGGTTCGTGGTTTGGGGCTCATCACTCTGGACAGACTGTCCATCCTCTTCTCTGGTGTCCTTGATGTTTCTCTTCCTCATGTTTTCTTCACCCATTTGGGTTGTTTGTTGAAATCTCTAAAAAAAAATGAAAACAATTTCAGCTAGCTTATTTTGTTGAAGTATTTGGAGGTTTGCTGATGTCTCGTTCACTTCATCCATCAGAAATGTCTAGATATTCCTGACACACACCTAGTAGTGATTCTCTGTGTCAGGTCGTATTCATTGCAGAAAAACTCATGGGAACGAGCTGAGTTCACTTGCCAAGGCTGCTTTTAAAACCTTCAGGCACAAGGGGTCCAAGCAGATTTAATCTTTCTTCCAGAAAATGGTTTGTTTTTTTTTAACCAAGAGACAATCTGTCTGATCTTGACTAAAGTAGGCCTCATCTCAGTTCTTTGGAGATGTAAGTAACTGTTAAACCAAGTGTCATCTCCTGTAGCAAGCTAATTAACAGCTCCTTGCAGCAGAAAAGGGGATCACTCTTCCCAGTGTTGACTCAAGGTGAATCTCTACTCAACTTTGCATTCTAATTCTTACTGGAATGCAAAAGACGTTTGAAATTTAAATTCAGACTTCTGAATTCTCTTCTCATCACCAACCCATAATCAGTTTCCCACAGTACTTGAATAAAGCACAAATTGAGATAGAGAGGTTGTATTTGGTTCAAGTTAGTTCCTGGTTTTGAAGAGCTGATGAAATCACAAGCCTCCTCTCCCCTCAGCCCTTGTTTTTATGTTTCCTAGAATCAGAATGTTGAAGATCCTGTTTGCAGATGCAGAAACCGTCACTCCGGAATGCTTTATATTTAAGCAACTTGAGAAGCGTTTAACACTTCTTAGCTTTAGTATGACGTTTTAAGTTAACAGGACATTTACCTGATCTTTAGGAATGTTTAGTCTATGAACACAACTGGTTTATCTTTTAAATTAAAGATGGGAAAAAAAATCCATCACGATTCAAGCTACAATAGAAACTTGTGCATGTAAGGAATGCAGGGTTTGGGTCACTGAATTCTGCTAAAGCGTGATGGTGCCCAACTTCTCTCCCGTAAGTTTTGTATTCAGTCTGTTTTAATCATTATCTTTTAGCAATTCCTACTTTCACTTACCTTGTTTGTTTATTTTTGTTTGGTGCAAATCAGGATCCAGGAATCTTGGTACAGTGTTATTCCTTTATTTCTCCATCCAGATTTACCAGGCAGTTAGACAGTAAGACATGGCCATGTCTGAAGCCAGAATACGCAGAAGCAACTTAAGTACAGAGGTTATAAAAGGTAATTATTAAACTCATTCTCAGCCAAGAAGCTTTGAGATAGGAACCACAGGTAAACCAATAGTCCAATTAGTTTATCTTTAAAAAAAAAAAAGGCTTTGTTACATTTGTGAGAATGTTTATCCAGAACCTAAGTATTATACTACAAAGTGAGAGTGAACCATAATTTGAAGAATGTATTCTAATAATTTTATGTCACGTTATTTCTCATTCAAAAACGTTGTGGGAAGATCGACTTGAAGTAACTATTGCATTATTGTGGATACCTTAAATAAACTATCCAGATGTTAGTTGCATCCTATAGAAATAGCTGGTTTGTTTTTACGTTAAGAATGTAGGGAAGTGTGAGCAGAAATCCTTGCTTTGTTTTACATTAACCTGAAAGCAACTGAGTAGGCGGGCTGTGTTCCCTCTACTTGCAGTTCCAATTAATTTTTCATTTTTGTTATGTTTGAAATCTTGCTTCTGTGAAAAATGCTACCCTATTTTTATAGCATATGTGTCTCTGTCTGTAATGTTGTTATTCTGAATGCTTCAGATTTCATTCCTGGGAGTCATCTCTAAAATACTGACTAAATCGAAGCCAAAGCCTGGAAATTCCAGAGCCTTCCCTGCTCAGCAGAAGCACCTGACTTGCTATTAGTACTCACATAACATTATGAACAGCCTTAGAAAGCAAAATCCATCCCTTAACTTTTTTGGACTTTTGAATGTTCCTCTAAATATAGGTGTTAGATCTCTGCCAGTGGCTTGACCTCACCTAGCCTGTTTCCTTATAGAAAAGTGTATTCATTTCTTGTCTAGTTTTGTTTTAGGGGTTAATCTTCTTGGGATGCTCTAAGCTTGTTAAAGGATTTGCACTTCTACCAGCAATCCATCCTTTCCTAAGCCACTTAAGAAAAAGCAAACAATAAGTTCAAGGATTCCACTGCTGTGGTTTTTTGTGGACAAGGGAAATCATGTTTCACAGCTGTGGAAGAATTCTCTCCTCTCAAATGTATAGGTAGAGATCAAGCAGTTCAAATTCCAAGGGACTGCAGAAACAAACATTCTGTAGGTTGGTCCTGTCTAAGCAGTGTTAGTTTGAACCTTTTCAAGTGTTATTTACCAATTAAATCATAAAAAGTAATTTTCAACTTTAATTCAGGAAATAGCTAAGATGGTGTATAATATAGCTTTTATTATCATTAGTCACTAAAGGTTAATGTTTGTTGAGATTGCATTACTGCAAGTAATAAATACCATATATTCTGCTTTGGATTAACAATGCTTAAGCAAATTGTAACAACCCTTCTGCCTTGTCTAGTTCTAGTCTGAACAGTGTCTCACGATGGGTACTGTCCATTCTAATCTTGCCGCTTAAGAGAACTTCATTTTAACCTGAAAGATGGTTTGTTTATTTCAATTTTTTTCTTCTCTGAATTCTAACATTAATAGATATTCTTTAAGAAATAGATTCTTTATTGAGGTCACCTTATTTTTTGAGTAATTGCAGACATGCTGCAAGTGGAATATGAGAATGTAATCATCTTGAATAACTGTACAAATTAAGTCATGGTTATAGATTGCAAGATCTCTGACATCCTGTGCATGTTCAATAGGAAAGATGGGATAACAATATAGCTCTAAATGTCTGTAGCCTATGTTCTTTAGATACTTGTATTTATTTTCCTATTTAAGTTTTGGTTAAAATGTTGCCCCCTTGACAACAACCAAAATTAAAAAAACATTAAAAAAAAAAAAGAGGAGGAGGAGTAAGGCTGTGTAAACAGTCTCAGTTATATCATCGGAGGAATATAATGGATTTAGTTTCTTTTCTTGTTTGATGCATTTGTTCTTGCTGTAGCAAGGCTTTCTTTCATGCTTGTTTTCATTCTTAAAGACATTCCCCATTTTACTGCTTTTATGTTAACTGCAGCACATTCAATAAAAACTTTCTGCTCGCTTAAGAAATAGGTAAATAAAGATGAGCAACATCTTTTTAGAGCAAGTGAAGTGCTGAGGAGGTCTTACAACATAGTAAAGATGAAGACTAGCTGGAAGCAGTATGTCCTGAGTGATTATATAATTGCTTATATAAATTGGGGGGGGGTAGGGGGGAGAGGGGCGGTTTTGTTTTGTTTTCCTTAGAGCTGGTGGATTTTTCATCTTTGTTAGTCCCCTCCTTTGCTGATGCGACCTTGCAGTATGGAGCTTTTCTTGCTGGCAGAATTTTTGGTAAATTTCAAAATAAGAGTTTAAATGTTGTACATAATAAAGGTCTAATTTATCTGTGCTGCAATGCAGAATATATTTAACTACTACCAGCAGTAAGTAGTAACATATATTCTGTTTAGGAACTAGAATTATCTTCTGACATTTTGGATATTTAACCTTTGAATTTAATATTAAATTTACTAATGCCAAATACTTGATACTTAAATAAGGCTAAAGTACTACCATAGTATTTCAGTGCGTGTAAATATATTAAAGTTAATATAGCTGGAGAAAGAAAGAGCTGAAGAAACCTGCAGATGCTCAGCTCTTGAGAAACCACGTTTTCAAAAGTGGACCTTCAAAGTACTTCTGCTCTTCTAAATGTAAGCTGACAAACACCGTAGAAATGTTGCTGTATCTAATGCTCTTAGATTTGCAAAGTAGGATAAATGTTCAGAGCTTCTCTAAATGGAAGAGTTATGTCTGTCTAGTGGGGAGTTGCAGTCCCAGAGGAAAAGCTGGTAGAGCTCCTGGTGCACTTTGCCAGTGCAGCAGCATTAAATTTTCATGGTTCAAAATCTTAGGAGTCTTTCTCTTCGGAGCTGATAATGAGGAATGTTCTGGCTAGAAAGTCACAGCAACCTCCTAGCTTAAAAATGAAAGAAGGAAAAAAACAAATAAAACAGCTGGTTTAAAATGACTTTAGGTGGGGTACATACAGTTATTCCAGGTATTCTTTGCTCTTGCAATCTATGTAACAAGATGTTTTCTGGTAATCATTACAAAACACATGTATATTCTCTTTCACCTTGATTTTCATAATAAGCACTTAGAGAATCTGCAATCAACTCTGTAGATAATACTTTTCTTATCTTTGTATCTTCTTATCTCGCTCTCTTGCGCGCTCTCTCTCTCTCTCTCTCTCTCTCTCGCGCGCTCTCTCTCTCTCTCTCTTTTTTTTTTTCTCCTCTCTCTCTCTCTCTCTTTTAGGCTAGAATTAGGGAAAACTGTTGACCTGCAATTCACAACTCATTGTAGGGCATCTTACCTTATCTTATCTGTCTGAATAACAGAATCTCTCTGGTATCTCCACAGTAACTGAAGCTCAAAGTATGCAGTATTCTGCTCCTACAACACAGTTGGAGGTAATGCCAAGATATTTTAACAGTAGTTTCAAAATGCATCTGAATTACTGAGTTAATTGTTTTAACAATTTGAAACTTCTAGTTAGGAATACTTGGCTGGGTAGCAAGAGTGATCCTGAGTCTAGAAAGATTCTGATACCGAACTATTAGATTGAAGTGTTTTAGCTTAAAGCATGCACTAAGGGGCAGGGGGGTGCCTGGTAGAACATCACTTGGGGGGGAAGAAAAAAAAAAAAAAAAAAAAGTAATCATTTCTCCCTGGGCATGGTGGATAGGACTAGAGTTCTTGCCCTTGAAGCGAGAAATACTTAAGATAAACACTCTGCAAACCATCCTAATGATAAGGAATGGCAAGGGCCTCTATTGACCAAAGACATTAAAAGGATTCCATGGTTGAACATGTTTAATGCAGAATTAAACTAACACCTGCCGGTAGTGACCCAGGTAATCCTCCTTCCAGAGGCATTTTTCAGTGTTTCTAAAGCCTATGCTGAAAACCACAGCAAGCACGAGAACAGTTGGAAGTACTGCAGTGTGGGTACCACCCTGGGGAAGCCTCAGAGGCTCCCTAGACTGAATGAGGACAAGTTTGTTGGCTGCTGACTGAGTGCGTGTGGAAAATGTCTTGAAAGGTTTGAGTTCAGGCTTGTGAATATTCAGCAGGTTTCGTAGTATGTGCCTTGGTATGTACAGAGTGACTTCTGCACAAATTATGCTGTCTGGAGAGAGAAAAATAGGCTTAAATTTGTCTATTTGATTATTGCAGGCACTACAGTTCTCAATGGTCCTCATGGGGGGTGTGTGTGTGTGTGTGTATATATATATAATGTCCATGAAGTACATGATGATAATTTATGAAACAGAATGACATGAATGTGTTGGATAGCCTCCTACCAGCTTCAGGATTTTGACTTTCTTTAGGTGTTCTTTTTGTTTTGTTTGTTTCCTTGCTTCCCTCAGAGATCAAAAGTTTTTTTTGCCTTTGATACTTTTTCTCAATGCAGTTTCCTTTTGTGAACTTCATCCCATTACTTAAAGTGACTTGGTTCAAACATTACTTGAAGTAATTTTATTTTCATCCTCAATGTTAACAGAAATGTGAAGAATGATTACAAGTTTTGTGTCTTCCTTAGTTCTCACATGCTAATTAGAGAAGAAGAAATCAGTAACTTTGTATTTTCCTGAAGCACTTTCCAAAGTGGAACCTACCCTGAGTGTTACTGGGTAATCACCTCCTTGTGCTTTAGTATCTTTGCAATTAACATTGTCAGTGGAAAAAGAGCTAACTTATCAATAGGTAGTATTATGTAATAGTAAGGTGTTAAAGCAGTAAATTATCAGGTGGGGAATCCTGTTTGTCTCTGTGGGGAAAAGGGTGAGATAACCAGTTACTGGTAGCTAATAAAAAGTCACATGTAGTGGTAATCTCTTTGAATTTCATAGTTCTTGTGAGAATTACATAGAGTACAGTTTGCTTTCGCTGGTATCTTCTTGCTTGTTCAACTGCTTGCGCTGCTGAAGTGAGGTGTTTGCAGAGCCTTCTGCACCACTGGTACAAGTTAGTTGAATAGTCTCGTAGAGGTGCTAGCAGGATTTTTACCACATATCAGTTGTGGCCTGATAAGTGTAAAGGAAAAGGGGATGAGCAGCAGGTGTCAGAGGCTCTGTTACCTGACGAGCACCTTTCCCCCAGGTAAAAGGGCATCATCCTTTTGTAACCAAGCAAACTCAGTCTGCATAGACAGGAAGCTCAGATAGGGACAGTGATTTCTTGGGGTTTTAACCCTTGCCTGTTGTCTGTGCTTTCTCATAGTCATTTTCTCAGAATGGAAATGGTTGATATCTTTCAAGCTTACCATGTTGTAAAGGGAGAACCTTGGTGTACAGGGAGCTGATGGGCTTGGTCTTAAAGACTGTTTAATGAATTACGATTACAGTAATGATCTCGAGTAACTGTAGACTCATCACTTTCACATACTGTGCAACTAACCTGCTTTGGTATCTCATTATCCAAGCAGTCCAACATGGTAAAAGTGCTGTTTTTCTCTGGTATGGAACAGCTAGGTCGAAGCCTTCAGAGCTGCAGTTGACGTTAATGCCTTAGTGACCCTCTTGTGTTGATTAAACAGCAAATGGGTGGTGGCACTGCATTCTGTCATTGTATTTTATTGTTGTATTTGGAAAGACTCAGAAATTAATGTGAGCAAAATTTTACTGGACAATTTTTCCCTTTTATAACCCCAGTTTTCAAATAATACATGACTGCATATCTATTTAATTGTCACAGTAAGTCCAAAGTGTTCAGTGCTCGTTAAGCACATCTTGTACTGGCATTAAGAGTTTCTTATCTTGGATTGCATTTTCAAGCAACTGACTCCTACACTGTTGGGGGGAGGGATTTTTTGAAAAATCCATCTCATTTCTGTGAGTGTTTTAATGAATAAACTAATATGTGCGGTTTTTTGGCTCTTTTTTTTTAAAAGGATATAGTTGTGTAACACCTGTGTAACCTATGTGTAACACCTGTCATACAGTTTTTCTAATACTAAGTGGTCTATTGAAAACATGATTCATATACTTTTTGCACATAGAAACATACTGTAAGGAAGTAAGATGAAAAATATGTGAAACCTAATGTCCTAATGTTCATCTTTTATCTGAAAGAAATGTAGGGGGAAATTGGCTCTTTCAGGTGTACACAGAGAAGAAAATGGGTTTCTCATCTAACTATCAGAAGAAATTGGAAAAAAGTGCTGTCAATCATTAATTCTATTTTTGTAATCCTTCACACTGTTGGAAACTTGTTTACTTCTGTTAATTTGAAACAATTCCAGGATTTTACTTTCCAGAATGGCCAAATTAGAGATTTTTAGTAAGCAAAAAAGAAAGGCTGAGCCACAAAAGGAAAACTTCATCCATGTTTTCCCTGAATGTCCTTGCAAGTGCGATGAAAACAGAGCATGGATAAGGTGCTAGTGATTTTGTTAAATGCGACCTTATTTAAAGTTGAACACAGTGTTCTAATGATATGCAAATAAGGAAGCATGTGTAGCATTTCTGAATGTGTTCAGTGTTAAAGTTCCCTTGTCAAGGTGTTATCCTTTAAACCCGCTCTTAAAAGAGAGCTGTGAGAACAGAGAGTAAATGTAGAAGAAATGTAAAATAAAAATGTCCAGTTTACTTAACTTGAGGGAGAGTGAAGCTAATATGGAGTATATTTTTGAACATCTCATTTCTATTTCCAAGGAATTATGCATAAAAGATTTTCCCCACACATTTTTTTTTCTTTCTTGAAAATCCTGGGACCTTTTTAAAAGGGCAGTTTAAAACAGATACATAAACCATTTTCATATGTAGATCCGAGGTTGCATTTGCATGCCAGGAAGATGCTTAGCTTAAAAATCAAGCCTATGTCATATATTCAAAAACAATGTTCAAAACCATGAAAAACAATGTAGGTATAATTGTTTTTCCCTGGTGTGCTTTCAAGCCTACTGCAAGCATACATGGAAGCTGTAAATACTCAGATGGAGCTTGATGGAAACTGGGTGTAAGTGTGCGTGCTTATATCACCTGCATGTGAGTTACCTCCTTATAAGTATCTCTTCAACTAAACCTGAAAAGGTGGTTTAGTTGAAGAGATAACAGGAGGCAGGACTGGCTTAGCTAGAGGACTCGAGATAGTTTAAAAAAAAAAAAAAAAAAAAAAAAAAGCCACCCTGCACATAGTTTCTGATGTTCTACTTGCTAGTGTGAAGTGCTGAGTTCTAAAATAATCAAGTTGAAAAACCCAGGAGCACCAAACAAATTGAAAGATCTGCTATTCCTTAAGTACCTGGGAGAAGACAGTATGGCAATAGTTTCCACGTTGTTAGACAAGGTTTTTATGTGGCACGTTGGAGCTTTATTGTTCCTGAGCTGGTAAGACTGTTATGTACTTAAATACATAAATAATTGAAGTATGTGTTAAATTCACACTAATTTCATAGGTCACCTATATTTATGGCTTAGCTATGTTAGTATTTTATTTTGTCCTGTTTCCCATCAGGGTGAAATCTGAGTGCATTCCAGGTAAAACCTTGGATTTTATAACTGCTGTGAGGTACTATAGATCCTTTAACTTTCCTGTGTTGAGGAAGGCTGCTATAAAAGTACTTACAGTTATTAAAAATGGTCATGGAAGGCAAGGTACTCTCTCCACCCTAAGCTATGCAGTACTGTTCTGCTGAGTCACCACCTTGCTGGGAAGGAGACTGCCTCAGGAAAGCAGTAAAACTTTCTAGTCCCCACCAGTAAGAGTATATATTGGAATTTAAATTGTATTTTTTGTTCTCTTTTTTGCTAACCTTTATCAAAGCAAAGGAGATTCTTCACTATTTCTAATATCATACAACTGCTATATTGTTATAGATATTTTTATAAGAATGTTTTTTCTGCTATTTGTGTTCTGGAAACAAAGCAACAGTCAAGAAGCTGATTCAACAAATGAAATGTTAACTCAGAAGCCTTTTATTTCATGCTGATGCATACTACTCCAACAGTGAAATACAATATTGTGAAAAATCATCAGTTATAACAGATACACATTGTATTAATCCGAAGGCTGGCACTGCTGCAGAAAATGCTACAGAGAATTAAAAATAATAGTAAAAAAACACTTTAAAGGCTTTCTGCAACACTGTTGAATCTAAAGGGAGAAGGCCCTTCAGTCTGAAGGACTGTGTAATCTGCTGACATCTGGTCCCCTTGGCAAAACCAGGGTAGAGAACAGGGTGACTGTTGGGCTCCCCTAAGTCTACTTGGTAGACAGTTGTACATTCAGCCACCACCAGCTGTCCTTAAGGCACTTGGGAAGACAAAACTGAAACATTTTCAAAAGTTTTCTCTGTCCTTAAAATGGTAAGAAGAGATTTTGTCAGGCAAGCCTCTGTGAGGATATTCTTGAATCTTAGGCTGTCAAGATACTTGATCACCAGTAAAGAACAAAGAACAGACTGGCTTTTTGTTTTCTTTTTTTTTACCCTCAAAACTTGATCACACTTTGGTCATACTTTATTTAGTAATTTTCTTAGATTTCTTGATATTAGGTCTTTGAATGTAAACATATAAGAGACTTTCTGAAGAGGGTGCATGCCATTCTATTGCATTTGTCGTGTTGAGAAAATAAAATAGAATTCTTTCTCCAGACTCTTTTCTTGGATGAGATGCATAAGGCACACTTGTTCTTACCCCTGACATTCTTGTTGGATTTCATTTGTAACTGATGATGGTTTCACATCACAATAGCTAAAATCATGTCCATAAACTAGGTCTTTCTTAACGTCATCTAAGTATGGCTCATGAGCTCTGACAGTATTCCACATGTTGTTTTTCTCCAGAGATTTATGTAAGAGTTCTCTCATTCTCCTGTTTTCTTTGGATGTAGATTCCCAGATGACTTCAAGTTCACCTTCCACTTGCCTAAAGAAAACAACAAAAAAAAAAAAATTTAAAAATGGTTTTCAGGGGTGTTTTTACTCGTATGGAAGAAGAGAAGTTTTCAATGCGAGTAATCCAGCAAGCCTGGTAAAGTGCTAGGACTTCCTACTGCAACTAAATTTCTCTATGGTGTGATGGGAGCCCCTGGAAAAAAACAATGGGCATGAAGCTGGAATTCAGGTATGCAGAGGGGAAAAGGCTGCTTTGTTTTAAAAAAAGAAAAAAAATTGCTTTTTTTTTTTTTTACAAGAATGTTTCCTACCACCAGATATGTATACGCACAATAAAGAATAAATAAGATAAAGAATTGCGGGGTCATAGCTAAGTCTGAACTAGTATGGTTTTTTAACTCTATTATAAAATTTGAAAGTAAAGGCAAACTACATGAAAAATGGTTGCCCTCTTGACCTAAATAGTAGGGTTTCAACTAGATTGATTGTGGTCCATGCCTTTAAAATCGCTTAACTTGTTTTACAGTCTTTTTAAAGTGAAATTATAACACTCATTTTAAAAAAAAACCTATCCAAACAGTTAATATACATTCAGTGAAATGTGCATATGATATTAAGTCCCATTATTTATATTGTTTTTAAAACCATTGTCTCACAAATGGCAGAGATTACTCGTAAAATGAGTGCTTAATTTAGTTCTTTCTAGGTGCAATGGAAAGAGCCAATTATTTTCCTGTGTGGTGATAAGCAGAATGTGCTATGACATCTATCACAAGTGGAAAAGTTATCTTTAAAAGATGCTTTATATTAAGAGAAGACCTTAACAATGACAGTTATCTTGTAAACAAAAAAAATTATCTGTTACTCAGCATGTAGCCAATCTATGTCACTTGTTAAAAGACTAGTAAGGTGCCCTCAAAAGGAAATCTATCATGTGTGTGTGATAGATTGTATTACATTCCTTAAAATTCCCACCAGCCTGAAAGTTGTGGGGGAAGGAGATTCTTCAGCCTTTAGCAGGAGATGCTATTAAATAATTAATGCCTCGTGATGATTTACAGATCCCGAGATCATCAGAGACTAGGCTCAGGTTGGCAATTTTTGACTGTGAATTGATTCTTTCCTGAAGTTTAGAGACTGTACAGTTTCTACCATAGTAATCACCCAGAATAAATTCTTCCTTTGGAAGATACTTTTCTGAAGGTGGAAAAGTTGGATTTCAAAAGAGTCTTTTCCATATAGCTAAATATGGGAGAGCAGAGAGAAGTGGAATATACCCAAGGGGACTGTGATGAAAAGTGAGAGGCTGCAGCTGTGTGCAGTTGCTTCCCCCACCCCTTCCACCATCCAGGCTAATGGGATGCTCTCTCCTGTGCCCCACTTACCTTTTCTGCTGCAGCACTTCATCGAGGGTTTCCTGTTTGTCTTGCAGCAAACGCTGAAGGTGTTTCATTTCTTGCTGGTACTGAGCAGTCTTCCCAGCAAATTCTCTCTTCTGCTCAGTCATTTTGAGACTGATATCTCCAAGCTTTTCAGATGCTTTCTTTTTATATACCTTTAGAAGTTAAGGATCATAGGAAAAGTATAGTTACGGCAAAAATAAGGACAAACAGAGTAGCTAAAAATGTTGGCTTGCTGCTCAGTTTTCACATCAGTGATTCCTTGCTTGTGGCAGGTAGGTTGCATTAAGTAGTCTTTCCTTAATTTGAAAGTATTATGCTTGTACTTTGTTCTGTATAGGCAACGGATATGGTGAATGCCATATGGTATGTTTGTCTTGTAAATGAAAAGAATTAGCTGCAAATAAATTTTTATTTTCCAGCTACCCTTTACAGCACACTTTACTTACTGCTTGTCCAACAGTTGTATTTATTGTGTACTAGCCTGTCCTCTGAGATTCTTTTTTTTTTTTTTTTGCCATTTCATACGTGATAGCCTTGTTCTAAATCCCACTGGTAACAGTGGAAATTTTATTAAAAGTATTTAATTTGTATGACTGAGCAGCACTGTGTGAATTAAAATATTCTTAAAAGCATTTGCAGGTGTGTGTGTGTATAAATAAAGATACAGATTAAATGTTAACTGTCTAAATGTTAATTTTAAGTGGATGTAACTGAAATTAGAATAGCTCACACTAAATACTGCCTTGCTTTCTCACTGCAGTTATTGCCTGTGTTCCTTGGAGATAGCAGAAGGGCTCTTCCATTAGATCCATCTGTATACTGAGACAAAGTCTGAACTAATTTTGCTCTACTGTTGCCTTTTTTTTTTTTTTTAAGACAAGAATACGGACAAATATTACTGATTTTTCTAATTCAAGAGTAAGTAGTGCTTTATATAATACTTAGCTTGAAAATACTGCTTACCTTAACTTTTTCTTCTAATCTTCCTAAGCGCAGACTGCCTTCTACTATTTTGTTGAGAACACCGTGATTCTCATTTTCCAAACACTTGGCCTGCCAACATTACATAGCTAAATGTAATCATTACTTTAGGGGGACAAAATACAAACATCAAGGAAGATGAAAACAACTCTGGCTCTCCAATAGTCTTTAGAACCAATACAGAGAAAGAATCCTGAAAATGATTCTCGTAAAGGCTAACAACTATCTAAGGCTAATCTGTCAACAGCTGGTAAATGCTAACTGAGGAAAAAATAACATTACATGAAGGAAATCAAAGTATAGGAGAATGATCTTTTCTCCGTTTGGGGACAAGAGACATATAAAGATACAGATATAAAATGGCTGCACAGGAGAAATTTTGAGTATCCAGGAAACAACTCCTCTGGACAGGTGAAGCCTACACATTTCCAAATGGTCAGCTTCTGCTCAATCTTGAGGAAAAAAAAGGAAAAACGAATGGCTATACAGTTGGGATGGAATAACCTCGGGGAAAGTATTTCACTTTATAACCTTATTTTTGTTCTCTACTGATAAGAAGGTGAGTATTTTGTTTGGAGTCTGCTTGGACCCTTCACTTCGGATGTCTACAAGTGGGTGGGCCAATCCTATCCAAGATCAAACATGCAATTTGGTACCATCTAGTCTAGCAAAATTCTGCTGTTTAATTCCAGAACATGGAGACTGATTATATTTCAGAAGACAAGCATCCGAAAAAGGAGACAACTACGATACAGATTGGAAGGAAACTCTGTGAATGGTTTGGGAATGGAAATGCAGCCACATTAAGTAAAGGTAATTACCAAATATATAAGATGGTCACGTTCCTGAGCTGTCTTCTCCACCAAACCAATAAGGTTTGTTAGATAGTGATGGGCTGCAACCTCTTTTTCTATAGCTTCTTCCAACTGTTGTTTCAGAAAAACCGTTTTCTTCTTTAATTGCCTACAAAATTAATATAAAAGGGAAGATCTTCAGACTTAATAGTTTTATTATGTGTACAAATTAATTTGTACACTTCTTAGAAGTGTAAATATTGTCATATAATGTTGCTGTCAAATCAAATATAATGTCAAAGATTTACTGGTTTCAATATTTGCAATCCTGAAAGTATCATGGCCTACAGTGGGCTGCTTTTTATTATTATTGTTACATGCTGTAATTATTATCTATTTACTTACAACTATTAACTATTAACTACAAATTTTACCTATTTGTGCAATAGTTAAAAACTCCTGTTTCTTAGGTACCATAACAGTAGTAAGAATAATAACACAATAATAAAAATAATAGTGGTTTTAATTTCCAAAATGCTTTGGGTCTACCTCTGAACCACAGGAAGGGGCATGAAAAAGTCTGCAGGTTCTGGAAAGCCATTTTTCAGGTCAAAATGCAAATTAATAATTGCAATACTTAATTACTTTCATTAAAGATAAAGCTTGACTTTGCCTCTGAATGTGGAGAAGAGTGTATGAAAATACATCCAATTAAGCAAAGTTATTTAACAACCAGTGCTGTTAGAGAGGTGTTTAAGGAGTGACAGATGTGTTTACCTTTTGCAGAGTAACTGCATTTCCTAAGAAATTGCACGCTTCGGATGTGGAAATATTTTTACAGATATTTTTGCTATATTATTAGGAATGTAAGTAGTGAGACAATGAGATGTTAATAGGAAGTTAAAAAAGAAAGATCAACCTGTTTGTTTTTTGTTTCATTTCCAGTTCAGTTTCTAGGATCTTGTTGTCAGCCATGAAGTTATTTTTCTCTAAAAGCAGTTTCTTGTTTTGAGCTTGTAACGATGCTATCTTTTCCCTTAGATCTTTCATCTCACAATGCTTTTTCTCCTGTTCTTGTTGTAAATGACTGCAAAAAAGAAATGTATAGAATGCATGTTAAATATATACTTCACTAAAAGAATAAGCTTAGCAAGATGTTCATGTGAAGATTTAAAAAAAAGTTGGAAGGTTAGTAAATTCTTAATGTTTGGTTGTGTCATAAAGAGGTACTGTGTAATATGATTATATAGAAAATGGTGAAGCATAATATAAACAAAGTTATTCAGATAATTAATTGGACAACACTTCGAATAGAATTCGAAGATATTCCATGCAGTGCAAATATACTCCTTTTTTTACCCCCAAAGAAGTTATTAGCAACACCCAAAAAAAAAGTCTGAGAATTTTTCAGGAAGGTACTGCATCAAGAAACAAACAATTTCTGTTATGCTAGACTTGAGAACAAATGTATTGAATATCTTAAAACCTTTACAGAATATACTGCATGACAGCATTTAATATCTCTGGTCCATGTTGTGAAGGCTAAACAAACTCATTCTTTTTACTTAAAAAATTGCAGAATCCTTTAACCATTCTCCTAAAGGTGGGGGCAAAAGAATGAGACCTTCTTAGATGCACTGAAAAACGTGTGCATCAGTGTTCATAGAGTAATTAGTCTAATAAAAAGAATGTTTTAGTGCCTCCTCCTGGAGGTTTTCAAGAGCTACATATAGTATGTAATCTAAGGTAGAAACAATTCCATAGATGTCTCTAGAGGTAGCATTTGTTTCTGTAACTGTTTATAAAAGCAAGATAACTTTTCTGAAATATTTCTTTTCCAAGTGGCAAAGAACAAAGAATAGTAAAGTTTGTGGTCACTTCCTATCTACAAAACACTGTGTAGACATGTACATATCTGAATGATTTGCAGAATTTTGCCTCTGCAGAGCATATAAAGACACATACCTTTTCAAATCATTCACCAAAGCAAAGTGCTCCTCTGCTGCTACTTTACTATCCAGCTTGGCTTTCAGCTCTTCACAAGTAGTGTGCGAAGCTTCCAACTGCTTCTGGTACTTTGCTATTTCTTCATCTTGACTCCTTTTCTTATCTTCTAGGATTATCATTTTTTTAGTCAATTTTGAAACTTTTTGGGGGGGGGGAGAAGTAGAGGGAAGAAATAAAAGAACAGTGTGACTAATTCAGTTACCTAGTAGAACTCCAGCTTGCCAGACAGAAGTTATTTCATAGCTGCTTTATAATGTTGTGAACAATTGGTCAGATTGTTTTGTACTTTTACACAGTTCAGATTTTACCATCAAGCACTTAGCTCAAGAGATATCAAGAAGCAACTAGTTAAAAAAGTAACAGTAGTAAAATTAATGTTTGTCAAAGAAATCTTCTGTAGTGTTCTGAATTCAAGATTTAATCAGTAAATATAAGCCTCTGAGAAAACAACAATAGATAATAGATTATATACTTGACAGATATATGTAGTTTTAGGCAGTATCAGACTATAAAGGGAAAAAAGTGCTGTCATCTATGATAAAAACAACTGTAAGCAATAAAAAGTGGCTGTAAAGTAGTAAGTAAAGCCATGCAAATTCTAAATTGAACACTTAAGCACATACTACTTGATAAATACTAACTTCAAAGTATTTTTAAACATAAAAACATTTATTTTTATAATTTATTCTTAGCAAATCTGGTTACTTTTTCCAGAAAAAAAGACAAGTCAAAATGGAGTAGGCTATACAGTGCCAATAAGTGATACTGATAAGTGTTATTGTCAGTCGATATCCAGAGCCTGATTTCACAGCAGTGTTAGCTGTATTCAGTACTGTTTTATAAGCATATATTCAGATGGAAGAACCCTGCAGTACCATCTATGGCCCGCTCAAGTAACTAGCAATTCAGGCACCTTACCTTCCTGAACATGCTGTTTGTGATTATCTTTTGCTTTTGCTTGTTGAATTTCAAGTTGCTCCATCAACACCTTGTTTTCTTCCAACACTAATTTGGCCTGCGTTTGCAGCTGGTGCCTGCAATTATGATTAGTTTATAAATAAAATATCACCCAAATATTAAGTTATGTTCCAAGAAGAAAAAAACCCATCTTCCAAAGTCTCAATTTATAAAACGCACCTGAACCTCTCCTTTAAAAAAGGAAAAAAAAAAAAAAAAAAGGTGGGGGGGGGATGGAGGGAGGGTAGGAACAAAATCCAAAAGACTTCACAGAAATCATTAACTCAGAAAGCATTAACTCTGCTTTCAAAGAAATCAATACCAGCCTTTTTTAATAATATTGAAAGACTAAGATACTATTTATTCTTCTAAGGATAGCCAGAAAAGTTGAGAGATATTACTCAAAAGGGTAAATTGTTATTAATCTTCATATATATTTTATATTATTTAACTTCACTAGGCTTTCCATGTTTTAATTCTTAATCCCTTTCATATTCTTCTGATAACAGGAAGTTATCTTCCTGTATCGTTTTGTATTAACATAAAACTTATGTCATTGGCACACTTGTTGTAGAAGTATAAAAGTTAATTATGTAATCTGCAAGATTTTGAACAGAATTATATGGACTTCAGGTGCAAAACTGCACTTGGAGAATTTTACCTTTACTACACATTGTTTCAGGCATTGCAAATTGTTACTCTTTCAACATGACAAAATCCTTACCCTATTAACTCTTCAGAAGAAACTTAATTCCCTTACAGGTACAGAACCTTTCCATAACATATATAGTTTTAAAAGTTTGTGTACAACAATAACTAACTAATAATTTTCATTAGTCACTTGCCATTCTGTAGCAGTAATAAAATTATTTTTATTTAATTGTTCATGCAGATCTTCATTCTCCTTCACCAGTTCTTCAACACGCATTTTAAAGTTCTTCATATCTTCCTGGAAGACAAAGGAATCCATTTAAGAGTCTTTAAAGGTAAATATTTGAATTTTTATTGATACAAAAATACCAAAATACAGGCCTGCCTGGTTGGCACTCTAGTTCTTAGGCAAGAATGTACTGTCTCACTCCTGCTCTTTAATTCAGACATGCGTATTTAATTCCTGAGCTGCTTCATTAATGTAGTAGTACTTGGTTAAAAACACAATGGGTATTTGAATTGTGTTATTTTTTAAATTTTAAAATTTTAAATTGAGCAAGCTATAGATCCTTAAAATACAGATTCAAGAAATTCAGGAGACTCAATTTATCAGATGATACTATACATTTTTAGTATGAAATATGCTCTAATAAGAGAGGACAACACAGGATTTGTAGCAATAAAACCCTGGGTGCTTTTCTTATTTTATGATTTCATTTTTCCAAGTATTTGAAAAGATATAGCAATTGTGCTCTAAAGGTCGTGTAGTAGCTTGTTCAAATTTGGTTATGTGTGGGCACAGGTGAGAACAGCAGCCTTGGTTCACTGTGTTGATTCTCAAGGAACTGATGACCATTTTCAGTCAGTGCTAAAAATACTTACAAAGAACAAGTAATTGGGATTATCACTTAATAAGAAATATTTTTTTCCTCCTATCACAAAAATCTACAGGCCTGTAATGGAAAGAGCAGCTATATAGGGATGTTGCATCCTCATTATGAGTGATAACAGTAAATGCTTTCCACTACTGACTGCTAGTTTACTAGGTTCTGCTGTGAGTACTATTTTTGTACAAGCAAGCACAATATTAATATTTACAGCTGAACAGGATGACAAAAACAACCAAACAAATTAAGATCACTCACTCAAGCATATATGCAGAAGTCAGTTCTACTGTAAGACACAAAACAGCTTTGACCAAATCCATATGAGAAATTTCAATAGATTTATTTCTGCTTTGTTGTAAAAGTATTAAGTGGTAACTTGCCTCATGTGCAAGACTTAGATCATCCTTTTCTCTTAGCCTATCCTCATAGGCCAACAGGAGTGGTGACAGATATTTCATATCCAACTGAAAAAAAACCCAAACACACTCCATATAAATCAACTCCAAACAATAATGTCAATATTTTAATGATATCTTTTGCTATTTAATTGCTAGTTTTACAAGCTTTTAAGGGTTTTTAGTTGCTATTAACTTCAAGTGTAAATGAAAATGAAATCACCAGCTCAGGATAATAGGGTAAAATAATAGGGTAAAATAGGGTAATTTCAGTAGACCCATACAATTCATAATATCATTGTTTTCAAAGGGATTCCAGAGTGCTTAGTATGTTCTAGATCACTTAGTGCAACAAATTCAGTCTAAAAAACAAATTTCCTCTCACAGGAAATGCATACTGAAGAAAATCTACATCTAAAAAGGAATTAGCCAATATAACCTGCCATTTCAACCTCAGAACATCATTTTTCACATGCTGCAGATGTGTATCATTTGGCCTTCAAAGGAGATACCTGATATGAAGGTAAGATTCATTGTATGGATATCAACTCAATGTTTTAAATGTAGTTAAAAATCCTTCTTTTCACTTAATTAGTACACTTTACTTGGAAAGATACTTATGGATATATTCATGCAAATGGTGCAGCAGAAGCAATTGTGCAGTGTTCAGGAAAAAACATTGGAAAGAACAAAGATGGAATTTACAGGGCTTGCTCAAAGCAACTATTACTTATCAGTGTATGTAAATACAAGAATGGAGTAACTAATGAATATGAGGCCAAATTAAAACATGACAGTGAATGTCGTTAAGAATAATCAACCAAGATGAATTCATCATGAATTCAATGAAATGAATTAATGTGGGAAAGTGAATGAATGAATTCAGGTGGGAAAGTAATTTTTACATTTTCAAGAATCAGAAACTTTAGGTATTTCATGCTACAGGTAGCATAATTAACAAATCTTATTTGAGACTTTCTAAAGAAACTTTGAAAGGTTTATTTTAAATCATCCTCCTTAATTTATAAGATCAAATATTATCTTCTATAAGGTTTGTCTCTTGTTTCCTAGGTATCTCAGGTGTCTGTCCAGGTCAGGTCTTAAGAGAACTGTTATCCTGAGTCTGTAATGATGAGATTCATCATTTTCACTTTGCTACCTATTTCAGTACTTATTATAGTGGTATATCTTTCTTAACATTAAAGCTACATATTTAAAGTAAGCAAATATGTATGGTAGTCTCAGATATTATAGCTAGTAAGATGAAGCAGAGAGAGGACTTTCCTATTTCTGCAGGGTTTTAATCTGACTAGCAATAGGGAAGGAAAATTTACTATCAGGTTAGCACGTGAAGTTTTACGTCTTACAAAGACATTGCATTTCACAGATCATAAGGTTATATAAATAATCATAATAAAATTAGCAAGCAATAGATGTTGAAACAAATGATATGCCAGGCACTAATTAAGTGAAGGTGGTCTTTATGATTCCAGTGTTAACTATACTTAAACTTATTCACATTAAGTATTCAAACTTGCTCACTGTATGCAGTCTGTAACTTGCCATACACTCATATTTGACCTACATCTATTCTTTGTAAAGTTTTTGCCCTGCATTTTACCATGGAACAAACAGAAATGTTTACCATATTCTATCAGAGGGTGATATTTCAGAGTAGCTAAATAATATCTTATAAATCTTGGTATATTGGTTCCTGTTAGTCAATTTGCTTCTTTACTTAGAAAAGAATCACGCGTAAGTGAAAACTATATTTTACTTACCAGCCATGGAGGTGGTGGTCCTTTCATAGGTAAACTTTTTAGTTTTAGATGCTAAAAGAGAATTTTCAAAGAAGTTGAAATTATTTTCCACTTTTGAAGCACCAGTCACTGCCCACTGTAAAAGTGGGCAACTCGCAGCTTTTATCCAAATTGAGCTTATGTTGCTAATTAACTGTTTAGCTATGCAACACACCCACTCACAAAGTCAACAAAACCAATAGAGGGAAAAGCCTGTCTTAATGCAACTTTAAGATAAATACATCTTTTAAAGTTGAACATTCTCACCTCTTCTTGGGACAAGGGCCTGAATTTTGTTTGATAGCGACTTAGCTCTACATTCAAACGATGGACAGTCATTTTCAAAGCATCGTTCTCATCTACCAGTTCTTGTGCTTGTTCTCTTAAAGAAAGCAATTCTGCAGCCTCCTCTAGTTAAAAAAGTATACAGATAAATACTCAAGAAAAACTCAAGAAAAAAATAACAATTATATGCTAATTTTAAGGGACAAAAATCTGTAAGGTGGAGTCAGGGAAAGAGAATATCTCTTTCCAAATACTATAATGTAATAAATGCATAGAAAATTGCCAATTAAATTAAATTCCAAAACAAGCAAGTTACAACTAAATACATAAAGATAAATCTGTCTATTCTATAACTTTTCTTTCATGATTATGTAATTTTTCTTTGATTAAAGTTTCTACAAATGGAGAAAATATTTATTCTTCCAATGCTTGCTGAGTGGAAAACTGGTAATATAGGAATAGGTTGTCAGAGCTTCTAAAAAATAAACAACAACTTCACAAGAGTTTATCTGGAAAGAAGAATGTTCCTTACCTTCTCTTTGCATCTCTGAAGCTTCTTTAAGTTTTCTGTTTTCTTTTTCCAGGCTCTTCAGTTTTAGCAGCAATTCTTCCATTTGCTGTTTTGTTTCTTCAACTCTTTGGGCTAAAGCCTGACATGCACTATTTAGAGTCCAGTTTTCTTGTTTTAGTTCTCTGAACTTTTCTTTTGTCATAGTGCCCCATGCTTTCCTTGACCGAATAGATATATCTGTAGATGCCATAGCACAGAGAGTTTAGATAGACTTGAATACAGCAATATTTTCAGCAAAATTATAATCCATTTTTCTAATATTAGCATTTTTCATTAGAGAAACTATGTATTTTTCTCCAAATTAGACTTATTGAGTAAAACTGAGAAAATGTTTTTTTATATACATCTATACATTCCTTAAAGTGAAGCATTTACAGTAACATCACAAGAGAAATCTCAAGTACCTGGGGATGGTGGAGGCTTCTCGCTTAGCAGATTTTCAGCTGATGATTTTTCTTTCTAGCAGAGAAAGAATAAGAAAAGATGCTCTAACAAAAGTCTTTTCCAAAATGCACTGAAGTGCATCACTATCAGAGAACTTTTTTTTTTTTTTTTTTTTTTTTTTTTTTTTTAAACAGAACTTTTGAAACAATTAAACTCTCTTTTAGGTCATTTTTTTTTCCCTACGTCTTATTGAACTGAAAGAAATAAAGGTTTAAAGATCAAAGAGTTTAACTGAAGATACGTGACTGGTCATTTGCCCATCTTGATATTACCTTGTCACTTACAATTAAAATAAAAGGGGGGGCACTTAAAATACTTACAGATTTCACCACAACAAAATAGTTGCCATAGTTCTCATGACTGATGTAAAAGCTATAGACATACAACTTCATAGCTTGATCTTTTTCCCTAGTTTGTCTAAAACGTGACTCTAACATAGCTAATTATGGCTTGAACCATACTTGTCCGTAATTAGAAGAGAAGCTATATCATAATGAAAATCAGAAAGTGAAAATTACCACTGAGAGCTCTCTTGTGCTGTAACAGGCTTTCTCAAATATGGAAGCACAGAGGATACAACATATAGTCATTTATATACCCCTTATGTAGTGGGATTTTCAAAATGAATAATTAGCTGTTTTTATATTCTAAAGGAAGAGTTTGTTTCCACAAAGAAATAATTTTCTCTGAAGTAGCTGCAGAGTACTCATTTTAAGACTGTTTTTCCCCCAGATGCATCATAAAAAAATTTTCACAGCAGTCTTACCTTTAAATTCAAACTAAGAGGTTCATTTTCTGTTGAAGAAAAACAGACATTTGAATCAATTAAAAGAAGTATTTGTAGACCCATAATTAAGGGTTATGTACAAACATCTAAATTTCTGAACATTTGTGGCTTAAAATAAAATGATTTACCTTCTACTTGCACATTTGACTTGTCCACTGGCACCTTAAACTCTGTTTCGTGAGAAGATGCTTCTTTCTCATCAACTTTAGTACTATGGAGTAGTGGAAACTCCTCCTATGTAAAAATAGGTCATGACATCTAAATAATTACAAGATTATTACACCATGCCCACATGTCTTGACATCTGCATGAAAACTTCAGAATGTGACTGGGACATTACTAAACAGTACTGCAGTATTTTAAGACAGTAAGTTTAAAGACATACTTTTTGGCTGTGGAGTTATATGTAAACATAATCTAATCATTATAATAAGATATAGAATAAGATCATAATAAGATAGGAAACTGTGCAAGCATTACACACGTTCAACAAAGTAAAATTCCTGCTGCTTTTAACACACACTTTAGAAGATTAAGTTATGTACTTTCTTTACCTTTTTATTTTTGCAAGGAATTGCGTAAATGGCATTGGTACTATCGCCTTCTCCCCTCTTCCCATTACTGTGACAGCTAGACTCTGCCTCTTTGTCTGAAAGATAGGTATCCATGTCCTCCTCATCCTCACAATAATTGTCTGATATTTCTAGGGACTGTATATGAGATTCTTCACTACCATCCAGTTTCCAGTTGGGCCTGCAAGTTGAAAGCATTTTAAAGCATGTTTTGGGGTCATTTATTCTTTAAAAAAAAAAAGGCAGCAACAAAACAGGGTAGTAAGCAGAACTATCAGTCTGAGAATATATACAACAGATTAACAGCAGACATAAACAGACATCTAAGCTAGGAATGTGACCTATGTGTATGCTTTAAATTAGAGAATTAACATCTGAGCTACATTTTCCTATCTAGTTTAAAGAGAATGCCAGGCCTGAGATAGAAGGCTGCTAAGTCTATAGCACAAAGTAATCTAAAATAATAATTTAGCACAAAGGAATTGCCCAACGTGTAATTCAGATGATTTTTCGATGATAAACTGCTTGCCTAATTGATAGTTATTTGGGAAAAATAGTACATGCTATGTGCTGTGTACAATCCAGCTCTCTCCCTCTGACAACTGCACGCATAACATCATTTTATGAGAAATGAAATTGAGTTGGAGGTCTCTATGCTCCATATTCTTTATTTGTAGAGAAAAAATAAGTTTGAATAAGTGGCAGTAACACTAGGAGTTGGATTAGTTTGCTGTAATTCTTTCATAAAATTATATCACTACTTTATTTCTATTGTGAGACACCAAAACAGAAAACACACACTACCCCATTCTGAGCTGTGCAACTGTCGCATACGGCTCAAAGCATTCTTGTTCCACGCAGGCCGAATCGCTTTCGGAAAGCGATCGTTGACGGGGCTGAGGAATAGCAACAGTGCGTCCAGTTAGTGTCGTCGCAAGGATCGCTGCTGCTAGAGCGGATCTGGAAGAAAACAGAATGCCACAATGAAACAAACTAGCATCTTCTGTGCTTCATATTTTTCTTCATATTTTTGCTTTTGCTTCATATTCTTTATTTTGCAAAGTGTCCTCACTGTTTAAGCAAAGAAAGAACTTCAAAATTAACAATCATCAAGAAGCCTGAAGGTATTAAGAGACTATTTTTAAATTATTAGCTCCACAGAAAAGCATAAAAGTGGGCATGTTTTCGTAATGTAGATACCTGTAAGTAAAATCTAATACCTCTCAGTTGTCCCCCAGATTAAAAGCATCACAAAGACTGAGTTACATGTCTAAAGTCTGATAGTTTACAGCACTTAGCATTTGGTTTAATAGCAGCAATAAAAATGATGGACTGGAAAAAAAAGTTGTTGCATGTTCTGCTATCTGCCCCTGAAGCTGTTAATAAATGCCAGAGCACAGCAATGCAGGACAGGCAGAAGTGCACAGAAGAGCCTGTTTGAGGAGTGCTGCAGAAAGGCAAGATGAAGAGTGAAAAAACAGAAGACTAAAGAAAAGAAATAGCAAGGACTAACAGGAGAGACAGCAACCGGGGTCAAAAAAGGAAGTGAACTAGGATCAAGTAGAAATGTTACAGACACTAAAAAACAGCAGCATAGAGTTAGATGTAGAAGTAGTAGAAAGGAAAATCTATAAAATTAAAAGTAGAAAGGTAAAATAAATGTTTTCACTTTATGTACCTTGACTATATAGCTAATACAAAGCTAATCAAACACATTTTAAATGCAAACTTTTAAGTCTGTTTTTTCTTTAAATATGCTTATTTTTAATGTTAATAATTTCTGCTTTGTAATGGATTATTAAGTTTCATCACTGATGGTGCTAGTTCTGCTACAGTCCCAAATGGCCCTAACTAGTCCATTTCTTTATAACTGACCCAGATTTGTAATAAGTTGCATATCCAGGAAGGTCATTATCCTAAATTTTGAGCATTCTTAGGAAAAGGAGAAACATATATATCTTTACAGTTCAAAGAAGGAAACTGATTTGGTTAAAAAATATATTCTACTTCTGAAAAGACGTATGTGGGTGCCACAGTTAAGACATGCAGTTTTTCTAATCATGCTTTTCTACTATGCTTTTTTAATAAAAGGAAAATAAGACAATTAAAAAATTAAAAAAAAAAAATTCAAAACCTACCTGGGCCTTTCTGGAGAAGGGTTTGGACTACGAGGGGGAGGGGTGCGGGGAACTGCAGGTTTAGGAGCTATAGTAGCGGCAGGGACCAGGCCATGAGCTATGTGTTTCTAAACAATTTAAAATAAAATTAGTTGACAATGACTTAAAGGATAACAATTAAAAAAACAAAAGAAAAAACATAAAACTGAACATCCACAATAAATAACTATGCAAAATAATATAAAAGGGAAAATAGATACATGCAATTAATGTAAACACATGACTTGAAATGGCTCTAAGTATTACTGTTAATATACATTAAAAAGTTAATTAATGAATGTTAGGAATATAATTTACTTAAGACTCATGACCAAAAGTTCTCCATTAACCATATCATTAGCTGCAAGTGTACGGTTTTCTTGTACTGAATCCAGCATTCTTTTTTTATATGTGTATGTTTTATATATATGTATGTGTGTGTGTGTATATACACACACACACACACAGACATACAAAAAAACCCACATGTTTTTCAAAGCAATTGAATGCTGCATCACAAGAACAATACAACCCTCCTTGTAGGAAAGGATCGTTTGCACAATCAGAGGTGATCCTCAGACAAGGTACTATGAGATGGACCAAATATATCCCAAAGTTGTAAGATTTAGTCTGTTTTTTTTCTTTTTTGTTTGTTTGTTTGTTTGTTGGTAGATCAGCAAGTTCCATGAAATCGGTTCAAAGGACCACGTGAAGTCCCAGCTCAGACAAGCGGCTGCGCTCGGGGGCCTCCGGGGCGGCCTCCCTCCCGGGGAGCCGGGCGCCGCTGCCGGGGACGCTTCCCGTCTTCTCCACTCGGGTTTGTGGCCTCTCCAGAGCGGAGCCTCCGCAGTCCCAGGCAGCGAGGGCGGCTGCAGGACCCCGCTCACGGCGGAGGCGTCTCGCGTTTAAGGGGAGCTTCCCGCGTCTGTCATCGTTCCTTAAGCGCCCCACGGGTGTCCCGGGGCCGAGCACCGGCTTCGCGGGGCGCTCTGCAGCGAAGCGACCGCACGGGGCCTTGCGGAGAGCGCTGTGGAGACCCGCGCGGGAGCGGGCACGGGGCTCGTGGCCCGGCCCTGCCCTGCGCCGCCCGCGGGGCGAGGCCACGGGCCGGCGATACTCACGAAGGGGCCGCGGCGGCCTCTGCGCAGGCTGAGCGCCATGGGCGGCCGGGCGCTCCACCGCAACGGCCTCCGCGACGCCGCCAGCCCGGCAAAGAGTGCGCCGCGGATTTGCTGCGGCCGTGCACACCGCCAATCAGCGCGCGCCTTACTCAGCCCTCCTCCGGCCCTAGCAACCTCCCGGGGCCGGCACCGCCGCGCGCCCACGGGGACCCCGGCCCGGCCTCGCTGGCGCGGGGAGCGGCCGCGGGACCCGCTCGGGATGTTGCCCGCCAGGGGTGCGAGGTGGCTCCAAAGGCAACGGCCGGCGGTGGCTTTCTCAGGGCTGGGCGCTCATCGCTGACCGCGCGTGTTTCGGTGAGTTCGGCCTGTGCCCAGGCCCCCCGCGGTGGAACTCGCAAAGCTGCCAGCTGTGTTTTAGCAACCAGGAGTTCTCGGCAATTTCTGTGTGTTAACCGTAGCTGCAAGGTAGCCTGGCGGGGAATGGGGGGTAAGATGCTGCCTATCGCAACTGGGGCAAGTTTGCAAAATGTGCTAATGCTGCGCTTGCCTCTCTCGCTCTTCCTATAGGTTGTGGGAGCCCAGAGGCAAAGCAGCCCCAATGACAGCAAAAGGGCACCCCCCTGTCACAGCAGGGTCCATCGTCGTCCCTTACGGACACGCGGTTGGAAATGAGAAATGGAGAGGGTCGGAAATATCCCAGAGGCTACAAGGTGAGTGCTGGCGATGGGGAGAAGGGCAAAGCGCCTCCCAGTCCACGTCTGCCCGTGTTGCTGGGTTGACTGGAATGTGCCTTGGCCACTCCTGCGTGTCGCTTTGGTACCCAGGGTCACTTCTGTCACACCTGCCACCTCCTCGAGCCGCACGGAGGAGACCAGAGCCGCCTGCTGCTGGGACCGCCGGGCAGAGGGGCTCTCAGGGCTGGCCTCCATTGTCAGGGTTCTACTGACCTGCATTAAAAATCTTAGAGCAATTATTACTATTGTTAATTACTTTTGTTTTTTTTATTTGTCTTTTAACAATCTTAAGGGAAAATCAAGCTCATTTTTGAAGATGGCTTGGGACTTGTGGATTTCCATCTTTCAAACAAAACTTGCATTTTATATATTTCTGAAGCAGATTTGGTTGCAGGGGATGAATTCAAACGAAGATTGGTTCGGTTTAGGAATGTAAGTACCACCTAAAGGGAAGGTAAAAGGTTTCTAATGGCAATTTACTCTTCCAGTGTTTCTGAGACATATTTTTTTTTTGTTTTAGTGGAGATAAATTTGTATGAGATATTCCAATTGAAAACTAACAAAAATGAATAAGTCTATATAATAATGCTGTATTAAACTTGAGTACTGTTGCCACTTCCATTCTTCCTTGGATTTGTTCCCAGGCAGCTCAGAAATTTGCTCTTAGTTACACTGAATCTTCTGATCATTGATAATGTCTTACCTTTTTCTTTCAATAAAGGCAAGCAGTCTTAGTGGAATTGTAATTGTCGAGAGAACGCCTATAAGTGAGCAGTACTTCTTAGCAGTGCAGAAGCTTGTGGTGCTAGAACTTGGCATGGTGCTGCTTCCTGTGGCAAATCAAGGAGAAGCTGCTCAGCTTATCACTCAACTCGTAAGTTTCTCTGTTAGCAGACATGTATTTATTAAAATACAGAAGCCTGCTCCAAAAGAATACCTGTGATCCTAAAGGAAATCAGTAGCTTGTTGGTTGAATGTAGGCAATAAGCCTGCAACAGCAGTGTGGGCTAATCTGGGAGCAGAGAGGAAATGTGCAGTTGTTACTGGATTTATTTTTGTGTTTTCTTGCACTGGTTGCCACTGGCCAGCATTAAGCTATCCTGAGTTAAGTTCTCTGTTGAAACTGATTTGTGATTGTGCTTTGTCTCAGGTTTGGAAAAGTATATTCTTTTTGCTGTGTTTATTTTTGCCTTTATCCAGTTTCTGATTGCGTCAAACAGATGACAAAACTATCCTTTATTTTGAGGTTGATATTAAGAAAAATGTTAATAAGGACAAGGGTTACGGGGAAGAGAGTGTTTTTAAAACACTCCTAGTTATATCCTTGACCTCTTTGAGATGCATGAAACTATTTTAAACGCTCCGGTAGATGGCACTCTACCGGTATCACTTAAGATGTTGATTTACTTCAGGTCCGTGAGCAAAGTAAGGATCGCAGCAGCAACCCCTTTCTTCGGAAGCAGTGTTCTCAGCTAGCAGAGGCTTCGGTGTTCCGGACAGTGCAGCAAATTCCGGGAGTTGGAAAAACAAAAGCTCTGCTTCTGCTGCAGCAGTTTGGGAATATCCACAGACTTTGTAATGCATCCGTCAAAGAACTCGAGGCAGTAGTTGGACCAACAGTAGCACAACAAATTTATACTTTTTTTACCAAAAGTTCCTGATGCGCGTGTGTTAATACTTTCTCTTTTGGAACATGCAGTTTTAAAATTTTGTTTGTTTGTTTGTTTGTTTTCATATTCCTTGTGACCTCTTAAGATTTTGCTTTTAATAATCCTGGTAAAAACTGAAGGGAGTTGCCTGAGTGTCTAGAGATTACTTTTCTGCTTCTCCATAGCTGCTCTGCTCATGTAGATAAGAGCTGTTATCTTACCTTGAAACGAGGGCTGTAAAATGTTTTGCATGTGTCTTGTATGAAAACTGAGGAGAAATCTGTCTTTTTCAGTGATCACAGATAAAAAACATTTTATGTACTTAGTTTTTTTCTTTCAGAATAAACATTTTGTTAATATGTAGATGGCGTTTCTTAATAATGTACTCAATTTACTGGTCTTTAAGCAGAATACATTCTCAGTAAGCAGAAATGTGAGGGAGTTGCAGTATTTAAAAAGGTGAGCCTCTGAGTTTCACTTTTTAATTTTTCTCTCTCCTTACAGAGATCATCTGTTGGTAGACAAAGGTGTGAGCTGAAACCTATCATGTAACATGACTGTGTTATAGGGTTAGCATGGTTACTGATTACTGTAAAAATATTTTAGGTAGTTATCTCACAATTTTACTAAACTTTTTAAAAATATATATTTTTTTAAATTACATCATATAGTTTTACTACTTAAAATGGCTGTCATGCATAAAGTTTAATTAAATTATTACCAATTAGTTCCAATGAAGATACAGGGTAAACTACCAGTTTGTTTTAAAACTGCATTTTTTAGGGATTTATAACAGCCCTGGATATTCCTTGTGGACAGAAGCTTGTTATAATTGTCTAGGCCTTCAGCAAACTTTTTAGTAGTTTCACTTGCTGTGGAATTAGTATTTGTTATAAATTTTGATTATTTTAGTTAGCATTACTTGGAGAGCAAGTCTTCAAGGTGCTCACAGAAAATAGTATTATGCATTTTTGCAGTATTTGGGAAGTCCGAACAGACTTGAGAAATTAAAAAAAAGGGATATTCCCTATCCTCAAGGATGGGTGAGTTCAAGGGGAATGGAAATGCAACTAACCGTGCAGCTAGAAACTAGGGACCAAGATATTTGCAGGAGAAAATGCCCTGGTAAGCTAAGAGAAATGAAGAGTTGCAAGGAGTTGCATGGGACTTCGCTCAGGATTTCATTAGCTGCATCATAGCTGTAGCCGTGGAGGCCAAGGAGAGCTCTGCTGCAGGGAGCATCAGACTGCAGGCTCTTGCTTACCACGAGCTGCCTGCTGCTCGTGCGTGTAATATAACATGAGGTGCTAATATGAATATGCATGGACAAATATTACTACGAGGGATAGGTGAGGAAACTCATTTACAACATTTTGGGTTAGCTTAGATAAGGGATGCTCTAGAGATGTGTGTTAAGCAGATTTAAAAGACCTGCCAAGAATAAGCAATGAAAACCTGTAAATTGTATCATCCAACCTGGAACACAATCAAGAAACCACTAAAAAATGGCAGCATCTGATTTTGTTTTTATTATTCTTAAATAAGTGTCATTAACACATTTACACCTGTTACATAAGAAACTAAAAATATATGGTTTATATCCAGGCACAAACTTTCCCGTAATTTTAAGTTTTGAGTATCAAACAGCATATATCTACTCTGTAGATAGCATCTTTAACTAACACTACAGTGTTAGCAATTTTCAATTAATCAGAAAATAGAATCTCAAAAAAGGAGTACCTGCATAGCCAGCCCTTTGATGCCTCTGTTTTTTTCTCTTTTTAATGGACATAGCAAATAATTCCTCACAAATGGTTCCAAGGGGAGAATTTTGTATCCCTAAGGGTTGTACTGGGCCCTGTACTAAATACCCTTCAACTTACAGATTTCCAGACACCTTTTTCTCATGTTCTGAGAGTATCACCGCTTTATGTACTTTGGATTAATACTTCAGAACAAGAATACTTCACTTTAGAAATTTGTTCTACACTATCAATTTTATCCAGATTAATGAAATACAATATTGCATTAAGTCAAATTATTCCAAATTTGAAATTAAGCCTGTGTTTAACAATGGAATAAGCAGGCATTAGAATTGTAACCTAGATCAGGAAGAGAGCGGGGTCGAAGTCTTTTGTAGTTTGAAAGGTCTTTTGACTTTTAAGCTTTCTAATTCTTTTCCAGCATGAACTTAACTACTATTTAACAGAATCCATTCAGTAATCTCAGAAATGTCTGTGCACGGAAGCAGTTGGATCCTTCTCCCCTTGGCAAAAGGCTGCTTTCTGTGAATATATACTTTCTCTCCAGTGCAGTTTCTCATTAGATAATTAGTTTTAAATGATTTATTGCTCAATTTCTAAACTTTTACAGTCCTTCAAATCATCCTTCAAAGTGTTCCCTATTCTGCATGCAGCATCAAAGTTTGTAATAAATAACTCATCTGTAATAGCTATAAAAGTTACTTATTATAGAATACATTGAAATTCCAAAGGAATCCAGTCCCCATCTAAGAAAATTATTCAGTACCTCCCAAACTACTTTTTTAGATCTCCAAATTTAAATGCAAGTTTTAACAGTTTTTGACAGCCTCTGACCTTTATAGTGGTTCAAATACACAGTAAAGGAAGTCAACAGTTGTCTGAATTTACAAATGCATGTATAAAGATGATATCAATATATTTTATATACATTTTTAAAACTTCATGTTGAATGGATCCTTCTGAAAGTTTCAGTACAATGAACTTTCTGTATTCAGGAGTGTGAAGGGAGAGAGCTTCTTCTTTATCGGGGAACTTCCAGCCACAGCTGAAGGAAGGCAAAGAGTACTTGCAGCTTTCTGTCGATTTTTAGTTCCCCAGCTTAGAAAAGGCAGTTTTGGTGGGGCTTTCTTGGTCCGATCAATCTTATCTTCTTCCATGGCTAAGCAGATTAGGGAGTAGGTCTTCTGCATTCCGACAGAATAAGTTGCACTCTTGTTATGCTGCAAAAGCAAAAAGAAAAAGGAAAAAAAAGATGAGCAGAATGCAAAAGATTACTACGTGGATGACCTTCCACGACTGGCTACAGAGAGGTTTTTTATTCTAGTTACTAATTGAACAGAAGACTCTTCAGAGTGCTGAAACGTTGGTATTTTGCCCATCTAGAATTAAAGGATATGGCAACCAAATTATAAGTGAACTTGTGAAAATCTCTTGCACGTGTTGTGTTGTTCCAGGTAGCTATTCTAGCAGCCAGTAAGCACTACCAAGTGCACAGCTCAAGTGCAGACCTTGCTCTTTCTTGTCTCCAGGGTGCAGCAAGTTTCTGGTTTGCTTTGGTAACAGCCCAGCAAGCAGGTTCCACATTAGCTGCGGCTATCGCGAGAGTTACCCTAGGACGTTCCTTGAGGATACGTGGCAGGCACAGCTTTCTCTGTCTTGTCTTAGTGCTGCCCTGAAGCATTTCGCTTATATTCTAAGCTTGTGTGTCCAGTAAGGTCTTTTGTGTCAGAAGGGGAGAAAGGTAGTTCCTTATTTTCAGTAATGTTTTTGTAATTATTTTTTTTAAGAGCTTTGATCGCTTCTAAGGCAACTATATTTCAGTGTGTAAGCTTGCCAGGGAATGCTAAAACCACGAGGCACTGGATTTAGCTAAACTACAGATTCTCTCACACTACAAAAAAAAATTTAAGTTATGTAGAGCTTAGCATTTTTTATATCTTGTGATCATTTTTTCCCTAGTCTAAAGCTTCTACAGCAACTTAGTACAGTGAGAGTCCATCAAAATAATAATAAAAAAAGTTACATTAAGCTCCAAATACCAATTGCAAAAGTCAAGAATGATTATGGACATGGTGAATGGAAAATAAGCATGTAGTCTTGGATGCTGATTGTTTTACTGAGACTTTTCTATGCTAGAAAGACTCTTTTCTCACCCTCTGATACAAGTTAGGGGAAAATAAGATATGTCCTGGAATCTATAATACAATTAATCGAAGTAGTTACACTACAAATTCTCCACTCCCCCCACCCCCAATCATTCTTGTAATCTTCAATACAGGCTGCATTTTATCTTGATAAACAACAATGTAAGGTAATAATGCAGTTCATTTAAATTAGCAGTTTAAAACTGAGCACATGCCTGAATCTTTTATAGTGAGTTTTCTCACTTTCCTGACCCTTCAGCCTGCAAAATATATTTGCCTCATTACATACCATAGAAGAGGTTGTATCTTGGCAACTGATAACCTCAATCTCAATGGGTTGCTCTCCCAGGCTTTTAATTTTTTCCAGGACCTCATTCACTCCAAGCCATTTGCAATCCACACCACCAACTGAAACAATGTAGTCACCTTCTTTTAGGCCCATCAACTGTCAAAAGAATTTTGCACAAGTCATTATCTGGCATATAATGCGTAATATGTTTTGTCATCAGAAAGGCATTTCCCTCTTAGAAGTCATAAAGTCACTGTCTAGCCAGACAGGTGGAATAAAAGTGTTTAAATAAAAGCATAAAAGCAACGAATGCAGCTTTTTCAGTCATACAAATTACCTCTTGGTTGAACTACTGTTGATAAATATAATTATAGCCCAAATACTGGGGAATCAGCTTATTTTACATCCTTTTCACTTTCCTCCTAAAATAAAACCTGGTTTTAGCTGCCCTATTATCTTCCATGCAACATATTCTCCCATTCTTCCATTTCTGCAAGATTTTTATTTGTACATAAGTGATTGTTTCTCCCTTTGATTTACTTAAGCTGTTGTCTTCTTTGCATATTGCTTTATTCTTTTGTTTCTTTCCCAGAACAACAACAATATATTAGAAACCACTTACATGTTATTTTCCCCCCTTTCTTCTATGGGTACATTCTACCTCCCCTTCTCGATCTTTATCCTTATCTTTTTTGTTGTTACTACCTTCCAGAATTTTTATCCCTTCCAACTACCTGAATTAGAAGAATAACAACATACTTGCTTGCATTATTTGGGATGTTATCTATGAAGTATGAACAGAGAAAGAAATCTATTGTACTTAAATTTGATATCAAGAACACAGATAATCTAAGTCAAATATAGCACTGAAAACCTGTACAGATAATATGAATGAACTATTACTGATCCATGCCAGAAATCAAGAAATCTTCCATACACCCATATAAGCAAATTAAAATAATACATAAATTGCAAATGGAGATAAAAATGGAGATAAATAGCTAATACAGCCTCGCTTTACTTACTGCTGCAGAACAGACTGGATCAAGACAGCAAGCCTGGACAGGCGAGCCTCCCTTCAGGCTGAATCCCAGCTCTCCTGCTGCGCAGCGGCAGCGAATGGTGCGCGGCGCCGTCCACCGCTGCTTGGCGGAGAACACGGACAGCGGGCCCTGGCGGCACGCGGCGCGTTAGTGGCGTTTGTAAGTAAGCATTTGTAAGTTATTAATTAAAAGCAATGTTTTAAGCTCATCTTATTTTATTCAGTTAGCTCCCAGCTACTTGCATAGATACAGGAAGGTTTACCCAGAAGTTTAAGGTGCCCATAACTATTTGCAGGGTGCTTCAAAGGGAGCAGGATAACAACAACACTGCCAACCTGTTCTGACATCTCTGTTAAGGCCTGCAGCAGGCTCCAAGGTCCTGTGCCCCTCCATTTTTGAGAAGATAAACTGATTCATGAAATATAAGGTATTCTAATCTTAACCTGAACTCCTGTTTCCCTTTGATCACTGATAAGGAGGAAGCCACCTAAAAATAGGTTTCATTTCCTAGTACTCCATTTCTCCCCACCTACGAGGTAAATGAGGTCTCTATCAAACCTTCATACAACTTTTATCAAGCTCTGCAAGAATGAATGTTGTGCAGTGCCATATACAAACACTCTTGGGCGTCTCAAGCCGACTTACATCTCTGAAGCCAGGAATGGTCTGACAAATAACTTCTGGGAAAAAGCAGTTCTTGTAAAATAACATTTTCAGGCTAAGATACTTACCAGCCTGTGAAAGAAGTCCTTAATTTTCACCTTAGAAAACTGGGGAACCACTGCTTCTACTTTCTGTTCTGTTTTAGCTAAAACAAAACAAAATAAATAGATAGATAAATAAGTAAATAATTTACTCTCAAGTGTTAATTACATGGCTATCCCAACAAAGAAATAAGATGCAAACATTTTTTCCTAAACTGCAGCTAGGATGTTATATAATGTTATATAAACACCAATTCATAAAAATACTAACATTGGGTAATGCAAAGTGGGGAAAAAAGAGTTTTAGATGCACAGGAAAAGCTTTGTTTAGCCATAAATGCTGTTTTGCTTTTAAAAGGCTGGATCTTTCATACAGAAAAAGAAGGAAGGGTAGCTCAAGGCTTTCTGAAAATGAGACCCTTGCCAAATTAGCTTGAGCATCTCATTATTTGTTATAGACTCTTGACTTCTAGCCACAAATACTTACGAAGGATATCTGGAGCTTGGATCAGACTGAGGAAGTCATCTTCCTTGTCCTGCTGAGCGTATTTGAGAAGCGAGCGCTTGTGTGCGGCTGTCAGGACCTCTTGGAGAATATCAATATTTCGAAGCTTTTTGCACAGACCACAGACTCTTAGAGCTTCTTCATGGTAAACGATGGCTTTGCGTAAATGTGCTTTCCCTGAATGAATTAGAAACTGTTAGTTGTCCTCTACTTAGTAGTTTTCAGCTATCCTCTATTAGCTGGATGAAACCACATTACCTAATTGTTTTCTCTGCCCTTTGTCCTTTAAAATGGTGAGAACCATCAGTCCTTCTGGCATGTAGTCATACAACTGGGACAAGGCTTTCTCCTGCTGATCTTCATCATCACTGGACTGCACTGTAATGATTGACATTCAATATCAGTCATTTCACATTTCTTGATGCCCTTCCTTTAGGTTTATTGTGCAATAGTTGCTACTTTCTCTCCAAATGCAGAAAAATAATCTTACAAGTCCATACTGAGCAACTCAGTATAGCATATAATAGATATAGCATAAAAGTTAGTGTATGGAACTTTCCCATTCTACCGTACAGCGTGCAACACAGCATTGCCTCGTACATAAATGGGAAATGGCTACAAAATAACATCTATCGAAACCCCAAAGTTCCTAGATCCAAGTCTTATTCATTAAACAAATAATTGTTTACATGAATATATAGAAACATTACTGTTCTTACACTCATGGTCACACAGGATAGTGGCAATGAAGTAATGCGCTAGAGCTTTGTAATGGTCTGATTTTATTTGTGCCAGCTTAGACCAGGAATAAGGGATATTCTCCTTGACTGGTTCTTGATTCATTGCAGTGTTTACCATCATGTAAACCTCTCCAACCTAAAATAAAGCACAGAAAGTACAAAAAATAGTATTTGCAATTAGGAGCTCAGTGGAATCCTAATCTAACTCTAAGCTTGTGTGGTCTAGTTAAATTGGTCTACTCTTTTATTCAGCGTGGATAAAACAGCTTTTCAAGCAGTGAACACTGCTTTAATGGATCACACAACTTCAGCTGACAGAATCCCAAAGTCTCTCCCCAGCAGCCAGTCACTGCTTACAAATAAGTCAGGGTGGCTTTGGCAGGTTGGTCACAAAGGCTTTGCCCACTTTAGTTAGCATGGAAGCAACATATCTGCATTTCTGAAATGGCTCAGAAAGCATCTTCACATCGTGTATTTTTGATGTCATTGACTGCACCAAGTTTGAACACTCACTACATTCTGGGCCATAGTCCATCTCTCTTTTTTAATGCAGGTCTCAAGATAATATCGTAAGTGCCGGCCTGAAGCCCCAATTGACTGTGCTTGTCTAGACAATCTCCTTCCCCACTGATACCATCTAGTTACTCTTTTGGACTTCAGCTCTTTAAACCTGCATGCCCTCCAGCTGCTGGGAAAGTACACCCAGGTAAGTGTTCAGCAGTTGCAGAGAACAAGGCAGTCCTTTTGAATGCTAATCCGAGAAGAAGATATGTATTGTTTGAAAGAGCAGTACAGTAAATACTGAGAGAGAAAAAAAAAAGAAAAGCCATCTTGTTTGCAGCCAAAGTGTTCTAGCATGTTTATATCAATTTACAAAATAAAATAATTCAAATATAATAATATCCATACTGCAGCATTCACATTTTCACCCTCTGCTATAACTTTTCAGCTGTCCTTATTATTTTTTATTTTCGGTAATTGTTGTCAACACTTAGGTTTAATAAAACCTGTTATCATTACTACAGGCTAGTAACACAGCACTGAAAGCAGCTATTAAGCCTAAGCTATTAAACTTAATTATTCTTAATTAACCTATTAAGATTAAGTTTTAAATCTCTCTGGTTACCTTTGCAACTTCCTGTGTCATTTTCACTAGCGTGAAGAACTCATTGCGTATCCCGGGGAGACTGATCTGCTCAAAGACGCACTCCTGAGCTTGGGCGAGCATCATTTTGACTAGTACATTGAGCATAGCTGGGCTCATGTCATAGCTTGGCGTGTGAGTGAAGGTCTCCTTTAAGTAGCTCAGGACTCCTGTAATTATCAACAAATTTATTCAGCATTACTAATAGAGAAATAGGCAAACTTAATTCATCAACAATAAAGTTAATCTTTAATTACAGTCTAGCACAGAGAATAAGAAATTTGAAAACATACTTATCCAAATTAATTGTATCTACCGTATCTGCCCAAAGGCGTTCTTGGTAAACATGAAATTAAATTCACCTCCTAGTTTTTCTTTGCATTCCCAAGTGTCCTTGGGCAAAGTTCTCAAAATTGTAGTTTAGAGGATCCACAGAAGCTGAAAGTTTTAAGGGCAGTACCTTCAGATCCTCTTGTAACTTTTTATAGATAGATAGATATAGATATATACACACATATATATACACACTTCCTCTTAAAAGCTGTGCTCAACTTAATGCAACTTTTATATAGGGCTGGTAAGATATGGCTTATATGTAGGACAAAAAAAAAATACCTACACCACTGTAAAAAGGCAAAGGCAGATCCTTTGGGTGGAGAAAAAAACAATCAAAAAACATCTTTTAACTTATTAGTTGTGAATCTTCTGTTCAGATACAGCAATTGCATGGCCCAATGAAAGCTCTGTTCAGCCCTGTAAGTGAACTAGAATATATTTAGTAGAGCGGAATTAGATTCTGCTCCAAACATTTGGTTCCACTAACATGTTAATTGCTTCTAGCATTTATCAAATTAAAAGCAAACACTAACTGTAGTGCAAACATTAAGTAACTGTTACAGGGATGGAAATGTAACCTTCGGCACACACGTCACCCAACTGGTTTAGTGAGTTCTGCTAGCCTGCTAATTGCTGATAATGCTGCACCAGAGTAACGATAAGACCTCTGCTTTACAAGTGTCCCACCTTCTGCAATCTTATTTCTTGTTGCTACTTTCAGTTCTGGCCTTACTGTTATTTCCTTACTACAACATTTTTTAGATTTTTTACTATCTCTATTTTTTTTTTACTTTATAAAATTATTCTTAAACAAACTTTAATTATATCAATCTGTATGCACCTTTGCAGCATACAAGAACTTCTCGGAGACCTCTGAACTGTAAGTACCGAAAAAGAATCTTTTTCCTAAGTCTGAACATATTTCTGTGTATCTGGCAAGCAGATAAGCACTGAGACCTTTGCTGAAGACAAACTCCATGCAACAACTTCCATCCAGCTCTAGGAAATAGTCAATACGTGCTCTACATCATGTCTCAAGCAATATTACAGATGCTGTTAGGAATCCATACCCAAGTATAACAAAATGCCTCTTGCAATGCATTGGTTTGAGGACCTGCAGAGGTTCTGTAGGGGTAGATTGTGTATTTCTATTTGTGAATTAATACAGTTTGAAGTGAATAGTAGTGATTTTATTTGTAAAATGGAAGAACCAAAAAGGAGAATTCTCTCAAATACTGACAACTCTTTTAAATAAAATGTAAGCATAGAAAAAGAAAGTCTATTTAAAAACGCATGAAGAAATATCAAGGTTTCTGGATAGCTTTCTGAGGGGTTTTATGACAATCCCACTCTGTGGTCCACATTTTGCAGCCATTAAAGCTACATTTGCAGTGGAAACCAATAGTCCCAGATAGTTAATGCAGCAACAAATCTTACGGGACATATTGATTACATAGATAATATCTATAAGCTGTTTTGTAGCACTAATGACTTTTACAAAAATTCAGAAGATCTGAAGAAAACCAAAACCTTCTGTAATATGTTAGCCTAAAGGAGACAATTCCCTTTGCTAGGATTCTTATTTTTCTGTTTGGGTTGGAGAGTCACTTAATATTTTTTGAAATCTATGAAAAACATGTGAGCAGCATCAAACAAATTACTAATTCCATATTAGGACATTGTAAGATTCATTTTGAAGCCACCACATGAAAAACTGTATTTTAAGCCCTTTCATTAACCCTTAAATTATTTCTAGTGCAGATTTTACACCAATGTAGTATCAAGGAAGTTAAAGCAGTTATGTTGGCAAAATGAAGTATGAAACAGTTAATACTACAGCTATTGCTCAGATGTTTGAACTACAATTGATTAATCATTAACGAAGACATTCTCTTTATCAGCATATTCAGACTGCTGCTGCAGGCTTTGAACTAAAGCTTCATCTCAGCTCTTTGTTAAGCTTCCCTATTCCTCCTTTTTTGTGTGAGGAAGTTGGTGGGAAATGCAAGAGATCTGCAGGAAGTCAGACTATTTGGAACACTTGCATTAAGACTTTCCTGACACTTTTAAGGTTTTACCTGCTGCTCTCTGAAAAGCGTCAACTGCATTTTCAAGTCCACTCTTGGTCTGACGATTGCATCTTGTACCAATCTGGGTATAGAGGGCTCCAATATTAAATAAAATACTTGCTTTTTCAAGCAACAGATTTTGCTGGCACACTGGGACACCTGTGAAGGAATCATACCTTTGAAGGAAAGGAAACAAAAAGTGTTAAGTATAGTCCATGGAAATGACAGATATTTTAATTTTCTTTTGGTTAGTTTTTTGTTTGATTCATTTTTTCTTCTGTTTTTTTCTTCCAAAAGACAACAGGATGCTTAATGACTGTTCTGATACACTGAAAATAATGGCAATTCTGATTACCTTTATGTACTCTGAATACAATCCATGTGCTGTGTCACAAACTAGAACAAACTAGAAAATGATTTTATTGAAGGCTTAGTTTCCAGGGGAGTTTAAATCAACATCTCTGCAAGTACATCATATCTAAATCAAAGTCCCTATAAAACAGACACCAGAGACTGACAGGATCCTGGGGAAGTATCCATGTGTGCTTGTCATGTTCTCATAATTTTTTTATTAGGCATGCACTATTATATGCTGCCAAAGATCTACTTTTGGCATGGTTAGACACTTTATAGCTCATAGTTTAGAGATCTTCTTGCAGTTTTGATTAAAAATCTGGCAGTTCTTCTTGGCTGCATGGTAGTTGCCATCTTTCTCCATCACAAAAATATCAAGACCTAATTTAAAGACTTAATTTAATTGAGAGTCTAACTTTGCTAATAGCTGTAGCAAACCCACCACTGCCATAACAAATGACGTGACTTCCATTTCCTGGCCCAAGGCTTTCCTCAGCAAACTGAAGGGGATGAATTAAGCTCTGATTCTTTACAAAACTGCTTCATGTACCAAGGTTCAGAGTCCAGAAAACATCTATAGTTGTCTAAAATGAAGATATTATTCCCCTTTCGCTTGTGCAAACTGTAGCTCAGATCATAATCTGGCCAATGACTTTGCCCTATGCATGGAAAAGGCTTTACAGTACTAATCAGTACTGAATACTGAAAAGTATTCAGTAAATACTTTTACTGAGTATTTACTGAAGATGCAGTAAAACTGCATTTTCCGCTTTACTCTTAATACTAAGAAAACATTAACAACATAAACGGGGGATGGAGGGAACACAATGACACTGACCTTCTTCAAACAGAAGACAGGTAAAGATTAACAACATTCTGCAAAATGAAACAAAACAAACAGAGACAAACATGAACTCTACACTTACCATGTAAATAAAATCCCCATGTGCCTGGTGGGTGGAAAAAATCTGTTTTCTACATAACCAAGTTGAAGAAAATAGCTGATCAGCATCTCAGCACCAGCTTCATCTCGGCTGGGAGTACGGCAGGCCTTAACATACAAAAGATTAAAAGTACATTCTGTTGAGTTACAGGATGAATATTGAAACACCGGGAGTAAAGCTGTACTTCCTTTCAGCTTCTGCATATCACAGAAATGTATGGAATCTGAAACAGCTTGCTTAAAGCCTTATGGATGCACTCCAAATACGAGTTTACCAGCGATACAGAGGGTAGCACATAATCTTTAAGGAAGCACATGGAAGATATATTTAGCAAGATTCAATTAAAGAAAAACTGTAGGCGTTTTATGAAAGCGAGAAAGAAATCTGATTTCTTCCAGAATAATAATGGAAGCAAAAAGTAATTAGAAATAACCATCATTGTGTAACAGCCCTTTACCAGTTGCACTCAATTCCAGACTCATCCTGCTAATTTTAAAATACTTCAAACTCAAAATAAGATTCTGAATTTTTAAAGTTCTTTCAAAGCGCAATAACTTTGTATATTTTTTAATTCATTCTTTTCTTCACTTGTTCTTTATTCAGACTGTACAGCTGTTTGATGGAGATTCATGTTCCACATCACAGAACTGAAATCAGTACAAATATGGTAAGTTATGAGTAAAAGTGGTACAATCTGATTCCATAAAAATGCTGTTGTTTTCAATTTTGTTGGACATTTAAACTTGACATGATGTAACGATCCTCATTAGTCCACGCGGGAACTTACTTGTCTCAGATCCATGAGATCTGCTATTTCATCTTCATATTCAGAACCATCTTCGCTATAATGTTCCTGAATGAAGTCCTACAAAAGTAGTAGCTAAAATTAACATAAAATTAACCGAAGACATTCATTACATTTTTCTGCAGTTATAGACAGTAAAAAAATGTTTCAGCCATGAGCTGCATGTTTTCTACTCTCTTCCTGCCAATAAAATATAAAGTAATGTCGTTACAAAAAGGCAACTAAACTAATAATTTTATCTGCTGTGAGACAACAAATTTAGTGTAAAAGAATCCAAGTATTACATCATCTCCAGTGCGTTTTAAAACAACAGCACTTAATGCTTTTAAAAAAGGAAAAACGAACCTTCTTAACTATAAAATAACAGGGGAATCAACTGACCATGAAAACTCATTAACAAAAAGAGATTCTGCAAAATTCTTGTCAAGTATATTAGTGCAATTCCCCTGAGATTAACAAAGCTGCAGTGGCACAAAAGGTGGCAGAATCTGGCCAGTGAGAGTAACTATAGATGTAAAAGCAGAAACAAATGTCGTGGCAAATGCAGAAGGCAGTTTACCATGAGACACCCTGGTGCACGATGCACAGCAGTACAGACGCACAGAAGGTGGCTCGAAAAGACAGCTAGGTAAACTAGCCTGCAAAAGAATTGGTGCTAATGTTGCAAGACTGCTTTGAAACGGAGTTAGAGCTTGGTTAGCACAAGTGGGAGTATCACTATGGTATGTGTCATAAAACCTTTCTACTTCCTTTCACAATTTATTTCTCTTCATTTTAAATATTTCTTTCTGAAAGGTATTTCTGAAATTACCTTCAGGGCGACAGTAAAATCTACTTCTTTAGTTTCCTTCAGGCCAAGAGGTACCAAGGGAATGCTGAAAGTCTCCCTACAGGGGAAAAACAAAAGTAAAACAATCAAAAAAGCCACAGAACCTTTGTTTTCTATGTTTCTGTAGGTAAGAGATTTACTTTTATTCCATGTGAAAAAAAAAAAGTGACTATGCTGCTAGGTGTTGAGGTAAAAGCTACATAGTTTATGACAGTCTCTTCCAGCGCAAGAGAGTCTGCTTAATGTCCTGTGACTCCCGGAGGGGAGTCAGGAAGGCTGCTTGCATGCATCTTTGCCATCTGAGCCATTTTTTTTCTTCCAAGAAAAAGAGACTCTCAAAGCCTGGTTACTGCCACAGAACTCAACACAGAACACACACGTTCTGTTCTCAAGTCTGCTTAGACTTCCAAAGCATTGCTGTCACTAGAGGGAAGACTGTTGCATGCTCTGCATTTGAGAACAGATGCTATATTGCTGGATTTATTCATGTAATAATGAACTGACCTAGTTACCAGCCTAGCACTGGAAATTCTTCCAAGTGCCACGCATCACAAGCTTTCAATTTTTACAGTGCTCACCTCCACAAAGGAACTCGGTATCGAAGGATTACTGCAACATACCTTTCCCCAAGAGAAAGATAAATATGCAGACTAACCCTTGGTCAACAAATCTACCACCAAATATGTTCTCTTGCAAGTTCTCTGTTCTTTCGGCTAGTTATTGTGCACGTTCACATTTACCTAGCAACAGTTTTATTTCCAGTGATAAATAGATTTGTCGATAACGTAGTAATGTAGCTTTTCACTTACTCTGTATTTTGATAAACCTCTACTGAGATATTAAGTCCTTCTAATTCCTCCTTTAAGATCTGCAGGTCAGAGTTTACAAAACTTAATTCCAGTAGTACCTGTTCTCGTACTTTGTTGTTGGTGGTAGCTCTGCAAAGAGAAAGAGACAGTTTTTTCAGTGCCAAAGGACAGGAGCTGCATATCAATTTTGTTGACCCCCCCCGCTTACATTCTCAACATTTTTAAGATAATTTTTTCCCCTTAAGAGACAACACAAGATCTCACATTTCAGAATCTGTCGACAGAACCTGTGATAGTTTTCAGATAACAACATGCAAACAAAATAAGTTTTCCTAAAAGAGTCATTCCAGAATAGTATACAACCACGTATGTATGTTTAAAAAAAAAAAAAAAAAAAAAAAAAGATAAAATTTCCTGTATAATTCTATTTTTCTGACCCTCCCAGAAAAGGTTTTGTTTCCTTTGCCATTCAGATGCTAAGTATATACGTGTCACTTTTTGGACTGCCACCACACTGGATATTAGTATTTAACACAGCCCCAGAGCATTACAGTGTCACCTCTTCTTCGTGTATTTCAGGGTGCATGTACCTATATACACACACATTTATCTCACTAATTCTAATTTGATTCTCCATAACATATTGCTGTCTTCAAGAGAATTATATATAGTCAGATGTGAGTTTAATATCAAAAGCATTGGTATTGTATCCCTATATTAGAGCATACAAATTCTTAAGACAATAAATACTTTCTCTTTATATACATGTAATTTGCAGTATTTTGCCTGTACTTTTGTCATATTTCCTATTAAAGTTAAACTTTATGAGTATTTAGGAACATACTTTTTACAGCTGATCTCCACTTGTACATCCTTCCATCCTATGGAATGTTGAAAACTGAACTGGCTGTTATTGCAAGGCTACAACTCTAAGCTATGTGTTTTGTATTATAAATGTGTTACTGTGAGTTTTCTATGCTCTTACTTTACCAGACACCTGACATTGGCTAGATAAAGCACTGCTAACATCTGGGTGACTTTCAGAGGTTCTAGAAAGTCTTTGCACAATGTGGATTGTTTGTTTCCAGCCTAATGCACTTTGTTCACATTTACTTGCATTTCAGCCAAAAGTAAAGGAACCTGCATTTCCAGTTTTCCTTCAAGCCCTATTGCAGAAGGCTCTTGGTAGGTAACGATTAAGTTTACTGCTCTTGAAACCTGATAAAATCCAAGTGGAATCTGAAAGTTTCGTTTATGTTTTTTTTCTTAGGAGACAGTAAATATATCTAGTCATGTGAACTCTCATCTAGTGGTCAGATAACTTTTGAAATGTCTTATTTCGAAGAACTTGCAACTAGCAAGTCTAACAGGTATAATTTCATTTTAGATTTTTAATAGTTTAGAAGCAATTCTGATCCTTTACTTTTCAAAGTGCTGTAACTCCAACTCTAGTCAATAGCAACCTCAGTATTTTAGCAGTTAGTGCTAATTTCAAGAGCCCAGCTTCAGGATACCATTCAGCTGAATGTCAGAGTAATCAGTGTTTGATTTAGATACCACTGGCCTCTGCAGCTTTTCTGAAACACCCACAAGTTGACATGCAGAATGCTCTGCTGACTGACTAGTGCTCACTTTTAAAAGGAGATATGAGGATTTTGCATGAATTCAAGAGATAAAGGGAAAAAACCCTAAAGCCTTGCTCCTCAGTCAGTTACCAGCAAACAAAGCAAAATTAAATCCCTCACAAAGGCTTAAACTACCTGTGAATTACACCAGCTTTGAATCTACCACTTCTCTTGCTAAGAGTGTAGATAGAGTAAGATGGCAGGGAAATAGCAACCTATCAATTAATGTTAAGCTTAAGAAAATAAAACTTTAACTGAGCAATTTTCACCTCTGTAGGGCAAGCATATCAATTGAACTTTGTTCTGGAGCCTGAAAATCCCTATATGGCCATTATTCCTTTAGTGGCAGAGACACAGGAAGTATAAGAGACTGCTGCAGATGAGGATTTGGGAATTTTTCACAGGTCTGGGTAACAGAAGGGATGGATTGTCGGAAAACTACATGACTGTTTACTAGGCAGTTAATCACAGGATATAATAGCCTCAAGACAAGGTCAATACATGGTTATTTCTATAGGGACAGCTATGTAAGAAAATGAAATAGAAAAAGGATAAAGTCTCTTCAAGATATCTCAAATGGTGTGAGAATGTGGTGCCAGCAGCCCAAATCCTGCTACTCCTGTATCACTACCACAAGGAATAGTCAACGTGATTTTTCCTTTCCACTGCTGAGCAGAAATCTAAAGCTTGAAAAGGGCAACAGGTTAGTGATTATACTGTTATTTGATTTAGCATGGAAAAGGATCCCTAACTATGCTCAGTAAGGTTCACTTTCCATTATCACCTACAATAAAACTCATCAAACAAGGCAGTGTAACAGGTCTGCTCTGCCCCTTTGCTACAATAGAGTGACTTTGAAAGTGCACTTCAGAGCAGGTAATGATTCTATGGAGCTAAGGCTTAAAAGCTTCGAGGATATTCAGAAAGCATCCAGCAGCAATTTATTTGGCACATGATGGGAGCAGTTAGGCAGACCGAGCAAAAAGCAATTGCCAAGAGATGAAAAAAAGCGTTATTGCTCTAGCTAGACAACTAGTAAGTGATGGCAAGTGATAGCACGTACCGTAAAAGATTTTCAGCACCAGCTCTCAGTCTCACTGCTTTTAGAATCTGTTGATTTAGAACAGCTCTTTGATTTTGTAGTTTGCTCCGACCCGTCTCAGCAAGAGGATTACATCCCTAGAAGTAAGGAAAAATAGTTGTTGTTATTGGAAGATTCTGATAGGTAACATTAAATTTGAATGAACTTTAAGGACACGGGTTCTGTATGCGTACAGACTGTTTCTTCTTTTTCTCCTGTTTTCTTTAAATGCTTCTGTCTTTGAATGTTGACTGGACACTCATACCAGCACGTCCCTACAGCTTTTGATACCGAGGTGACTATGACCACACTGTTTTAAGACGTGTTCTTACATGAAGCATATTCTCTTGCATGGCCTTGCTGGGTATCCTGCTGCCCAGCTCGTCTGCTTCCTAGTGGATTATGCGTGACACGAGAAAGAGGCTCAGATCTGTCTGACATGAGTTTTCCCACAGCTACTCCAGCCGCTAGACTGTTCACTGCTTTTGCATCTCTCCCTCCCAGGTTCTGACTACAAGTATTTGGTTTTGACAATAACAGCATTTAGAAGTTTCTCAACAAGCTCTAATTAGGAGTGGCCAGGCAATGACACACTTACACATCTGAAGCACGTATCCAAATAGAACATGAAGTTCTAATCATTTGCTTGAAGTTTAGATCTTGTTTGGGTTGGCAAGTAAAGGCAAATTGATTAGACATTAACAAAGTGAGCTCATCTGTCCAGATTCCACTAGTTTAACTGTGAGAGCAGAGTACAACCTTAGAAAAATCTGTAATAAGTAGTTAAAGTGACAGGAAGCTCATCTGAATGTATTCAGAAGTACCCTTCACCAGATAACTTGAAAACACATGTCACTTTGAATTATTGTCACCACAGAGATACTTCTGCGCTGAGACCCCAATTAGGGCGGCAGCCGGGCGCTCCGGCTGCACGGGCAGCAAACAGGCACACGGAGCACAACGGCTTCCTGAAGGACTCGCGGGTGGAGCAAACCGTCTGGTCACCTCACATTAAAAGTAGTCTTTTAACTATTAAAGAACTGATGCACCGTTATACACACTCAGAGACATAAAAAGGGCATAACTAATGGTACAGCATGGCGTTACACCTGCAAATCACTTTCTTCTTAGCCCCCTTTTTTTGGGAGCTGCTACCCTTCCTACTTTGCTTTATTGTTATTTTGTGTTGTATAACTTTTCTCTCATGTTGAAAGTCTTTTTTTTTTTTTAATTTGAACCTTCCCGGTAGTTTCCTTTCGATTTTCACACTGAGCTCAAATACCTAATTCTCACCTTGCGCCCATCATTCTCTATACCCCTGTACAGGTCTGCAATACCTCCTTCCAACTTGCTTCCCTTCAGCTTAGGCCCAGCAGCCTTCCTCAATGTACCCTTTCCTGCCATTGTCTTCATGTGCCCTGCAAAGCTGCGGTTTTCTGGCACTCCCTGCCCTTTCTGCATTCCAAGCAAGCCTCATGACATCATTCAAATACTTCCTTACAGCTCCATTTCTTAGAAAAAAATCAGAAAAATCAGGCACCTGACTCTGACACCACCAGGCTCAGTACGACAGCTTGTTTGCTTCAGTGGACTTTTGATCAAGGCTCAGTCCAAATGTCTTTGTGTTTACTTTTCGAGGACGCCTATAAGGCCCTTTTTACCTTCTGGAAAACGTTGCTTTTTAGGTCTCCTGCACAGAGGATGGGATCACCACCACATCTAAACTCTTATTAATAAGAATTAATACAATAAACTTGTCATTGTAATCTTACTGCTAAAAAAATTAAAAAATAAAAAAAAAAATAAATAAAAGGTGGTGGCCAAAGCCTCTGTAGAGGATAATGAAATTAATCTGCAGGAAACAGAAAAAAATATAGCAAGTCTGAGGAAGATTCCCCCTCATTTAAGGCACAATTCCATATATTTAAAAGTTATTTAGAAGAACATGTGTACCTAAGAGCTTAATTTTGCTTTCTTCTGTATAGATTCTGTTTTCTTCCCTTTCCTATGCAGCACTTGGCACTTAGTTCCATGTTCAGGCAGTGCCAAGAGCAGTACAGCTCAGTACTAGAGCATCAGACAGGCAGACTTCACAGCAGCTTCCACACCTCCCGTCTTCATTTCTTGTCAACAGGATGTTAGGTGTTTCATTTAATTACTGTTTATTTCTCCGCAGAGCCGAGACAATTTGGAGTGAACTAGATTTTAACCTGGCTTAATAATTTTACTAATAATGTATAGTACAACAAAAGAATCTTTGTTACTAATGAAGGTACAAAAATGACCAAGAACAGAATGTGACTAATCATAGAATCATAGAATGCTTAAGGTTGGAAGGGACCTCAGAGGTCATCTAGTCCAACCCCCCTGCTCACACAGGGTCTAAGTGTAATTTGGAGGAGAAAAAAATAAAAAAAATAAAAAAAATAAAAAAGTTAACTGAGAAACCTTGCTGTGAAGATAAACAATAAACTTGAAGCTATGAGTTTTAGAGCCTTTCTTCCCCCTAAGAGTGTAGCTCTGTTCTGTTAAGTGTTTATAAATACTACTACTCTTAGCTCCCAAACCCATAAAAAAACTCTTAAACTAGAGTCGGGCTAACTAGTTGCTTTATTTCTTCCTGCTTTTTTGAATAACATCGTTGGAACTACAGAGTCAGGAAGCTGCTATGGTTTAATAGGTGCCATTATCAAAGGCAAACCCATGCAACAAGAGTTACAGATTTGCAGCAGGTGTTATTTATGCACCTAGTTAAAAACCTTTGAATAAACCAAGACACTGTTGTTAGAAACAAAACACACATCTCCTGACCAAGGCTGGCAGTGGGTTTGGTAGCAATCCCTCGGTTAACGTCGTGTGCCAACAATTCCAATAGGATTCCTGCTCATCTCTTACTAGAATTAATGCCATGGGGTGGGCCAGCTACCCCCCTGGGTTTAAGTCTTATCAGTGTTACTCCACACATACTAATTTGGCCAACAGCTGTAGCCGGATGCCCGCGGTACCTCCGCAGGACACCCCTCGGACCACGAGGCCGAGCGGAGCGAGGAAGCGGCCGACAGGCCACACGCTGACCTGCATCCCACACGGGTGGCATGTGGAGAGACGTCATTCCGCAGATTACATGGAGCCACTGAGGGTATCAAGGCAAGTGACTTGTCTTGGACTCCAGGTTGCCTTTGTGGGCAGCACCTTGCCAGGAAGTTCTTACTCAAAACACAAGTATTTTTAATGTCAGAAAGCATCAGAAATCCAGTTGTGATACATAAAAAATCATGCCTGTTTGCCAAGCCATGAGCAACCGCAGGAGGTATTTCAAGTTAACATAAATATGACGAATGAAGCAGTGGTTTGGACGTCTAAAATGAGCCACGCATGTCTGGAGGTGAGGCAGAGTTGAAACCGGGTGCGCCTCGTCCCTGCGTGCCGCAAAGGCAGGTTCCCGGCCAGCCCGCCCGACCGGCGCTGCTCGCTCCACGCAACGGCCGTGCCCTCCAGGTAGCTAAAGGCACGTAACTTACGGACGGCACTTCCTCGGCTGCAGGAGACGGGGTAAATAGCATGATTCATGCCAGTATTTCTAGAACTTAGGGCAAGTCCTACTAACTCAATTTAACCTCGTACAGAAAGTAAGGGGAAAAAAAAGGTTTCTTATACGTTTCTCTCAGGTGTTGAAAACTAACAAAGAGTTTCAATAGCTGATGCTTTATCTGAAGCTACAGAGGAGATCAGGGACAAAAGGGAGTTCAGAGGAAGACCTGGTCATAAAGACTAATGCAAACTCTTAAAACTGTTGCATTAAATTTCAAATACATATTTTATGTACAATAATCAGTCTTGACACACTGCTCACTTAGCAAAATCACGATTGTGTCAGAGGAATCCCTTTCTCGATGAAGAAGTTTCAGGTGATTCCTAGTCTCACATTAAGTCCTGCTTTCAGTTTTAGGACTTTCTAAATTTGTCTGTAATGAGCAGCTAGGGCATGACGTGGAGCGTGAATCATCACCGCACTGTTTCGTGCTAGCTAGACAAGTGGAAGGAGAACAAATAGGCAAATAAATATTCCTGTGCAAATGCTAGTGGTGACGGTTGCCTGGTGACTAATGACTGAGGAGCCACATTAGCGAAACGCCAGTGGGAGCACAGGTGTAGCAGGTTGGTGAACTGATACGTTAAGCACAGCTGGGAAGCCCTGCAGAACAAATCCCCAAAGCTGAGGAGGGAAGGAGAGGGGGTTAATTAGGGAGGTGCTGATTCATGGGCTGGTTACAATACCTATTATCATCATCTTTTTGAGCCTGGTGCTGCTCTGTTTAGAGAGCTGCTTGCTTTCTGTTTTTAGTCTTCTCCCCTGGTGAGGAGGACTAATATATGCTGTCTTCCTGTCTAAAAGATGAAGAGTCTTCTTTTCTTCATTCAGTGATTCATCAGCTTGGTCTATATGATAAATACTTAGTCTCATATATCAAGCTAAAGCTTTAAGAATGGGAAAAAAAAAGAAAGAAAATAAGCACCCTCATTAAGCTGACCAGCTTTACATTTATTAAGATAAAGATTTATTAAGCTGCTACCCAAAGCAAGGAGGGGGAGGACCAGCTGTGTAGCACCTACAGCTCCCAGCGAATGCTCGGGAGCTGCAGGAAGGGCCAGCCTGGGAATCGGACCAAAGCTTTTTATCACCTGCTGCAACTTTCTGGCTCGTTCAGGAACTTGGAGAGTTATAGTGTGCATAAGGAGTCACAAGGCAATAAACTAACGTGGGAAATACATACTAGACAGAAGTTGATAGAAGGGGCTTTCCTCCTTGCTCAGCTCTTCCCTGCCCACCCACAAAAATCCCAGCTCTTTTGCAGGGCACTCGCAGCCCTAACATACTGAGCAAGCCGGGCATCTAGTGAGCACGGGTTTGTAAGGGGCTCGGTTTATCTGCACTGGCTCATTTACTGGGATGTTTGCTCTGTGAGAATGTTTGTGGAGAGCGTGCAGTAATTAAAAAAAAAAAAAAAAACAGAAGTAATAAAGAAGCCAGAAGGAAGTAGCTTGAAGGAAAAAAAAAATCATTTTCCCCCCTTAATAACTCAAAAGCTTCTGGAAGGAAGGGGGGGGGGGCAAAAACAAACAGACAGACAAAAAAAAAACAGTAAGGTGTCAGAGAGCCTAAACAATCCAAAGGCTGTGGGTGGCTTAAAGAATAACTTCCCTAGAGGTAGAAGCAGCACCCTGGGTAACCAAAACAGCACACGAGGGGAGATACAACTTGAAGTACAGACTTCAGTACCAGACTGTTTAAAAAAATTATATATATATATATGTATATATATATTTTCTAAATGTCATTCTTTCATTTTCATCATCAGCTTTGTTATAATTGAGCCAGAAAAGAGCAGAAGTCTGCCCAGAGTGGAGGCAGGAGGCTGGTGCTCCAAGAGCTCGCGCAGCACCCAGGAGCAGCGGT